ACTACGGAAACAGCGGGTTGATGAGCAGGTTCAGACGGCACAAGCAGGCTGGACATTTCATGCTGCTGATCAAACGAAGCGGTACTATAGGCATTGATGCTGGCCACATTCTTGTGACCACTCTGCATTATCTGGTTAGGCGGGACTCCCTTATGAGCCAGAGTGGTGATCAAGGTTTTCCGAGCACTGTGATTAGTTTTCATTCCGGATATTACTGCATTTTATGTAGTATGTATTTTGTTTCACGCCAACAACGCCCCGTAGGCGAGGTTTACGGATATCTTAGGTCCGAATAAGCGTGTTCCACTGTACCATGTGCTATCAAAGCTGTAATATTGCTGTAGATAAACAATACTGTATTCACTAGAAGTCAGGCTTTCTGAGTTGGTGCATGTAGTTGCATCTTAATTTCGTACACCAGTGTTCATTATGTCAGACACTGGATTGTCTGCTCCGAACTTGATTATTTACAATCCGCCGTTATATAGCTGGCTATGTTCCTGAATAGGACGTTAAATAACAAACAAACTCAGTTAATTAGACGATATGTTTATTCGATGATACAGTTAATATAAATTACCCCGACACAATCGTTTTCTGCACTATGGTCAGAAATGACACTACTGAACTCCATATATATTCGACATAACGACTAACATCTGATGCATCTATATATATTTAAACTTTAAGTATACGAATACAGAATTGTCCCCTTAACATATTAGTAGATCTCACCCAGACGATCAAGGTGCCTGGACATGGGTTACACACTACAGCTGTCGTGGTCATTTGGGTTCCTTTCTGGGAAACCCCGTGAAGATCCGGGGTAGAATAGGTCTTCAGCAACCCATGCTTGCCACAAAAGGCGACTATGCTTGTCGTAAGAGGCGACTAACGGGATCGCGGGTGGTCAGGCTCGCTGACTTGGTTGACACATGTCATCGGTTCCCAATTGCGCAGATCGATGTTCATGCTGTTGATCACTGGATTGTCTTTCCAGACTCGATTATTTACAGACCGCCGCCATATAGCTGGAATATTGCTGAGTGCGGCGTAAAACTAAACTCACTCACTCACTCCTTTCTGAGAAAGCCATGTTATGCTGGACTATCCCTGTGAAGAATGTGGTCAGTAGATATAGGGTGTGTGTTTTGCTGTCCAATTGTTCCGAGTAGCGGGGAAAGTATAACCCTCCGCATTCATGGTGAAGTGTAAGAATGAGTTGCGGGTGCTGTCCTCACCCAATGATACCCCAGTTATGGAAGAAAGGCAGTTGTAGTGTCAGCTTAGGTCGCCTGGAATACTGACCTTATGTGTTCCTCTATGGGAGGATACGAAATAGTGGTTGGACAGGAAATGGTGACAACACAACCTTCAGTTGCAAAGACTCCAAACCAACCGACAAAGTTGAACACTATGCCACCTAATGTTTCAGCGGAATCGTCTTTACACAATAATAATGGTTATGAATCTGGGTGCCGAGAATATGTGAATAAAATACCCCACTCGCCCCATGCAGTAAGGGTTGAGTGATATAAGATCTGCTTACTTGTACTTGTAGATTGAAATAAATCGTTGTTCTAATCCGCGCACAGCAATCTTCCAGCTGTAAGTCGACGGTCTGTAAATACTCGAATCTGGACCAGACAATCCAGTGATTGACATCATGATCATCCATGTTTGCAGTTTGGCTTGACATGCATCATTCATTTCAGAGAGCCTGACCATCCAATCCTGGTAGTCGCGTTTCACCACAGTTCAGTGACCTTGCTTGTATGAAGATGTAGCAAATATACGTGGTGGTGCACGATAGCTGGCGAATCATATAATGCAAACTTTCTTCTCCAACGTAACCACTGCGAGGTGCTGTGAACGCACTCCAGTCAAATCTTTGGCAGAACATTCCAGGTCTGCTGGTTCATAGACATCCTGCCACAGGAGACAAGCTCTGACAATGTCCCATTTTGTAAGAGGTGGCCGTGCGGGCATCACGACTCCTCTCCAACATCCGTCTGCTTCGGATGAAGTATGGACCAGCTGGAAACGCCTTCAGCGTCCATTCGCCAGCACTACTATAAGTTTGGCATGAAATGCATGTGGACCCGTTTTTTTGTAAATATCTCTTCATCCAATGACCCAATCGATCTCAAACTGTGCAAGTGGATGTTTTGTCAGACAACCTAATCACATTGTAAATCACCGATTTTATGCATTTGTATTTAAGAATCTGTCTATGTAACTGTCAACAAAATAAACAGCAGAACGCAAACTGCTTGCAGAGGGAGGGAGCCAATGACCTGTAACAGCGGCAGTGTTGGGTCATAAAGGTCAACGTTCGTCAATGTAGGTCAGCTATGCACGTGACAGGTATGAAGAGGTGTTCATTTCTAGCAAATAGCCGGCAAATGACATCTCTGATGACTGATGTCAACAGAATTTAACTTTGGATGCCTACCTTTTTGTACAAGGTTTTGTTTATTGGTTGTTGGTATATTTTTCACAATTTTTAGCACGATGTTCTTTTTCATGCCAAGAGCAAAAGTTGTACGTTTCATGTAATCCGACACCTTATAAATCGGTTGCTACGTTTGCTCTCTTTTTAAAAAAAATTCAACACATTTCTAATTAAACGTTTAGCATCATCTGAATAAGCTTTCATGATGACAGCTAGAAGTAGTCAATGTGAATGATCCAAACGGTCTATCACTGTGCAGTGCACAGGTAACTATCACGAACTGCACGTGCATTTACCTTTATGACCCAACACTGCCGCTGTTACAGGTCATTGGCTCCCTCCCTCTGCAAGCAGTCTGCGGTCTGCTGTTTATTTTGTTGACAGTTACATAGACAGATTCTTAAATACAAATGCATAAAATCGGTGATTTACAATGTGATTAGGTTGTCTGACAAAACATCCACTTGCACAGTTTGAGATCGATTGGGTCATTGGATGAAGAGACATTTAAAAAAAAACCGGTGTCCACATGCATTTCATGCCAAACTAGACCTAGAGCACTGCTGTATTTATGGAGACGATCTGCACTTGGTTGCGCTCAACTGACCAAGGATCCGCGTACTGGGACTAGAGATTCCCGGAAACCCAGCTGTGGAACTTGCACCCTTGGAGCACTTTCTCCTCAATCCACAGACAAAGCAATTTCAGCCAAAGGTAGTAGGCTCTTCACACAACTAGAAAGTCGCTAAAGGCTGCATTCCCCTTGAATGTCTTATTACACCAAAGGGATTCTTTCACTATGTACGGCCGGTGAGGTAGGCTAGTGGTTCCAGCTCCTCCCACTGAAGATCCGGTTCGATTCCCAACGTGTTTACAGTGTATGACAACCAATACCGGTAACCTTCGGGTGACTTTGCTGGAATATTACTAAAAGCGGTGTAAAACCATACTGACTTGAACAACATACCCTAAGGCAAGAGGGCAGGTCCCATGAAGGGTATGCACCAGTTCATCACATACTACTTTCAATTTCTACTAAAGTGAAAGTATCAGAACCTCAAGACCATCTAGTATCAGTCACAAGAGCTGACAAAGATGTCAAGAGTACCTTCAGTCCACCATGGGTGACATGCTTGCCACAAAAGGCGACTATGCTTGTCGTAAGAGGCGACTAACGTGATCGGGTGGTCAGGCTCGCTGACTTGGTTGACACATGTCATCGGTTCCCAATTGCGCAGATCGATGCTCATGCTGTTGATCACTGGGTTGTCTGGTCCAGACTCTATTATCCACAGACCGCCGCCATATAGCTGGAATATTGCTGAGTGTGGCGTAAAACTAAACTCACTCACTCACCATGGGTGATGTCCGTATGTCATCACTTGCACTTACCCATGTCCACAGAGACTTGCAAGTAAACACACCATGTCATTCAGCAATTTGCTGCTCCGAAGAGGAGGCGCATGGATTTCATTTTAGACTGTACATACCATGCTGACAGCAATAAAGTTTACTCCTCAGAATACAGACTTTCTCTCCTTATTGATCCACATAATTGTCATTTGTTCAAATTATGTATATATATATAAAGTAATCAAAAGTAGGTATTCTAGCATTCAGTGTGTATTTACAACACTACATGCAACAATTGGCTTCAGCCGATATAACAAGCACTAGTCTACAGATCTTTCTATATATGCATATAAACTGTGTACTGACTTCTGTTAACCCCACACACACCCTCAAGAAAATGCATGGAAAGTTGTTGTTTTCTATTTTCCTAAAAAGTAAATCAGCTGGTACATAACATTTTATGGCCAAATAGAATAATTACTTTTGCTGACAGAACTGTTTTGTCATTGCTTAAATATGTTATAAAATATTTGTTAGAATACTAAATTTATCCCTGTTCATTTTCAGTAACTTCCCTATGAAAACATATTTTTATGAAAAGTTTGAAATACGCTTTTTCCAGAAAATATAGCAGGAAATGCTGTCTAGAGTAACCCTTTTTTTTCAAATTTTCTTGAGGGTCATGCCCACAAACCCTCCTAGAAGTCTTTCTTGGCATACAATCGCATTCCAAGATATCGCGATGTCCAGTTGTGCCTACATGCCATTTCTTTCCGCATGTCCAGTTGTGCCTACATTTCATTTCTTTCCTGGTTACGCCCCTGCCAAAGATCAGGTTCGATTCCCCACATGGGTACAGTGTTTGAAGCCCATTTCTGGTGTACCCTGCAGTAATATTGCTGGAATATTGCTAAAATCGGCGTAAAACTAAACTCTGAAAAGCAGCGCTAAAAACCCTGCTTATATTACTCACTCACTCAAATTCATGTCATGTTTTCCATGCTCCAAAGAAATGAGGTTAATGATGTAATTGAAGGGAGATCACTCCTGTAGCATCAAAACTTCATTAAGTCCAGAAAAGCATTTGTAAAATATCCCTACAGAGAAAAAAACGAATTGCCATCCTCTCACTGAATCCAGCGTTTTGTTATGTTGTATTTTGTACCCACAAGAAGAAAATCACAAACAAATATATTGCTAATTGGTTTTATTGCTATGTTCACTATTCCTGTAAAACAAAATATTCTGAATATCACTCTACTCCATAGCTTGTAACTTATGGTTGCTCTATGCAAGAGGATAAAATGTTTTATCCAACATTGCCTCTTCTGAGCAAATACTCTACACATATTGATATAATCAACCATGTCACTTGACCGCCAAGGTGTCCCTTTCTAGGATGCTCTATGGCACATGAGGAAACGTGGGGAGGGGCAAAATATGACCAACAGACCTTCAGATTTTTTTATATGACACTATTTGTCTCAAGTTACAACACAAATACAAGCAACAATTACTTCATCATTTCTAAAGAGGGCTCATAGTACACTACTATACATTTTAGGTGGATTGAATATATTACTCAATATACTGAAGAGATCATACTAATTTTTCATGGAAAGAAACATCTGTATAAGGGGATTTGTATGACAGTATTATCACAATGATGGTCACATTGCTGTTTTGGCACATTTGATTATACACCGATTGCATGCAAAAACACTTTCTCACGTAAATCTATGTAGAACTAACAGTTCCAGCGATTTTGCTGGAATATTGCTAAAAGCTGCATAAAACTAAACTAATTCACTCACTCACTCACTAACAACTAACCATAACTTTGCTATTTCAGCTGTTTAATGTTGATACTATAAGATGTCAGATACATACAGCGGTTAACACATTGCAGAAATGTGCATCCAATATGCACACATGTACAAAATAGATGCCGAAAAAAGTGATGCATAAAAATACCCATTGAGCCAAATTCTTGAGAAGATTTATAAAGTTCCTGTAAGTAAAGGAATTTTTAATCTTACCTTACAGTAAACTACACCATGGCCCTGTTTCAGAAAGTCATCGTAGCGCTTCCACTGTTGTAAGTATATGCTACAGTATAGGAGGTACGACAGTCGTAGAGCTAAGATAGCTTTGTGAAACAGGGACCTTGTGTTTTCTTTACAGGACCCTCTTACTTGCTGTAAGAACCCTTACAATTAGTTATTGGGGGTACTGTGGACCCCTAATTTTGGATGTCAAGGTAAAACGATGCACATAAGTTCAAAGAATCACAAACCTTGAGAAAATGAATCAGCAAAAATAAAGACAGAGCTTGTGAATCTTGGAATCATGAAGTCATGCACCATTCATGAACTTGAATTCGTATGCACAGCATCATAAAAGCCTATTGACATAACTTCTCCAGAACATGTTTCAAATAATATGGCAATTATAAGCCCCCAAGACAGACGTATTTGATCTCAAGATAGTCATCGATTCCGTATTTGCTGCCCTCTCTGCCAAGCCCTGACTCCTTCACTCCACCAAATGGCGCCTCTATTGCGGAGATGAGACCGTCATTAACACCACACAGGCCAACTTCCAACTTCTCCGCTACCCTCCAGATCTGGCTCAGGTTTTGTGAGTAGAAATATCCTGCAAAGTTACAAGACAATTCATGGTTCTTTTCAGTTCAGATATAAATTATTCAGTTTTTGAAAATCACAAAATCTTTTCCACCTGAACTCACAAAGTACAGGAATAGATTACATCATTGTCATCATATAACACAATGATAAACTTATCAGCCTGACTATGACTGTCCGAAATGGGACTTTTCTTTTAGTAAGAGAACTCATCTGCCAAGAGAACTCTGCCACAGAATTGTTGCCTTACCTGCCAAGCCACAATTTGATGAGTTTGCTATGGCAACTGCCTCCTCCTCCGTCTTGAACCTGCAAATCAGTCACAAATGGTGTTATTTCTCTGCTCTTAGTTATTTTTACTCATGTGGTTACCCAAAGAATATTTTCAGCTCTGTATTGCTTCATCATCAGTGTTTATACTGCATTAGAACAAGGTCAGAACATCTCTAGCTCGTACAACTTGACTTAAATGTCAGATGGCTAGAATGTGTGGCCTGTCCGTCAGCCATCGTGTCTGTTTCTATGCCAAATATGGGAAATTAAATTGGACTTGCTCCTCACAAGGAAATTTATTTGATCTGTTCAGGAAGAAAATACTTTAAGCTAGAGTTTTTGCAGTGAGACATATATCTGATAAATACAGGAAAACACGATGCTTGTATTGTAAAGGGATAAGTAGGTCCATATTCCTTCCTCATTTGATCCTGAGCAGAATACATGAAAATTACTTAATTTTTACATCAACAACGACGCTTCATGCTTTTCAGTGTATTGTGAAGGGACCATATTCCTTCCTCATAATAACTATCGAAAAGTCAATGAAAAACAGACTGAATTCAATTCAAATATTATGAATTTTACTTAATTAACTAGTGAACCATTTTCAGTGTGCTTCATAGTTATGACTGTAACATCACAAACTACTAAAAGTGGGAAAAACCAAAACTGGTTCTTCATTCATATTGCTGTATTAATCAGTTTCACATATCATAGTTATAGCGTATATAAAGGAGCTGGGAACCAGCTGAGTACTGGATGTAGAAACAAACTGGCCCTATAACCCAATATTACATAACCCCAGATGGTGTACTTTATCCAGTTGGCAATTGCATCTTATAAATATGTGAGAATGGTTAAGGCCTATAGTGCTGATTACATGTTTCCAGCTTACTTGATAACAGCAGCAACTGGTCCAAATATTTCCTCTTTAGCACATCTCATTTCCACAGTGACATTGGTGAGTAGTGTCGGCTCAAAGAAGTTCTCTCCCTTGTCTGATCGCTTGCCTCCATATACCAGCCCTGCGCCTAGTCTCTTGGCATCCTCCACTATGCTTTCTACCTGTCAACAAGTGGTACAAACAAGAGTCGTCAAATGATCATCTGACAGTTACTGAAGTCCAAGTTGATTTTAAAGACTAAGTCAAAATTGTTTCCATGGAAACCGAGAAAAATCAAAATACCAAAATCTTCAAATTGCAAAAGGCACCACCTTTATCCGTCTCATAATAGTTTTATTGATGGATATTTTTCAGTTATGCTCCAGAAACAAAGCACACCTCTCGAAATGAAACAATTACGGACTGAAATCGAAGGCCCCACTTTAGGTTCTTTTACTATAATTGCCATGCATTACACGCCAGGGGATAAAAAGAAAGAAATAAAAGAAATCAAAAATCATGGCAATAGAATAAAGATACTTCCATCAAAAATAATTATTTTTTAAAAACAAATATAGAATTATCTTTTTGCCGTTGACCACCTTACCTTGTCCACAGCCTTGCTGTTGATGAGAGGTCCCTGAGTGGTGCTGTCGTCAAAGCCATCCCCAACTCTCAGCTCTTGCTTCATGACTTCAGCGAGACGTGCAACATATTGGTCATACACTCCTTCCTGAACCAATATCTTGTTGGCACACACACACGTCTGAAGAAAACAGGAAACAGTGATCAATTGTGCTGTTCACCTGATGAAACGGAAAGTTTGATTCATGTTTGTGTGAAGATCTGGTGCACTGTGGCCAAGTTACTCAGTTACAGATGTGTTGGCACACAGAATTTCCAAAGTTAAAAAGAAATTGTGATATTCCATGCAGTCTTGTTGCTGATATGCAACTTTCATGACATCGTTCAATATTCAAGGCTGGTCCAGTTTTATGAGTGTCAAGATCTTATTACAACTATTATTAGATTTGCGGCTCAGTGAAAACCAATAATATCAAAGAGAATTTCAAAACAATCATCAATTTGTCACAGTTGTATTGGGCCGCAAGGTAAGAATTTAAGCTCCCAGCATCAAATGTTTGCTGTTACCATTTGACTGAATGAGTTGGGTCATAAGGCTCGGAGATTGCATGTTATCTTTTCAAATTGTGTGATTGATGGTCTTAATGTTAATCACTGCATTGTATGGTCCAGACTCAAAGACTTAGAATTGATCTTCAGTAACCCATGCTTGTCGTAAGAGGCAACTAATGGGATCGGGTGGTCAGGCTCGCTGACTTGGTTGACACATTTCAACGTATCCCAATCACGTAGATCGATGTTCATGCTGTTGATCACTTGATTGTCTCGTTCAGACTCAATTATTTACACACGCTGCCATATAGCTGGAATATGGCTGAGTGCGGCGTAAAACTAAACTGACTCACTCAAATATTTAGAGACAGCTGCTGTATTACTTGATGGGGTGTTTAAAAAACAAAACAAAAATCACTCACCTGTCCACTACATCGAAACTTGCTGACCATGGTACCTTGGACCGCTGCCTCAATATCAGCACTGTCGAACACAATGTACGGCGCGTTGCCGCCCAGCTCCAGGGAGACTTTCTTCACTGTAGAAGCTGACTGCTGGAGAAGAATCTGTAATGGGAGACAACTCTTAGTGAAGATATCAACCATGAACACCATTAGGTAAGACTTCAAGTTTCCAGCAACATATCCGAAGAAATGTTTTGCATTGTCAGGCTGAGGATTGCATGTCATGTTGATGCAATATTCCAGCGATAGCACGAAAGGCAACACAAGAAATGGGTTTCACACATTAATTAATATAATAACTGTATCCTTGAAAAGCACTAAAATTATTAACCTGGTCAGTGGATTAGTGTACTACAACCCAAGCTGATGATAGAAGGTAAACAGTCACATGACCATCTCATCCCACCAGGTACCCATTCACTGCTGTGTGAACATTTGAATGTTTGAATCTAAAGTAATAAGCCTGGCAAGGTTTCACAGATATGACACAAATGTAGCTTGACCGATGACCGATATCTGGATTCAAGGACTCTCACCTTCCCTGTTACTGTGGAGCCTGTGAACGAGATCTTCTTGATGATGGGGCTGGCGCACAGTGTATTGCCAACAGAGGGCGCATTGTCCCGTGAACTGGTCACCACATTCAACACTCCGTCTGGAAGCCCTGCCTCCTTCGCAAGCTGGGAGAAAGATAGAGGCTACTGAATAACTGTCGTCTGATTGGATAATTGTGTTGCTGTAACAACTTTATTTTTGGTTAGTAGAGAAATATTTTGAGGTCAGATTCTCAAAGAATATAACATACGTTCTGTAGCAAAACATTTTGAGTCTACTGGCCCGATCATGGCACATAGGATCATTTTCAGTCAAATTTAGTGAATTTACTTAACCAAACAGTATTTTACTGGACTTGGGTTTCACACTAATGGCTTAAGAAAGCAATAGTTTCTTGGGTAATATAACAATCTTCTGTGTAATGCTGCTGTGCAAATGAAAGTTACAATTTATATAAACCAGGGAAATATTGTTGTGGATTTTCAAAATGAAAATATTTAAATTTCGTATCCAGGGAAAGCATTTAGCTCTAATTTCATAGATATGTTTGTAATTTGTTTGGAAGAGGCGAGATTAAGTTGTCAGAATTTACAGAGGGCAATATCAATCATGACAAGAGCTTGTACTGATGCTCTCAAAGTAAGCTCAAACATCAACAAGGACCAGTCTGCTCCAAGCGCTCCTCCCTGGATGACAGAAGGTGTCCTTGATACCCGCTACTAACCTGACACATGGCCAGAGCTGATAACGGGGTGTCTTCTGCTGGTTTCAAGACAACAGAACAGCCGGCAGCAATGGCCGCACATGCCTTCCTGGTAATCATAGCACTGGGGAAGTTCCACTGGAACACAAATATATTCAATGTCCAACTGCTGTGAAACTTAATCCCTTACAATATAGAAACAAATGTTTACAAATCACTGCCAATATTAATTAAGTGTTCTTATTCATTTTTAGACTTTGCATTTCCACGGCAATAATTTCATCACTGCTTTAGATGTGGGTTTTATATTCTGAAGCAGAACAGGATAAACCATTCCCTTCTATGTGAACATCAGATTTAAAAGCATATCATCTTATAGTCTGTTTGCAGTGAAATTTCAAAACACTTAAATCGATGAATTTCTTGTTTTAAACAAAAAAGTGGATCAAATAAAGTGAAATTGAGATTGGGAATCTCATAATTTTACCTTGCCAATTAAACATTTAAATTTCAAAATTTTATTCAACTTAGGATAATTCTGAGTTTAACAGACAATCATAGATTCAAGTCACTGATTATTGGTCTTGTATTAACAAGCATGTAAACAAAACATAATAACAGTGATACAAATGCTTGGTTGCAGTACAAATGAGCTCGTCAAAATTATTCCATACCCTGAATCTGTTCTCGGTGTTAGATTTTAATTTGACGCTTGTTTTTCAAAGTAAGTGCAAGTACCGCCATAAATTTTGGCCATCCAGAATGTTAGTTTTCAAATGTAATTGAAAAATTTGGCAAAATATTTTTCAAAGATTATAGAGATTTTCAGAAATCACTAGTTTGAGATAAGTTTAAGAAAGCTGTTTTCTGATTGGCAACTGTCAACCTCTTTGTTGGTCATGTTTATGAAAGGTCATTCTGACCTAACCTGCAATGGTACGTCCTCATGTCCTTGTGTGAAAGAATTTTGGGTACAGGGTTCAACATGTAAAATTGTTCTGATACTTGTTTTTATCACTTCATACACATGCTCTTGGGTTTCACAGAAGACCTCAGCTGTGCATCACTTCCATGTTCATTTACATATCATTGGACAACCTTGGTAGCATGCACTATCATAAGTTCTGTTTCCCCATGTTTGACTTACAGGAGTGATCATGCCGGCCACACCAATGGGTTGTTTCAAGACCAGCATCCTCTTGCTGGCAGCCGTTGATGGAATGACGTCACCATACACGCGCCGGGCTTCCTCCGCATACCATTCGATAAATCCAGCAGCGTAGTTAATCTCACCTATGGCCTCTCTCAATGGTTTGCCCTGTAGGATAGGAAATATTAAGTGTATCTTGATACTGGCAGTGTGAGTGGGTATTACAGAATTGCAGATATAAGACAATACTTTCATTTGTCACCCTTAAAATTATAGGCCAGAGGACCTGCATTCAGGGACAGAATTATTTTCTAATGGTGAGTGAGTGAGTATGGTTTTATGCCGCTTTTAGCAATATTCCAGCCGTATCATGGCAGGGGACACCAGAAGTGGGCTTCACACATTGTACCCATGTGGGGAATCGAACCTGGGTCTTCACCAGCTTCAGTCTGCTAGTACAAGACAACCGGATGCATAAACCATTATGGCTACCCCACTGCCCCAATTTCAAATGTCAATGGCTTCATTGGGCACTCATCAATGTGTAAAGGCGTGCCCATTGCTATTAAGAATAACAAGAATACTTCTTTTGAAACATCATTGGGCTTGGTGCATAGTATATGCTTGCATTGACAATACTGAACTCTTCGGATCTGTAGCTCATACTGAGCAAAAACACAATCCACTGTTTATAGCTGAGCATACAAGAAGGGAAAGGTCACACACTATAGAATTTGTTTTCTCACGTTTTCAGCTGTCAATAGTTTAGCCAACTCCAGCTTATTTTGATTGGTCAGATCAAACCACTTCCTGAGAATCAAGCTCCGTTCCTGCAAAAAAAAATCCAAAGTAAATTTTCAGGAACATTGAGTCAGTCATCATTTCCAAATGGAGAAATATTTTATTACAAACACCCACTATGTGTAAACTACTGAACACTTATACCTGTTAAAGGAGACCATTCAAACCAAGGAAAACATGAATGATTTCAGGATAATTTAACTTACTACATACACATGGTGCCTACCTTTGCTGTGGTCTCCCTCCACCTGAGGAATGCAGCATTAGCTTTCTCTATGGCCTGCTGTGTGTCATCTGCATTCATGTCAGGGACAGAACCAATCGCCTTGCCTGTTGACGGGTTGGTGACTGGAGGGAAACAGGGGGTGGAATATTAGAGAGCCATCGGTGATGCCTGTTTTCTTAACCATTTTTAACACTGGGTGTGGTGTGGACAAACCAAGAATCATAATAGGCCAAGACTCGAGCCCACAATCACAGGATCTTTACATGCCTTTAAAGGCCACTCTGCAACTTGCTGTGTCAAACAGGAAATGCCAGATTGAAACCTTATGGAAAATCAATATTGTCATTAAAGTATTGCACTTAGAATTGTGAATGACAACTAGTTTTTTTAAGTCCCTCACCCAAGAGAATTTTTTATCACATCTATGTAACTTCTTTACCTGAAGTCCTACAAAAAATTAGCTTGTGTTAAAGACTTCATATTGTTCAAATGTTCGATGTATACACACACTTCCTGAAAATATTTATAATATGCATTTTAATGTGCTTCTAGATCCAAAAGGAACAAGGCCAAAGTCAAATTCACATTCACATTAACGCATCTGAGAAAAATACTGCTTCGTAATATTTTCCAAACTGTTTGCTAATTTCTTGAATTATTGACATAATCTTACTTTGGTACACCGAGCCTGACTTAGCTGTGACCCACTGCCCATTGACAAAAGCCTTGTCAAAGAGGAAACTGCTGGCACTGCGGACCCCCGAAGCTGCAGGTGGTACTGTATCCATGGCGATGATGTGAAATATCCGGAGCTGGGAAAGTTTCAGTTGTCTGGACAATATTTGTACTGACCGTGAACACATGCAACAAACCTGAAAATTCAAAAAATATATCACTGACATTCAATATTATATTCAACTGGTACACAACAGAACCTTTCCTGAGATGCAGAAAACCATGCATGGTACATTTATGAATGAAACGAAATGTTTTTGATGCTGCTGCCTTTCCCACTGTTCAGGTTCAAATCTTTCAACATTTAGAAAACAAATTGTTTGCAGCACATCATTGGGTAAGTGAATTAGGCATGACACCATTTGGGATGGTATTTTGGATGACCAAGTGAGGTTAAACACAGCTTTGGCTTGTACTTCAGTCATAAGAGTGAATGAGTTTTAAGACCTCTTTGAACAGTATTCCTGATCCATCAGGGCACATCTGCTTCATATGGAAGGATAGCCCGACGTAACGCCAGTGTATGAAATAAGGCGCGTCCGACCGCCCGAGACGGTCTAAATTTACAACTAGCCAGCCCAATGGTCTGGTAAAAATGTTAGATGTTCCATACATCTGAGTAAATTCACCATATTTGGTCTGGTTAAATCCATTTTGGGCTGGTAACATTTTGAAGTTACCCGCCCTGATGTCTGGCTGGGTTTTCGGTTTATTTCATACACTGGTAATATGCAGGTCTCAGATGCTTACACGAGCACAGCTATGGTGCTGACAAACATGGAAGCATGATTGGGGCGAACTGGGATTCGAACCTAAGAACATAGGTTTCTGGCATGCCCAAGGGACACAACTCTGCACAGTGAATTAGAGCGCTTCAGATCACAGGGTCCCTGTGGCCTTTAGTCATGTGTGTGTCTCAGACATATCAGGAACGGTGGGGTAGCCTAGAGGTTAAAGCGTTCGCCCATCCCGTCGAAGACCTGGGTTCGATTCCCCACATGAATACAATGTGTGAAGCCCACTTTTGGTGTCCCCCATCGTGATATTCAACTCTGCTCAGTGAATCAAAGAGTATGGTGATGAGTGAGTGAATTTGGTTTATGCCGCACTCAGCAATATTCCAGATATATAGCGGCTGTTTGTAAATAATCAAGTCTGGACCAGACAATCCAGTGTTCAACAAGCATGAGCATCGATCTGCGCAACTGGGAACCGATGACGTGTCAACCAAGTCAGCGAGCCTGACCACCCGATCACGTTAGTCGCCTCTTACAACAAGCATGGGTTGCTGAAGATCAATATCTTCCATTTTGTAAAATGTCTCAGTAGCCAAAATTATTGACCTTGGGGGTTGACAAGACACAATAAATAACAGTTTCACATTATATAACAATACGACTACATGGACTTGAAAACATTTTGGGTCATTGATTTTGAGAAACAATTGTCAGAATCGATGATCAAAACTTTCACAAGACTTGCATCACACAGTATGGCAGCACATATCTGAATAAATGACTTCTCCCTAGGCATTGGAAGGTGGAGTAACGATTACTTTAACTAAACACATAATAAAACATCCATCAGACCAACAGATCACACAGTTAGCAATCAGTGCATCCGATCTAGGCGATTCTCGTGTACCGTCCCCAATGCAGTTCAGTGTGTGTCACACAAATGTCACTTCCAAAACACCCTATCAGTGAACCTCCGTGAGTACGGCCCCAGCTGATACTGAACGAGCAACGACTCAGTCAATCACACGCAGCCGCAGATACAGAGTGCACAAGTGTTGCTCTATGACACATCACCGCAGACTAGTAATAGTATGGTCAACTTCATGCTAAGATTGTACGTACCATTCTGAATCCTACACCATACACAGTTATCACGTTGTGGTGTGAGTGTGACCCAGCGCCTCGCTGAGGGACCGTTTATTGTTCACGACTGGGATACCGTATTGGTCATAACAGAGATCATATAATACTTTCACCATTGCTGAAGTTTTAAGCAAAACGATCAAATACCGTTACTCAAATCACGAAATATTTCGTGTGGTTAACTTTAGATATTGATTTTTAAGGGTATACCTGTGTTATTTTCTATATGGGTGCTTTCAATGCCTTCGACAACATTGGCGAAGACGTGTTGACAAACTGAAACCAAAGTTAACCTAGATTGACCAAACCAGCAAATGTTCATTTACATTTCACTCATAACCCATACTTCGATTTACCTAAATTCTCCATATCCTGAACCCCAGGAGCGCGGGACCCTAGCTGGTTAATAGCCGATCCTAGATACCTCATCGTAAAACAGTTTTAACATTTATTCATTCAATCGTGAATAAAAGGGTTTAAAAAATATTATTAACTAATTATTATAGTATATGTGTATTCTGTAAAAAACGTTTGGGAAAAAAACTTTATAATAGATTGTTGATCCAAACACCTTTGACACAATGACATTGCATACAACTTATAATTTCTTTTAGGTGATAATTTCACCTTTTTTTATGAAATAGAAACGATTTAGCTGGCTTTACCATGCACTAGACACTTGCTAACCTTTCATAGTTTTGTTTCGATAGTCTAGCATCTAGTCTTCGATAGTAAACTACATCTAGCAAAAGAAAGTTATCACCGACTTCACTTGACCAAAACATACAGACGTATTGGGATATTTATTATACAGTACTTTAAAAAAAAAATCATTTTCCAATAATTTGACCGACAATTCTTTGTAATGCTGGTCTCACATTTGCCGCAATTCTTGAAGAAAGAGTCAAGGGGTCAACATTAAAATTTAGACAAATCAGCGTAATTTTAAAAAGTGCATAAAGAGTTACATAATGAGACCGGAGTGGTGGTGGAATTGGGTTTAACGTCGTGCTTGAGAATATTTCGCTCATATGACGATGAGACCGGAGTGAGGGGACACGTCATCAATAGGGAATGTGACCACCCTGGGCATCAACACAGGTCGCCTCATCGTCGTCGTCAGTCGGCGGATGACGTCCTCAGGATTTCTGTTCCGTAAGTCCATGAGAGTCTGTTAAAGTTCCTGTCAGTTCGCTGATGATGGTACACGCTGCCTCACCTGACAATCAAGATGATCCTAGAGATGTTCAATGGGGATCATGTCTGGAGAATGTGCTGGCCAAGGCAAGACGTTGACATTAATGCAGGTATTCTCGAACACTTCTGGTGGTGTGAGGCCTTGCGTGTTGCAAAATGACTCCTCTTGGCTGTTGTCGAATAAAAGGCACCACAAAAGGTCTCACAAAAGGTCTCAACACTTCATCCCTGTATCGCTGAGCATTCAGATTTCCTCGGATGATAAGCAGCCTCCTTGTTCTCTGGCCACAAATGCCGCCCTATACCATGACGCCTCCGCCGTCGAGCGAATGAACTTCTCGGAAGCGGTTTGGCGTCAGTCGCTCTCCTCTACGTCGCAAAACTCGAACTCTGCCATCATTTCTGAACAGATCTTCATCTGTAAAGAGCACTCTCGCCCAGTCACGTCGCTGCCACCGACGTACAGATTGCAGTCTGCGTTGAAGATGTAGACGGGCCAAGGTCATTCCACGGAAAGGGCAGTTGGCTCGTATACCAGCCATACCAAGTCGCCGAAGGACTGTTCCATTGCTGATTGCGCGTCGTAGTTCTGTCGCCGTCACCAACCTGTTCCGGGGGTGGATCTACAGGAAGAAGCGGTCCTCGGCCGATGTCATGACTCTTGGTCTTCCCGATCTTAGGCGGCATTGGGTCTTGGCCATACTTGCAGGGGCGTAGGAACACATTTTTCAAGACGAAACCATATCTACCTTACCATAACTACAATTTCATTTTGATTTTCAATACTATTCATAAATTAGCCCCCCCGGAAAACCGTTCCTTCGCCCCTGACTTGTCATATTCGTGGTCGGTGTTTGGGTTACTGTATGCTTGCTCTGGCCAACATCGGTATCAAGCATGCCTCAATCATGCAAGTGCATTTGGACCAATGTCCCACAATTGCGTTTTCCACGTTTTCAAAAATGCACGATTTCTACGAGGTTTTCGGACAGCTAGATGCGTCGTTATCGGGACTACGTTTTCTATTGTATACATTTATTTAAAAATGATAACTTTTGCCCGGTAGTTTGTTTTTCAGTCGGAAAAGGGTTCCTGAATTATAACCATAAAATATAACAAAGTGACCAGAGATAATTTTCAGTTTGTTGCAGATTTGGGATCGTATAGCGGTTTCTGAGGCGGTTTAGATAAATCCAAGCGTGTGACCGAACTGTCAATTATAGGGTGCCCCCAAAAAGGTTATTGACACCCACATTTGAGAAATAGTTCAAAGCGCCGTCACTCACTCACTCACCCAGCTGAATGTTTGTGAGAGAGTCATTCCATTCATACATGGAAGTAGGTTATATTTAGTTAACAGATCGGGTGACAGGCCTAAATCTCCATGTGTCGTGAAGAGACGTGAACTCACATGTGTGGCGCCTGCTTAAAGTGTGACCACTGTGACGAACTGGCTCCTTTAAACCTTCGTCCATGACATAACTGTTAGTTTGATTTCTAGAATAACGCCACTGTCAGCAATATTAACAGACTGTTTGTCTTCAAACAAATCAGTGATAATGCAAAACATTTGTACCATAAGAAATGACGTATTACATCTGAGTAGAAGGGTTTAAATCAGACAATTTTCTACCGTGTGTGCAAATGCAACCCCTCGCAGTATGGTGTATTACAATCACTTGCAATAAACGTAGATCATTATCTTAACACCTTCGGATTTTAAAGTGATAATCATACTTTCTTCTGTCTGGTCTAGTTACAAAATATGGCCTGATTAAAAGTCAAATGTTCCCAAACTGCTTCAACGTTTACTCATGCTTTCGACCACTGGTTTGTTTGATACAAACGTGATTGTTTGTAGGTCTCTTTTGTTATACGGTATATCTTGTGTCATCTTTCAAATATAGAGCTGCTACATAAGATGTGTGTACATTACTAATGAGTATGGTTTTACGCCCCTTTGGCCAATATTCCAGCAACATCACGGCGAGGGACACCAGAAATGGGCTTCACACATTGTACCCATGTGGGGAAACGAACCCGGGTCTTCGGCGTGACGAGCGTACGCTTTAACCACAAGGCTACCCCACCGCCCCACATTACGATGAATGACAGGTCATCCAGATTTTTCATACGTTTCTCATCTGCAACGTCAGCTGGCATCAGTGTGGGTTGGCAAAATAATATGATAAATAATGATAAATATGGTTTTCACTAATTCCATAACTTATCATAGTACCCAAAAAACTTGGTACCAGCATTTTAATTTAATCTAATATCTGACGTAGTTCAAGTCGCATTGCTTCGGAAATGATTTTTTAATAAACCTAACTGAAGCAAGACGATTCTGTATTTCATAACTATACAATGGCAGTATTTGTCCGTCGCACCAGTGGATACTGTCCATAGTTGGAGAGAAAACTGAGATACGGAAACGTATTATTTTGCGTCAAGTGAAATTTAAGGGGGTGAGCGGAAGACAAGAAACTCAGAAAAAATTCCCTACAACCTAACCAGGACAAGAACCTCAATAAATCAACACAAAGGTCGACCTTGGGAACAAAATATCTGCAGTTATAACGTTGGCGGCTCTCTGAGCCTCTAAATACTGAGAAACCTGTGTTTATCAACCACCACCTGTTATATTCTTACCTGTAGCTCGAACTGTCGCCAAGAAAAGGACGGTTTACCTGTGACCTATCGCTTATCAGCCGCTAGATATTAGGGGAAGGGTGTAAGTTCGCTGGCGTCCTAGTTTACTCCTCGTGTACTCTGGTCAACACAAAACCCGCTCCTTCTCTAATGTTGTGAAAATGTTCCTCCAGTTTGTCAAAGTAATTATATCGTTCATAAGTGAGACTGATTTATGCCCTCATCCACAGCAGATATATTTAGTTTCATAAGGTATTTGAAATTCCACGTTTACTGAAAATGAACAACTCTTTGAATGTTAATGATGCGTTGTCGTTTATATCAAATATTGTACGTACTACATCACAGAATGCTGCATGACTTGACAGTTTAAATGGACAGGCGAGTGTACACTCCTGAATACATACATATCAATGATATATACTCCAGCTTGGATGAGTTTTTATACAACCTGTGTATTTTCTATTTTCTTTATGTTTATTAAAAAAACACCAAGCGTATGTGCTTTTTTGTTGAGGAGGGGTAGTCTTGTGGGTAAAGCATTGGCAAGTCACTCGGAAGGCTTGGGTTCGATTCTCCAAGACCATATGGGTCACCGTGATATTGCTGAAATCGTGCTGAAAAAGCGTAAAACCATGCCCACTCACTCATTCTGTGCTTCCAGTAAGGAACTCACAGACAGCTATATTCTGTTTCTATTAATTGCTATGGTTTTCCTTCTAAACTGTATAAATGCAGTCTACGTATGTTATAAATATCAGCTGTTACTAGTATATGCTTGAAGTATCTGTAGGTACAACATCATATATTCACCATTTGTGTATGTGTCTGTTGCAGTAACGCGTGTCATCCGTGCAGATTGACAAAGTCTAGCTGTTGTCACAAACCCAGCTTGTATATGGGTCAGTGTATTTAATGACTCTACATGTTATGTATGTGCTCCAAAGGTCAAGGCTGTTAGCTCTGTATCACCAGATAGCCTGGGTAGCGTCGGCCGATAGAAGTATGCGCGGACAGAATGGCGTTATATAATTAACCTCGCATACGTATCTGAGATAACGGCGTATGTTAACATCCTCTCTCTGATTTCACAGATATATTCCATTGGTGATCCAAACTCTTCAGCCTACAGACTATACCTGCCCTTTGGGACAACTTAATTATTATCGAGGATGAAAAATGTTTGACCCAGATGATCATGTGCCATTGTACTCCGCGTATATGTCACAAGGCTACAGAATTTATTATTTTGTTAATATAGATCACTCGATGTCATTGTGAGACAGATCGTCATCGGGGACCAAAAGAATATTTTTAAAAACAATTATAGCTGTCTCCCATCACTACTACAACCCCGATGTCGGTCTTCAATTTATCTACCGTGAAAATCCGGATTTGAATTTATCTTCAGTAACCCATGCTTGTCGTAAGAGGCGGCTAACGGGATCGGGTCGTCAAGTTCGCTGACTTGGTTGACACGTCATCGTATCCCAATTGCGTAGATCGATGCTCATGCTGTTGATCACTGGACTGTCGTGTCCAGACTCGAATATTTACAGACCGCCGCCATGTTGCTATAGAATATTGCTGAGTGCAGCGTAAACTATAAACTTACTCACTCAATTTATCTCAGATCCTAACCGCATCGTTTCTCACTCCATCCCTGTGGCAAGGGTTCCTGCTGAACTGCAAGACGACCACTGGTAAAGTTCTTGACAGGGAATATTGAATTATATTCGCTGCAAACTGATTACATTTTGTATTGTTTATTGCTAGACGACCACCGGCCATGTTCTAGACAGGGAATATTGATATATCCAATGCAAACAGCCTACTGTTCAGCATAGTTTACTGCACGGCGCAAACAATCCAGATCATTTTAAGATCACGTCAACAACCGAATGGCGTCATTGAGACCAGCTGTACTGAAGATCGATATTATTTCAAATTGTCCCGAAAACTGGAAATCAGTCGTTTTCCCTGAACCAAAATACTCTTCACCATCTGTCACCTGCTACCGATATGAAAGCACCGTCTATGCATGGATCCTGCAATATCTTCAGTTCACGTTGGAGTCGTTTGGAATTTCGATCCGTCTGAAGGTTCCGAAATGTCCCTTAATTGATTTCGAATCCGCGAATGATGGGTTAATCAATACCAGCGCAGATTCCAGGGACCATGTGTCGATAGTCCCCCTGCCCCGACTTAATAACGTGGGAATATGTCACTCTTGTCTTGTATAATGTTTGATCGCTGAATTGAGGCGTTAAATGATCTACTACAGTACCGAGCAAAAATAACTCTCTCTCAATCGTTAGCTTACCTAAGACGTTTGGGTATTGGCGTAAAAGTCAAATCGGGTGAAGATACGCATTGTTTTCAACTTGACAACCTTCATTATGAAAAAAGTGTTTATTGAACAATTTCTTTGGGTTTTTCAATGAAGATAACACAATCCAATTAGATTTGGTACCGTGATGTTTACTTCTTGTTTCCGTTGTGGTGAAGGCGCTGAAACAAATATAGGTCATTAGGCTTCAATTCCATTACATTAGCGTTGAACACGACATAATTATTAAGTTCTGAATTTGGAATAGAAATGAGAACATTATGTGGGGATTCATGGTTATATCGTCAAAAACGATAAACAGTCAAACTTCGTTGTGTCGAAGCTGAAGTGACGTGCGTAAATACTTCGAGTTATTTGACGTTCGACACAACTGCAAGATGGTGACTTAAATAAGAATACTCAGAGACAAAGCTTTTTCTTCGAGACAACCGTAACTTCGACATATCAAAGTTCGACACAACAGTATTTAACAGTATATATACATGCATATGTATCAGGTTTCACGTATATAAGGAAATAATGTCCTTACGTGGTGAAGATAAGCTTCAAACTCAACCTTGTCTACCGAACCATTTGCTGTAAATGAAAGAAAATATATAACTGTACATGCATTTGAACTCTCTTTCGGTTATATCATGTTCTGTGATACATGTCGACGAAAGTATGGCGTGTGAATATTGTTTTACTCTGCTTAACGCCCGGTGGGAATAGAATCGTATAGTCGGCTTAACGAGCTTAAAACCCATCTAACTATATTCTTTGCTGTCCAGAAAACTTAATTTAAATTAATTGGGCGTATGGAAAATGCCTGTATGACCATGACTATCGCGATAAGAACCACGTCAATGAAACATTTTCAGATCAGTAATTGTAATTCAAAAAGGGTTTATTAAAAAAAAATTAAAAATTATTTTCCACATATACTGACCGTCGCCGTCGAATGCGGCGGTTATTGTCTTGATCCCGGCGTCGTTGAGGGTGATCCAGCGGCGGTGACCGATGTCAAAGGCGTGGAAGAGGCTGACGGCGAAGGGGTGCATGTCGTGGTTCCGGTTGGTGGAACAGTGGAAGAATTCAGCCTCCGTCAAACGCTTATCATCTGCAATAAGGTTACAACAACTAAAGGTCGTCATCGATCCATAACCGAAGGCTTGACCATATAAAGTAACACGTGACTTAAACCTCCTCTTTGAATTAAGCAGTGCTTCAAAATACATGTTATCTTCAACTACATGCACGCACACGCTCACGCTCATACATCTCTTGGTATCCCTATATGCATATCCTTTCAACAGTGTTAGGGCCGGCGGGAAACTTTTGCACATCCGTCGAATTATCGACTTAATTGGAAACCACATTTTCTCGAAAAATTGAAAACAGATTCAGAGTTTATCATTTGCAACAACTTGGTTTAATCAATAATGACGATTTGTTGACTTTCAAACATGATATGTGTTTATTGAGGTACATGAAATACAATAACATTTCTGTTTAAGTTTTTAATTAAGTTTTGATACCATGTTGCCAAACATTAAAACAAAGCATATATAAAGGTATGTATATTCAGGGGCATTGCTACCATTATTAAAAAAGCCCGGGCTTACACATGATTTTTGCTTTTATATTTGGGCAAGCACCCAATAATATGTAAATATGAAGCTGTGCAACCTATCGGTCTTACACGAAAACAATGGCTTGCTTCGCGCCTGATATTGGTTCATCCAACTTTTTAAAATAATTGTTTTCGAAGCCAAGCGAGTCCATCCACATCAGAACTGTTTGAAAGACTATTACCAAGTGATAGGAATATATTTCATAAAGATATGTTACCCAGTTAGTGAATAACCTTTTAATTATTTTTTAACGCCAGACCGCTCTCTTGCCGGTTGAGTTCAGAGATTAAAGGCACATAACAAAATAGGGACGTACCGTTTCTGTCACAGCCGACGAGGTAGGTCATCATCTCGTCGTTGGAGATACTGCCGTCACGATCTTCGTCCTTGAGCAGAAACAGACGGTCCGTTGCCGACCCGATGGAAGCATAGCTGACAACGAAAATGGCCGTAAAATATTCGCTTTTTTTTAGGATAAAAAACTTCCTAATAATTTCCGAAAACATTTAAAGAACTTTATTATATTCGTTCATTTTGAGAAATGAAAACATTTAAAGAACTTGATTATATTCGTTCATTTTGAGAAATTAAAACATTTAAAGAACTTTATTATATTCGTTCATTTTGAGAAATGAAAACATTTAAATAACTTTATTATATTCGTTCATTTTGAGAAATTAAAACATTACTATTAAAATAATTGGTAAAACGATTTCTGGTATCTATGTCATTTGACTACACACTAACAGACATTAAGAGCTAAAACAGTTTGGCGTTTTAGTTTTTCTAAATTTCTTGTAGGGACTATTTTTATGACAAGTGGGTAATATTGTAGAACATGTGGTCATTTAGACTTGATAATGACATCACTACGGTCTTTCTTTTTTGTGTTTTTGAAAAAAAAAGAAGTTAGCGGATATCTGGAACAGCAAACGATGTATTATTTAAGATGCGATACAGTCGCAACCCACTGAACTAACTCACCAGATGGCGACACTCAAAAGAAGGAAACTCAAGGTCAACATGGCGACAGGTCCTGAAAGAACTAAAATAAGTTGTACAATCAGACTTAATTACAACTTATGTTTTCTTTATGAGAACAACCCACAACACATAACACACCACAATCCGCCCCCAACCCCGATATCCCTACCTTACCCTTAGCCCAGCCGTAACTTTTTTCATATAGGTGAGCTCCGGAATGTCCATTACCCTGGGGACATGGTTCATTATCGTGGTGTCTGGTCCTGTGCATAGAGCTCAGGTCGCAATCAGTTGGGCGTGTAGAGTTCCTGGATGGGTGACTGTGTTTGGCAGCTTGACTCCTGAGAGTTTTTAGGACTTCAGTCCTGCCCCACAAGGAAGCACGTGTGTGGTGCCCTAAAACCTACAATGGTCTTAAGTGCACACACGTGTGATACATGTGATCTCATCATAGGCGAGTGTGTTTGGTAAAAAAAATGCCTCTGTTCACCCAGCTGAAAAGGTGGGTACCCGGTGAAATAGGTGGTAAGACTATTATCCTTCAGTTTGGGTCATCCGGGGTAATAATGATCAGATTGTGCTCCTTGAGTAGGATATCTAGCCCCGAAAAGGCGCGTTTGAAATATCCTCATTATTATTATTAATATCGAGCCATAGGTCTTGAACCGATCCGGAGGTGAGCTGGGAAATTACTAAGAATATTCACAGAGCCAGCTTTTTATTCTTTTTGTACATACATGTCACCGTGGTTCAAATATGCGACAGCTGTTTCAGATCAAACCCAAGGACATTTTCCAACAAAACTAATGGTCAAGCTTAAGATTTGTGATTCGTAGTTGTCTCCGGGTCTTCTCTATGAACCGAGCCTTCATGCGTAAGCACTGTGTCTTCTCGGATACTGGTCACACATGCTTGTTTGAGTGGGAACGGGTTCAATGTACTAGTCTATCCCCCTTGAACACGTTTCCGATAACGTGGCAAAGTGTTAAAACACAATCAGAAAATCGTTGCATAATAGCAACTAATTGGTTAGCTGATTCCAACAGGAGCGTGTATGGTACATGACAGTACAATCAATAGTATTTTCAGGTCGTCAAAATTCAATGTGTTAATGATGTTGAGTGTTCTCGAACTCACCTACACCTCGGTGTCGACAGCAGGGAAAAAATGAAGAGTCGAGTCTTATCTCGGTTCCCAGTACTTTCACGATAAAAATGGAACTTGTCACATGCGTAACTCGAGTGTTTTCTTATCTAATGGCGTTAATACAGCACTTTATTCTTTGTGAAATGTGCGGCATTTAGTCCATCTGAGTAGTTGTGATCATCCATTTGACTTGCATACATTTGCCTCGACTCCTACTGTATCTTAGACTGGATCCGTACTGTATCTTAGACTGGATCCCTGCTGTATCTTAGACTGGATCCCTGCTGTATCTTAGACTGGATCCCTGCTGTATCTTAGACTGGATCCCTGCTGTATCTTAGACTGGATCCCTACTGTATCTTAGACTGGATCCCTGCTGTATCTTTACTGTATAGGTTAAACCCTTATTGGCTGGATCCTTAGCCCTTCTGTATCTTAGGTTGCTGATCCTTACTGACTCAGGCCTTGGACCCCTTCTGTCCCTACTGTATCTTGTATCTTAAGCTGGATCCCGACTGCCCTGGATCCCGACTGTACTTAGACTGCATCCCGACTGTAGATCCCTGTATCTTAGTTAATGTATCGGCATGGATCCTTGACTGGACTGTATAGACTGGACCCTGTATCTAGACTGGATCCTTACTGTATCTTTGGAGACTGGATCCTGTATCAGGCTGGATCCCTATTGTATCAGACTGGATCCTTACTGTATCCCTACTGTATCAGGCTGGATCCTTACGGTACAGGCTTGATCCCTGCTGTATAGACTGGATCCTTACTTCCCCTGCTGTATAGACTGGATCCTTCCTCAATAAACTGGGTCCCTAATGATTAAAAAGTAGGGAAAGAAAGGTATACCTGGTCCTAATTACAAAAAATGGTGTTTGGAATACGCAGATAATCATGATCCATAATTCAGATAATGGTGGAGTTTTTACTCCACAACAACTGAAACCTTTTTCGTTTCGTTTTTTTTATGTTTAAATAAAACAAATTCAATCCTCGTTTTAAAAAAGTCACCGTCGTTGTGTGTTTGAACCTGTTTCTGAGACACTGTGACAGCACATCCAGCTTGTCACGACCAAGGGCACGATTTAGAGTTACGTCCCTTAGAGAACTCTTCCCGTGGTTGCCGAGCGACTGGACGCACTTGCTGAAAGTAATGCAGAAAGAAAGTATTGTGGTGTGTTTATTTTCCAATGTCTTGTATATATATATCACAGAAATCAGTTTAAATATACTGTCAAGTATGTGTTTGCGTCCTGTCAAAAAGATATTTGTGTGTTAAGCTTAAAGAGCGATATCAGTTGATTACGAACATCGTCACCTGCTCACGTCACGGGCTCAGGATCTTGAAAAAACACACGATTGATTCGGTTAATCTTGGTGTGCTAATAAACGCAATAATTATATGCGTTTAACTGACATGTATGTCACTTGGTAATTACAAAATTGGCAATGTATGAAAGCTGATCAATCAAAGCATAAATCATAACAATTACTGAATTAGCCTGTGGTGATGGATCGGTTCTTTGAGTGGCTTTTTCAGAAGTTGGATATATGTCTCTCAGTGTGTTCAGATACAATTAAAGAAACATGTTAAAACTGATTCTTATCAGATGATGAATATATATTCAGGTGATTTGATTTGACAAGAATGAAATTTAAATCTTTCCGCATTCAGAATTACTAATTATTTTCATTTATCTATTTAACACATATAAACACACAATGTCTCTTCAGGACAACAAATGACTTTCATAGGTGAAGGTGAAAGAGCATGATCCTAATGTTTAAACATAAGGATTTGAGACTTTAAATTTCTTTTTCATTTTAAAAAACTGAGCAGTGTTGTATAAAATGTGACTATGTATACTTAAGATGTTTATTTCTACTTTGTTTCTCAGATCATCAAAGCCAGATTATGAATTATAATATATAGTGTATGAAACAGTATCATGTCTTTGAACGAATCCGTGTAACTTCATGTGTAATGTCTTGTTTAATTTTCGTCCTCAGATTGCTGAAATAAAGTGAAAGATATGCACTGTCTGCCAACCAAACACTGACACCGACCTGCACAGTGACTGGATACCAATATTTATACACGATGGAGTTAGAAGAAATATACCAACCATCCACTAATGACAAGGTCACCGACCTTGAGAAGGACCTCCAGTGTTGTATAAAAAATCCGCACTGAGTTGGCCGACCTGAAGAGTGAACTTGAAGAAAATGAAATACTTCATGGAATTTCACCCAAGTTCTCAGTCAGGTACCTTTATGAAATAGGTTTTATTGTTGTTTTCTCAGTCTGATACAGAAGTAATATGTTTGTAGTTTGAGATGACATTCAGACCTTATCATTATAAGCACAGCCTGTAGATACATGTAATTGAGTTCAAGACACACAAACCAGTGGTTGATACCGTGAGGAACGTCCCAAGTGGTCAGGTTACAGTGACACACCTGTGACTAATCAAGTCTTCAAGTCTGACCAGGTGATCTTTGTATTTAGATATCGCAGTCACCAAAGGTTCTTGAAACCCACTTCTAGAGCAGAGCTACAGATAACTTTTTGGGTCATTGAGTTATGTACTCACTTGTGTTCGTCTCAATTGGGTATCCTAATTTTCCGTTGAGTAACCAAATAAATTGTACTCACCTCACTCAAACTCAATAGTGTATTTTGCCATTTTTCATTTATTGTAAAAATATGTTAAAGTTTAAATGTTAGTGGTTGTTATTTATATTTGATCTGTAATATGAGAAACAATAAGAAAGACCGCAAGTTGCCAAGTTTATGTGCTTAAATAGAACCTCTCAGTATGCCTCAGTTATTTTATCTATCCACCGGTACGCAAGTTAAGACGACATTTTTATGTGTACGCATGTAAGATCACATTTATTGAGTATTAAAAATTCAAGCGTACTTGTACGCAATATACTTAATAGGAATTGAGTTTTCACATAAATATTTGCGTAATTTATGCAGATAGCAGCTTATCTGTACGTCTGTCTAGAGTGGATCTTTAGACCAGGTTGCTTGCTGTAAGATTATTTGTCAATACTCAGATTTCATTTCCATAATAGAATCACCATGAATAACTGCAAAATTGATGATGTGGCATAAATCAATACTCACTAACTCCACTGGGTACTGTACTATTTATAGAACTTTGATGTCTTTGTTTTGAAGTGATGATACCAATTGGGTAGAAGGATGTTTATCACTGGATTTTCTGGTCCAGACATGATTGTTGACAGACTGCTTCAATATAGCCTGAATATTGCTAAGTGTGGCGTTAAACAACAAACAAACAAATGGATCTGTTGAACCACAGATTACTTGAAGTATTTACGTAGGTCCTTTCAACTTCAACACAATCATGAGTGTTTCATCGTTACAAAAGTGCATGTGATTCTGAGGCAGTTTGATTTTCTAACATGGCAGTCATTTTTTGCATTAATGATTTCACATAGTTTCTTGACTGACTCATCATAAAATGGGGTAGACTTTTGTTACATTATTTCATTTAGAAGATAAAGCTACTGTGTTTTCAATTTTGCGGTCCTAAATTATCGTTGATTTATGACTGCTAAATGTAATTTAAAAAGCAAACGTGTTATGCTTTGAGCAAGGACAATTATTTGATTTTTCTCAAGTGAATTATTAATCTCACCTACTGTATGACAATCGACTCGCCCAATTCAAGCCGTGAACTTGCTAAGTTAAGTTGTCGCTAACTTTATTCATGGAAGTAATTGTTGATAACCATGCAATTTGGAAAAGACCTGACAATATTGCCAGCTTTTATGTGGGAAACATGGACAGTGGAAGTGGAAGACTGGGCATAATGGACGGGGCGGAAGCAGACAACTGCAAGATCTAGACCCGCTTTGAAGTGCAGCAGAATACTGGGCTTTTTGTGCTGCTGCTGAATTTTCCACAGCCTCAAAGTTTCTTCACTGGGATTAGGGTCAAGAAATTCTTCTTCAAACCATTCGCTTTTCACTCTGAAAGCATCAAAGATGCTGCTGAGGTAGAAATCACTGATGTCTGAAATGTTTGTTTACAAACAAAACGGTCAACGAGTTCATTGCATTCAATCTGTCACTTTCATTAGCGGTCCTTAAACTGCCATTTAAGTACGGTTGATGAGTCAATCAGAATCGTGTATCACACGATGTCATGCTAGAATGAACAATATCACTGATTTTGTACTGCTGTGTACATGTTTCTTTGCCTTAATAAGTCTGTGAGGTTAATATTGTTGACATAATTATTTATACAGATTGATCTCAATATATTTTTGCATATATTATAACTTGTGTTGGAGCTATTGATAGAATAATCAGTCAATCAATCAATCTTGCTGGCATCAGTGATTATCGATGGGCTCAAGAGACTAAGTGATATTCATAAAAAGTCAAACATGATCATCAAACTAAACTCTAGAACGTATGACCGGTGTGTCGGTTGGTGTGGAGTGCTTCCAGGTCTTGTGGATGACCTTCCAGAGAAACAAGGCAGCTATCGAAAGGTAGGTCCACTTTTGCATCGATTCTACCATCCGCCGCACCTTCTCGATATCCAAATGGGTCTCTTCTTGTTCCTCCTCTACGCTTTCTATTTCCTCCTGGAGTTCTTCGAGAGGGGAATCGTCGTCGTCGTCCAGCCTAGACAAGATGTCGACCAACCAATTCGTTGTTTGCTGCGCACGAGCCAACAACATCGTCGAGGTTTGCTCCACACAAGCCGATAACATCGTCGCGGTTTGCTCCACACGAGCCTCAATCTTCCCCAGACGATCGTAGAAGTCCTGGACGGTCGGCTTTGGAGCTGTCTCGCTAGCAGGCAAGATGGTCGACGGTTTTACAGCAGGCAATACAGCTGTGCTGGAGGGCGATGTGGGATTTGGAGCTATCTCACCGGCGGGCAAGAGGTTCAAAGGTTCTGCTACAGGCTCTTGCAATTGCTCGTACAGTCTTTTGGACCCAATACCGAAGCGCTTTTTAACCACGGCTGCTGGAAGCACCCGCGAAGGGCACGGATTTCTTGGGTCAGGTCGGAGCACAAATCTCTTTTTGCGGCATGGTTTTTCCTGGGTATATATATCCCATACTTTTTTTATATTTCTATATACAAACCCCATTTTTGACATGTCTAGGACTAGGAAACCTAGTTTTTCCACATGTTTCCACAAGTCAAGACGTGGAAAAACTAGGTCGAAACACAGGCCGATGAGACGAATATAGCATCGCCAAAACCTAGGGACCCCTTCCACATGTACTAGGATAGAAAAAAAAAGAAATATTGAGAGAGATGCGATACTTTTTCTTGCAATTGGAAATATATATATATTGTACATCTGTTTTGTGTGTGTTTTTGGTTTTGTTTTTGTTTTTTTCTTGATAGAAGCTATACCCGCCGGTCTCTGGGAGCAGCAACTCGACTTCTCAATCATGTTTCCTGTTTGATATGGGCGAGTGGCAGATTTTGCCAAGCCTGCACAGAAACGGTCCACCCACCAACTGTAGGCGTTCTATCCCGCCAGCGTCTCGAAACTTTTCTCGTATCTTGTAGCTGTAGACTGGAATCGTTTCTCCAGTCGGCGAATTGAGTAGCAGCAACAGACGGTTCTTCTGTTCGTATTTCGCTACGGCAAATATTTTGCACATGTAGATTCCTTCTGGAACTTATGCGGCTTTTCGGTGTTCTTTGCACGGAGGGGCTGCCACTTCCATATTCTTGGACCCGCCATAGTTGGGCAAGGAGGTATGCCAAATATTGCTCTGTCCCTGTGGCTCTGCTTTTCCCGCTAGCTGCCGGAAGATACAAGAGTCTTTCTTGCATGGACAATTGTCCACCAATTTGTCGAGGAGACGTTGGTATCGCAGGCACCAGAAGAGGCAGTTGTTGTCGTAAAGGTTCTCTATGTTTGAGAAACAGTAATGGATCACGATTTCTTCTGGAACCTCGAGTGGGAGTTCCTGCTGTGTGAATGGTCTATCGTGTGTAAGCCTAATGGTTAAAGCATTGCTTCATGCGGAGAGGTTTCAAACCCCACATGGGTACAATGTGTGAAGCCCATTTCTGCTGTCCGATGCATGTTGGGAATATTGCTAAAAAGTGGCAAAAACAAACTAAGTCTGTCATCAGTAGTGTAGTCTATAAACTCTGGTTTTCTTGCTGCCGAACAGTAGTGGGCATATAGAGTTGTCTGGTTCGAAGAGCGTGGGGAGTTCTGATATAGCAACGAGGCAGTCGGTGCATCGGTTGTGTCTGTCCTTGGGTTCCGGGCAGTAGTCGTCGGCGAGAACAATTCGGAGTTTGCCTGCTGCAGGTAGAAATTGGTTGGGTGGGTAGATGTAGACGAAATCGACTATTTTGCCGTATTCTACGAATTGGCAAAAGCACAGCAAATAGAGTTCGAGAAACTGGCGAGGGATCTGGTATCGCTCTTAGAAGGTGTGTCCCGATTGCTTCAGGATTTGTTTCTCTCGGTTGGAAAGCAAGACATGGGGACACTTCTCCAGCAGGGTCTTGAAGACTTCTGCCATGTCGGAAGTTGTTGTCTTTGTCTGTGGCTCCGGGTCTATACAACCTCGGATTCATGTATATCTGGCTTGCGATATGTGGTACTTCCTCTTCACTTCCCGAAGGGACAAACGACCCGATCAGATCTCGGCATAGGCTTCGCGCGATAACTTGGTTCCTGGCATTTTTTTCTATATCCATATACCCGCATATCTCTTGAATTCGAGTGCACTTGCGTCTGGACACTTTTCGTCTTCAGTACTAGTTTTATGTAAAACTTGAATATTTTTGTGGTTGTGAGAGCTGAATTGGCTAGAATGGAGCTCCTAGGCAAGGTGCACCTACGAGCCTGTACTATCATTTCCTATACTACTAAACATATACAATTGATGCAGTTTCCTGACTTAAAAAACACTCAGGCATTTTTATTCATCTTATGATGTGAACCTAATATGTTTTAAGTACGGTAATAAAAGATTGTCGGAGAACCATTTGAAGGCTGTTTCATAAAATATATTATAAGATGGGATTATTCCCAGCAATAGATCAAGTAGCTGAAAAATTGAAAAGTGTGGATGGATTTCGTTTGCAACAAATAAGTGAAACAAAACACCAACTCGAAAAGGAGCGTGATTCACAACTCGGATTATATAAATAGTACCATAGAGCTGTGAATGCTCTCAACAGAATTGACACTGCACTTGTACTCAGCAGCCAGCATTGAGCTTGGTGTGGCTGGTGTTGGTATATTGTCAACTAAAATCGCTGCACCTGTTGTACTCGTTATGGAAATAGCATCTCAGGTCTCAGGTCTCAGAGTTAACGGGAATAGCTCTCAAATTTATTTCTCGCCGGTTGCAAAGGAAGGCATTAACACACGATAGCATTCGCATTCTAACAGAAACAAAGTCAAATAGCATTGAGGATAATATTTCGGCAGCACTAGCTGCTAGTGAGATAACCAAAGAAGGGTTTTATTTAGTGCTGTCAGACGTAATGAAATACAACACAATGAAACAAGAGATTCGAGCAAAGTCTCGTAAGACCAGTGGCATTAGCAAAGAAGAGAAAAAAATAGTTCATAGAACAGGGGAGACAGCAACCTCGTCAATCATTACTTAACAAAATCATGATAGTAGGAGATTAATGATGAATTGTTTTATCGATATCAATTTGTACTGATTTTAGGCATCTGTAGGAGATTTGTGCGAGAGGAAATGACTCATAGTGCCCAACGATATGGTATTACCTCCCAAGGTAGTACACAATGGAGAAACTGGAGTCACTCTTCCTCATCAAACCCTCTGGTCCCAGTTCCATTCCTCTACCCCACAAAGAAACAGATCAAATTTAGTGGGACATCATTTGATGTTCCTCTAAGTTTGGCCTGTTTTTTGTGGGGGCTAGGAGTGGAATTGGGAAGAAAGGGTTTGATGAGGTTGAGTGAGCTGGAATCTCCTCAGTGTATATTACTAGGAATTGGGACAAAATGTAAACATGATGTTGAAGTCAGTTCCTAATTATTCTGAAGCTGTAGAAGTCCCTGCTGTGTACTGTTAATAAATTTTTGTTTAGTTGTAGCTTAATGCCACATTTATCAATATTCCAGCTATACCATGTCCGCCTGTAAATAACAGTCTGACAGAGACATTAGAGAGATTATTACTATGAGCACCAGTCCGCAAAAATGGGGAAATGCATTTGCAAAGTCAGTGAACACAATCACCTATTCACATCTTACGACAAACAAGTTTGGCTGAAGACCACTACTACCAGAACTTCACAGGAATGGTTCAGATGGGTGTCACTGACAAATTACAGCACATCGAGAGAGTTATACTCAGTACCTGTTTCCTATTTCAGCTCAGTGCCAATACCTAGCAGTGTGGAGCACTTCCGTCGGGAGAGAAAGATGATCATCAAGAGAGCTATGCAGGTGAATATATATGATGTTATTTACCCAGGGTAACTCAATTACCTCTCTTTTCGTAAGTTGTTACACTTCCATTTCAACCACAAAATCGTTTGAAGAGGATTAGTTTACAGTAGCCTATCCCTCTAATCTAAACATATCGATGAAAGAAGTCATTGCATTGGTATACACTGTTTCGTTTGGTTGTTATTTAACACCGCTCTCAGCAATATTCCAGCTATATGGTGGTGGTCTGTAATAATCGAATCTGGACCAGACAATCCAGTGATCAACAGCATGAGCATCGATCTGCAAAACTGGGATATAATATAAGTTATCACATCGTGTCGAGGGATATACGGGGTTTTATCAGTCCCGAGTAAGGTTGTATTCCCCTGGGCTCGGGGAATACAACCTTACTCGGGACTGATAAAACCCTAATATCCCTCGACCGATCGATGTGATAACGCATTTATCTAGCCGAATGTTTTTACTAAATCAAAAGAAAACAATACGCATCAATTTCATTCTCAGTTGTGGCAAAACGTTTCCTTGCTGCCATGTTGACACCAGCTGATCGATTGACCTCAATTCAGCGCACGTTACTAAAGGCTTGGCGATGCACGCTTTTCTCACTTCGCGTGGTCACCGAGGCGTGGCGGGATAATATGACTTTTGTACTCCCTGCTCGCGGATCGTGACGGGTGTACATGGCATTTTATCAGAGTCACGTGAACCAATCAAAACTCGACATTCTTACATGAGGCTGGATAATGACATGTACCGGTATCAACCAAGACAGAGAGCCTGACCACCTGATCCTGTTAGTTGCCTCCTACGACAAGCACGGGTTGCTGACGGCCAATTTTAACCCGCATCTTCACGGGTGTGTATGGTGTAGCTTGGTGTAAATGCTGACTTTGTTAATGATGGATCCTGTCAGTTTTGGCAGCCATATTTTCTTTTGTGCCAATGCCTACAGTCATGATGTGTGTCCAGGTGAGCGAGGCCCAGCCACTGAGGGTACAGGCTGACCTGATGAAGACGGAGATGATGAATGCTGAAGCACCTGAATACACCCCACAGAGTCTTCCTCTACTTCTTCATCAGGTAGGAGATACCATGGCATTACACCCATAGAATGACCCTACGCAATTATTAGACACGAGAATGGGATGTCGCATCTGAGCATTGTTGCAAATAATTAATCAAGACATCTTGCAATTATATGTGACACTGTACGAAAAAATGTATTTGGCTGTCTGAAGAATATGAAGAATATTACTTATCTTGACATACAGCGTAAATACAATTTGTATGTTTTATCAATGTATAACTTTATGTTTTCTTCATCTGTTAGTTGTTTTGTTTGAAACAATTGTTTACAATTTCTATTGGATATTCGTGTAATTATGTTTTATGGTATTTGGGTATTGACCTATGTGCTTGTGTTCAGTATTTCACAGAACGGATTCAGCAGCTGGTTCAGTGCAAGCACCTGCACATGCTGAGATGGAAGAGGTTCTGTGAACACACCAGCACTATAGAAGCCCTCTACCCACTTTATCAGAAGAAACTCAGGTAAGCTGTCAATATGTCCATAGTTTATTTGAGAACAGGCAACGCAGTCTCTAATAAAGCACTGTGCAACCCTTGCACTCCTGCCCAGATCCATGTAAACATCTTAGATCTGCATTTCTTCAGACTTTCTGCTGACATTACACAACAATGCTGTAATGTAACTTTTTAGTGGTGTTGGTCTAGCATAATCTAGTGTTCGATGACATTGGTCTAATACGATCTGGTGTATGATGTTGTTGGTCTAACCTGATCTGGTGTATGATGTTTTTGGTCTAACCTGATCTGGTGTGTGATGTTGTTGGTCTAACCTGATCTGGTGTATGATGTTGTTGGTCTAACATAATCTAGTGTTCAATGACATTGGTCTAATACGATCTGGTGCATAATGTTGTTGGCAATCTCACCTCATTTGGTGTATGATGTTGTTGGTCTAACCTGATCTGGTGTGTGATGTTGTCTAACCTGATCTAACCTAATCTCTGGTGTATGATGTTGTTGGTCTAACCTGATCTGATGATTGTTGGTCTAACCTGATCTGGTGTATGATGTTGTTGGTCTAACCTGATCTGGTGTATGATGTTGTTGGTCTAACCTGATCTGGTGTATGATGTTGTTGGTCTAACCTGATCTGGTGTATGATGTTGTTGGTCTGACCTAATCTGGTGTATGATGTTGTTGGTCTAACCTGATCTGGTGTGTGATGTTGTTGGTCTAACCTGATCTGGTGTATGATGTTGTTGGTCTAACCTGATCTGGTGTATGATGTTGTTGGTCTAACCTGATCTGGTGTGTGATGTTGTTGGTCTATCTGGTGTATGATGTTGTTGGTCTAACCTGATCTGGTGTATGATGTTGTTGGTCTAACCTGATCTGGTGTATGATGTTGTTGGTCTAACCTGATCTGGTGTATGATGTTGTTGGTCTAACCTGATCTGGTGTATGATGTTGTTGGTCTAACCTGATCTGGTGTATGATGTTGTTGGTCTAACCTGATCTGGTGTATGATGTTGTTGGTCTAACCTGATCTGGTGTATGATGTTGTTGGTCTAACCTGATCTGGTGTATGATGTTGTTGGTCTAACCTGATCTGGTGTATGATGTTGTTGGTCTAACCTGATCTGGTGTATGATGTTGTTGGTCTAACCTGATCTGGTGTATGATGTTGTTGGTCTAACCCTGATCTGATGTATGATGATTGTTGGTCTAACCTGATCTGGTGTATGTATGATGTTGTCTGGTCTACTAACCTGATCCTGATCTGGTGTATGATGTTGTTGGTCTAACCTGATCTGGTGTATGATGTTGTTGGTTTAACATAATCTAGTGTTCAATGACATTGGTCTAATACGATCTGGTGCATAATGTTGTTGTCAATCTCACCTCATTTGGTGTATGATGTTGTGGTCTAACCTCATCTGGAGTGTAATGGTTTCGGTCTAACTGACCCAATGTATGCATGCAGTCACATCCTGAATGAGTACCACGACTGCGTGCAGCGCGCCCAACGCCTCAGTGTGGCCCGGGAGAGTCTACTGGAGGGCAAGGACACTCCCGTCACCGCCATCAAGATGGACGACCTGCTCATCTACCTCCGCTGGCTCATCTGCAACCTCCACTCCGTCAAACAGTTCAACCAGTATCTCAGGGTAAACAGAAACATAGTATTGTTTTACTCAGTAAACAACGTTTCTGGTTACCTGGTCTTTATATGATGGTCAAGTACCATGAGAAGAATCTGAAATTCAAAGCGCATGACAATGGTTACAACACATTTCTTGTTCAATTTTAGTAACACCTGTTTATCACAGTTCAGGAATTTTTCATGTAAGAATTGAGGATGTATAAATTAGAAATGTCTGTTAATTATCATTATTACAGGTAATTTCCAATATTTTCATCAACCCAGACTTTTTACAACATTCATAAAGCAAGTATAAAGATTTCCCCCATGAATCTTTTAACTGCAATGTACTTTTTGCGACTGAGATACTAGATCTACTGAATGTATCTACAGGTCCTCCAGTGGCTGCCAGTGAGTCACCAGTTAGAGATCACACCTCCAGACCTAGACAAAGTTGATCAGGTGAGTCTGTGTCAATATATATTGTCTGTGAACTTTAAGTGTTTTAGCAACCATTCCCACATAGGCAGTTTTCTGACATCATAATGGCTAACTAATCACATTTTGAAAAAATATTCATCAACAATGAAATTCTTCAAAGGCATTTAGAAGTTGGTGTAGTAATACAAGACAAATCTTATGGATAACAACTTCTTGATTTATCAAGAAATTATCAAGAAGTTATCCATAAGATTTGTCTTGTACAACAATGAAAGATTCCAAAATAACTGACACTCCTATGCCAAAGAAAGTAAAAGATATAAAAGACACTAGATGTAACTGAAATAGTGATCAAAGCAACACAGCAGTCAACCCCTTATTATAAAGACATTCTAAGACATTGAACAGCTGATATTTCATCCTAGTATCCCATGCTGTTCTCTTCCAGGAGGAGACAACTGGTGCCTCTCGCTTCGCATCGCGTTACGACGACGGCATGGGCCTGTTCCCAGGAAGTCGTCCTCGATCAGGACCTGCATCCAGACCAAGTTCTGCTGCCTCCACACGCTCCATATCAACCCCTGTCCCTGCCCCACCCCCTATCAACCTCACCCTCCTGTCCACCAACCCCCTCCCCTCCTCCTCCATGCTGTATGCTGCTGCTGCTGCAGGTGAGTGAAGACATCAACCTATATAATTTGTTTGTTAGTTTGTTAACACCGCACTCAGCAATATTCCAGCTAAATGATCAAGTCTTCCAGTGATCAACATCATGAACATCAATCTACACAATTGGGATACGATGACATGTGTCAACCAAGTCGACAAGACTGACCACCCGATCCCATTAGTTGACTCTTACGACAAGCATGGGTTGCTGAAGACCAATTCTAACCTGGATGTTCATGGGTCTCTTATAGTACCCTTAATTAACATGCACCAATACAATAACTCTAAAATACCCTTTCAATCTGAGTGGTTGAGTCAGTGTTTTTTGTACAAGCTGGACACGGCAAATATAACAGCCATACAACAGCCATACGACAGCAGACTGAATGATGGTCCTGTAATACTCATTTGTCTCCTTGTTTGTAGACTAATTTTGTTTTGCCCCATATAGGGCTGAACCGAATCCACTGTGAGGTAAACATACGTGTCATACATGGGTAACGAATACGAATATTGGTTATCAAATACATAACCAGCAAACACTAAATGAATTATTCATTATATTCATGTAACAATAACAGAATATATTCTCTATTTATGTAAATTGTTATGACAATGATCAGAGGCAACATAACTGTCAAATTAAATATATAAGAGTGTTGAGTATTATCCTGCCCGACTTGGATTTATTGCTTTGAAGAATAACACCCAAATGCAAGTAAAACACAATGTCTTAAATAAAAATCACAAATATATGATTCTAGTGATTGCAAATAAGGAATTGAATTCTTGAAGGCAAACGGTATAATTCACCAAATGGTGATTGAATCGTAATAGCCCCGGTGTATATATAACTATTTTAAGGGACAGCATCTTAGTGTTGATGTATCCTTAAGTCAGTGCATATTGTTAGGATGTTGGATGTTTCAGATAAATAAACTTTTTTTGGGCCTGCATAATTCAAAGGGATACTTGGCTTGGGTTGCATCAAATTCACAAAAGAATTCGTGTATACTTTATTGCTGTTGTTCCATGATTTCCAGGAGGTGGTCTGGCATCAGATGAACACAACTTGTGTCTTCCCCGTCATGTTACCGACTACGATGCCTTGAAGCCACAACTTGCCTTCCTGGTCAACATATATGGCATCCAGTTTGTAAGTGAATTTATAAACCTCGAGTGATGTCACTCTCTTGTCTTGCGAGGTTCTCCTTTTACCAAGTAAACCTCTGCGGGCAGTTTTGCGGGCATTCTCCAAGAAATCCCGGGAATTTTGTACAGAATTGCCCACATTCCCAGAGATTTTCCTCAGAATTGCCCGCGGCCGTGGTATTTTCTGAGGAATATAGCCCTTGACTTTGAATTATTTTACTTCTTTTGAAGATTGATATAACTTTGTCTTGCTATTACTGAATGCGATTGTAAAATATCACATTATTTAAAACTTCCAATATATTGTGTCGATGCCTGGTTTCAAACCTGCAACCCTTCACTTACTAGCTTGGCGGTTTTATCCACTAGGCTACGAAGGATCGCTGTGAAGAATGACATTGTTTGTCAGCATGAACCATGTGTTCCTCACAAGATGGGTCATGCGGGCAGCGTATGTGCAGGGCACGGGTAGCGCGTGCAGAGCACGTGCATTGTGCGTGCAAGGCAAGGTATCGGCTGCCAGTCACATCCCAGTTGATTTCAACAGTAAATACCAAATATTATATCTGAAATGGTTCAGTTGGTTCATAACTGACCGGCCCTCCCAAATGTCCCTCTGCCGCGGGCTAACTTTTTCAAACAAAACCTTGGAGTTGGTTTTGATCCTTCACATAACTGGGGATCACTTTATAGCAAGTCAACAGGATTACATCACACACAAAAATTGATATCTTTAGAGTAAGAGAGTGAGGATGATTTTAAGCCGATTCTAGCAATATTCCAGCAATATCACTGCAGGGAACACCAGAAATGGACTTCCCATGTTGTACCCAATGCTCACATGTTGGGAGTCAAACCTGGGACAAGCATTGACCAGCAAACCCTTTAACCTCGAGGCTTCCATACCACCCCAGATAACTTTGTGACCACAGTGAGGCAACACTAAGACAGCAATAAGAGCATATTAGCCCTAAAGTTATCTGTAATCAAGATAAAAGTTGACTGGAATGTCGACATGGCAATGTAAAACAGCAGCACAGTTATATACATCTTGCTGTGTCATCCGTCTTTTGGAGGAAAACTAGATTGTATGTGGTTTGCTAACATAGATACTAGCACAGCTAAGTGAGGCAATTCTAAACAATACAATATTTCACTGCTTCTTTCTGAAATATTTGTAACTTGACTGTTGTAAAAGTAACTGATACATACTACTTCAAAGAAGTTAAGAAACTCCCAATTCAAACAGATCTATCTGAGTGATGTGAAAGTATCAGGTTTTCTTCTATTTCGTGTGATTAGTGTGTATGTTTGACGCTGCTTGTTATGTTTCAGTGGATACAAGAAGGATTTATTGTGTGCTGACTTACTTCTGCTAAGATCTGCACCACGTTTATGGAAATGTAAGAGTTTATTTATGAAATATAAGTGTTTAGGATCCACAGACTTGAATTGATGTCATTTGTTCCAGGATTTGGACAGTATCCACAGCAGTGCTGATGAGATGGAGCTGTTTGCCGCCATCAACCGCAGGTTCAAGCACATCTTCATCAAGCAGGAACACATGAACACATTCAAGATGTATGACAGGGTTGAGGTGAGTGATGACAAGGTTGAGGTGAATGTCAGCTGTGACTGATGATGTATGACAGGGTTGAGGTGAGTGATGACAAGGTAGAGGTGATTGGGGTCAAACATTGAGTGATGGTTTTTATCTAGGTTGAGCTGAGTGAGCCAACACAAGTTACAAATAATTCTGCAGAAGCTAAGAAAAGATCTCAAGAAGCTAACAACAATGCCTAAACCTCCACGAATTTGAACAGACAAATGAATAAGGCTGCAAATGTTAAAAATATGATGGAAACTATTAAAATGAGGAAACTGTTAATATTCCATTTCACTCTATCTTTTGACAATATGGAAGAAACTTAACACTTCAGGCATGCAAGGGCAAGGACAAGGGTAAGGGAAAGGGCAAGGCTGCTTCCTCTCAGCAGCCTTTTCAGAGGAAGGGGAAGTCGGCCCCGGCTTCCCAGTAAAAGTAATTCCTCTGGAGCCCTTAGTGGTCCCGGCACAAGCAGTTGTTACACTGCCGACCGCCGGGATTCATTGCCTGTTACCCGTCGTCCCTGTCGGGTACCAACTACCTCTTTTCCTTCGGGAGTGGGAACAGGTCAACTTTTATTACCCGTACCTGGACGACTGGCTTCTCAGAGCACTCGCCACCCACTTGAGTCGGAATTCCACACGGACAGTGATGGATAATCTCACCAAGTTGGGTTGGATTATCAACCTCAAGAAATCAGAAATGGTTCCAAGACAGGATCTGGTTTTCTTGGGTGCAAGATTCGAGACACAGCAGGGATTAGTCTCTCTGTCTCGGGACCGCATTGCCAAAGTCCAGAGGATTGTTTTACAATTCCTTCAGTCCCCCAGGGCCTCAGCTCAAACATGGCTTCAGTTGATAGGCAACATGGCGGCGACAGTGGACATAGTTTGGTGTGTGCGTCTGAGGATGCGACCGGTTCAGCAAGCATTAGCGCAGCTGTGGTCCCACTCGGAGAGCTACAAGATGATTCTAGTAACTCCGGAGTGGCTTATTCCACTTGCGATGGTGGACCGACACCGGGAATCTATCCAGGAGTATACCGCTGGAGACCCCGGCGCCCACGCTCACAATTCAGACGGACGCATCCGTCACAGGGTGGGGGGTGTCCTGGGAGACCTCACAGCTTCCGGCCTTTGGTCCGAGAACGAGGCGACCCTGCACATCAATGTGCTAGAATTGAGAGCAGTCCGGTTGGTGTTCGAATGCTTCGTGGAGCAGGTTCGGAACTGGGTGATTCTAGATATGGACAACCAAACGGCGATGTCCTACATCCTGAAGCAGGGCAGTACGGTGTCTCCGTCTCTCCGTCACTCCTTCAGGAGGCGTGGCAGTTTCTACTGTGGTGTGATCAGTTCAGCACACGGGTTATGCCTGTTTATCTTCCAGGGGTGGACAACGTTCGTGCGCTCTCACGTCGTATTCTAGCCCCTCACGAGTGGTTACTCGACCAGGAGATATTTGGGATTATCTCCCAGTTGTTCGGGTCGTTCCAGGTGGATCTGTTTGCCTCTGGGGTGATGAACCAGACTCCGGTGTTTTGCTCACGGATCCCGGATCGAGCGATTGCCTCCGATGCCTTCCAGCTAGATTGCACGGACAGATCGCCTCCGATGCCTTCCAGCTAGATTGCACAGACAGGGTTCTGTGGGCTTTCCCACCAATACCACTGATCTCCAGGGTCCTATCGCAGCTAGCCACTCAGCCAGCGCAACTACTTCTGCTTCTTGCAACTCTGTTGTCGTCTCTGGTTCCCGGTAATACTCAGGTCACTCGTACAGCCATCTGTACTATTACCAATGCAGCCAGACCTTCTATCCCAGAATGGCCAGCCACACCCGGATCCTAAGATTCAGTGGGTGGCTTGGCCACTGTCCGGAATCGCCTCCAAGCAAGCGGAATTCCTGCACCAGTTGCAGACACAATTCTGGCTTCGCGAAGGGATTTGACTAACGCACAGTACGAGGATAGATGGGCCTGTTATGCGCGCTGGTGTGGAAACAGGGATTCTGATCCCTTTTCTTCGACTGTAGTCAAGGTGTTGGAATGTTTACAGTCCCAGTTAGAGGCCTGCCTAGCCGCATCTACTAGCCGAGGCTACTCCACGGCGAACTCAGCCTTCGACATTCCTGCCGAGGTTGCTCTCTAAGGACAGCACCCCCTGGTACAGCGTTTCTCAGCAGGCGTGGACAGAGTGCGGCCTGCCGTCCGACGGACGAGTCCCCCATTCCTCTTTTATGATCTGTCGGATTTGTCTCTTCAGCTTTTGAGTTGGAAAACGGCATTTTTAGTGGCGGTCACATCTGGTAGACATACATGCTATGTCATCAGATCCGGCACTTACTATTTTTCATAAGGATAGGGTACGCATTCGCTTACCTGACTCCTACCGCCCTAAGATCGCAAGCATGTTTCATGTTACAGCGCCTATCGATCTTCCCGCCTTTACACTTCCTGCTTCGTCTCGTAACACGAAACGCTGAGTGCACGTGTTAGACGCATGCAGACACTTAAAGCGTACATAAAGAGAACGACGTCTCTCCGTAAGGAGAAACAGCTGTTCTGCTGCTACGGCCGGGGCAAGGCTGGTCATCCGGCTACTACACAAACCTTATCGAGATGGTTTGTGTCAGCAATTTGTATGGCTTACATACATAAAGGCCTATCTCCCCACGAGGGGTTGAAGGCTCATTCGGTTCGAGGAGTAGCCACCTCCAAGGCGTATGCTGCTGCTCTGCCCATTGAGGAGATCTGCTCCGCGGCTATATGGAGCCAACCGAGTACGTTCATCCATCATTACCAGTTGGACAAACACTCATGTGAACGTGCTCGGTTTGGCCAGACGGTTCTCCGCAGTGGACAGAGTAGCACCTCTCAAGCTGATTGAGCTTTCCCGATGATGTACTCTGTTTTACACTTGGTGTCAGGTTTATTCATTCCCCCTTTTTATCGATGATGGTATCTGGTGTGTTTTTTTATTCCTGTTCTACTTTGGTATATCGATGCCTTACTTTTACTCTCCATTTTCCCACACTTGGCTAGCTGTGTGCTATGGACAGTAGTTTGTTTTGGTGAGTTCCCCTTATTTACACACCTCCAACGTTTAGGTTGGGGTTGGGGTTTATTACTGGGGGGGTGACACCGATAAGCCAATCGGCATATAGGCTTTGACAATCCGGGTCCTCGCCCTACCCACGCCCGACGCCTTGATTGACATTGGCAGTCAGGTGACTAGGTAAGTGTAATTCTCTATTTTCATACGGTTGTAGATTGTTACTTCGATTGGATCACTTTGTCAGACAGAATACCACTCCCGGCTTCTTTGTCTTTGGGAGTCTGTCTTATGCTTATATGTACCCCAAGGAGGACTTCTTCTGAAAAAGAATTATACAAACCTGTAGAGGTTATGAATTCTTTGAAGAAAGTCCTCCACCTGCCTCCCCTCATTCTGTCTGATCCGTTCAGCATGAAAAGTGAGGTGCGAGGTTGACGGCTAGAGTTACCTGCTCTTGCCTGTAGGGGGCCCCTCGGGGGTCCTGTAGGGGTGGTCTCACAAGAAAAAACATGTTTTTTGTTTTGTAAATATTTTATTAAAATATAGTTACAACTGTCGTAAGTTTTAAAATGGACATTTTAATGCTTATATGTACCCCAAGGAGGACTTTCTTCAAAGAATTCATAACCTCTACAGGTTTGTATAACTTTATTGTGATCTGCTGAACAAAGCATGGTTTTGTACTATTGGGGTTATATGCTACCTTTTAGACAAATAAACTATTAAAACATTTTTTGTAAAATTGTGCTTGTAGGCCGGGCAGGAGGCATGGGGTTCTGACTCCCCAAACCACGCCCTCCTGAAGGATGCCAACTGGCAGTCATTCATCACTCTCAAGTCAAAGAAGGATTCTACCCAGGAGAAGCGATGGACTCAACTCCGTCAGACCAACAACGTTGATGAAGTTCTGCGAGTCCAAGCTCACTTCCTCCATGTGACTGATGCAGAGGTAGGTTGGATGCATGATTTTGTCTCTGCTCACCTGTAAACTACTGGGTTTTGTAACATTTTTTTTTTGCATTTGTTTGCTAGACACTAATAAACTAGGGTAGTGATCATTTATTTTGCATATTGTAAGAAAATAGGCAGATTGTCTAGAACCTGGAACTCTGGTGTCAGTATATGTGAACTACTGTAAGCTAAATGTAGCAGACAGAATTAAATTGTTGTATGACTCTTGTCTTGACTAACTTCTTTGAGTAGTCTTCATTTTGCAGGCTAGTGAGATATTCTGCATAACACACTGTAAGACTCCAGCAAGGACTAGTTGAAAATACTAGCCTGAGCTAATCGTTATCTGCAGATTTCGGTCTTTTTATATGGAATCAGCCAAAGATATTTTACTGGTGACTTTGGCTTCCAACCGGTGACTGAAGTCAGAATACAGTCTGAATAGAATGTTTCATTCAAATACATGCAAAAGATATAAAACACAAACAATTCATCTGTTTAGCAGAAATACTTTCAAAATCAGAGCAGACAACAACTTTTCACCTCAAGGTGAGCTTCAGTACCTCAGCACTATAGTTTAATACTTAAACTAAGAATAGTCTCAAATGAGAGAAAATGAGATGAAATTTGCTATTTCCTAAGTAATCATATATGGTTTAGACTGTTGGGGAGATACTCTTAGTGTTGAAGCCAGCTTTACGTGTTGTGCCACTTGCTCTGCTTAATTCATGGTCCTGGCACACAGACATCCAAGTTACCTTCCAGAGAGCAACTGGTTCCTGTTTTTTATGGAACCTTTTTAAATGATCAAGAAAGGTGTCAATGAATATCAACAAACTTGAGCTTCTGGTTAACATAATGATTCATAGGCATGAATATTAAACTTGTATGTTGTTATTTTCTCAGTTTGGCAAGAATTTTACTTCATTGATTGAAAATGTCACCATCTTGTCTGTTCTTGCTCATTTCACTTTCACTGAATGTAAACATGTTGGTGTGTATGATAAGCCAGCCCAGCTGTTTCTACAGAGCTAGATAGTTAACTTGAGAAGTTCCATCCTGTCTCAACGAAATCATATCATTTGCTCTGATTTGATACCTCTCTCCATCAGTAGCTGATGAATCCTTAGTCAGAGGACACATAAAGAGAACACTAAGCAAGATTAGTACAACCCATGAAATTGAAGGATGAAGTATGAATTTTTAAACCAAAGGGAACTCTAAATATCAAACATGTCTCAGTTACTGTATGTTTGGAAATACACACACAAATACGCACCAGCATCCAAAACTGTTAGGTCTCCACATGCAGCTTTTACTTTTGTTGTCACTAGCATAATAATGCAAACTTTGTATCTTTGTTTTCAGTATTATTTATTTGTCCACATACAAAACAATTCTGCACTGTTTTATTTATATTTGAAAGATCTGTATGGCCATTACCTGAAAAAAAGAAAATTCACTTAAAGACATAGTTACTTAGGTGACCATTTTGTTGACAAGACCTACACTAGGTGATACAGGTCTTTGTCTTGTCAATGTTTGCTGCACTGCATGTCTGATTTGGTTTGGCACACAGACAGTTCAAGACACCCTGCGCCAACAGGCAGGCATGGTACGCGACCCTCCGCATGTGCAAGCTGCTTCTGTGACGTCACACCGCACCCGTAGCAACACCGTGCAGGTGTGGAAAAAGATATACTCTAACCCAGAACTGTACACTGAGTAGGTACTTTCTCTGTGATTCACACAAAATCTGTGATTGTTTATAGTTTCACATTTCACTGTTTTGCATACCATCTATTCTTTTGTATTAAATCTGATTATCTTATAACATATGATTTTCAGTGTTTCATATTCATATGATTTTGTTGACATTACATTCAATATCTAGTGTTTAAAAGCATGAATAATGTGAATGCAGTTTTATTTGTTGCTTTCAGTCAGCTTATTTTGTTTTATCATTTATTTTTGTAAACAAAAATGAAGACTAGACAAACCAGTGGTTGATACCATGAGCATGCTAATCATTATAAGCCCAATAGAATATACCAGTCTTCTTGTCAGTGTGAGATACTGAGAGGGTAAGCATCCTTGAATCTTCACAAGGATCATTTATAAGAAATCTTTTTCCCATTTAATATTTCCAAGTGCTCAGCAACTCAAATTTACCTAAATGCATACACATGTGGTATTTCAGGCTAAAAATAGGTCCCCAGCAGCCTTTCCTGGCTGTGAGAGGTGGCTCAGTGGTTCAGGTTGTCTTGGTGACTTGCTGAATGGGTGTCATTGTATCCCACTTGTGTAGAATGATTTAACATGCTGCTGTCATATAGCTGAAATATTGCTGAGAATAATGTTTAACATCAAACAAACAAACACACAAGCATACAAACAGACTTGAATACACTTTCCTTATGACACTTCTTCTGAAACCGGGGGCGGTGGGGTAGCCTAATGGTTAAAGCGTTGGCTCATCACGCCGAAGACCCGGGTTCGAATCCCCACATGGGCACAATGTGTGAAGTCCATTTCTGGTGTCCCTGCCGTGATGTTGCTGGAATATTGCTAAAAGCGGCGTAAAACCAAACTCAGTCAGTCAGTCTTCTGAAACCCCTGTGATATAACAAAATCAGTGTGTTATACAATAGTCACAATGGCTCCCTAGTATAAATAGTAAAGAATGGGTGAATACCAGGGGAGACAACCTGTGTTTATGTGACTTGCTGCTCTCACTATCAGCCACTGGTTTTTCTGGTCAAGTCATAATCTTTAGAGGCCACAATGACTAAGACATAACCTTGCTGGCTATAAATTTTATTTTCATTCACAAAAATATTTTTCAGATGAAATTCTTGTTAAACATTCCATGTCACAAATAGGATGGTTTGTTTGTTCCAGTGCTGAGAGGCAGGATCAGGCCAGCCCACAGGAGTTTGATGAGAGGGACCTAGAGAACGTCAACTTCAGTGGGAGTCAGACCAGGGCTTCTAGTGCTCGTAAAAGGAAGGACAGTTACGATTACGTGAACACAGTGCAGATGCTGGGTATGCGCTAAATATATCAAGTATATAAAAAATTGGTCTTCAGGTTATGAATTTTGTCTTTATTCTTCTGTTTTGAAAGATTTAGAGGTTGTCAATCCCCACAGTTTCATTGAATGGCTGGAATCTAAAATCATCAGCCTTCCAGCCATTTGTATGACATAATCTGAATATGCCATGACTTCTTTCAAACAAACAAACACTAATGAGTGTAACATCTTAAGGAGATTTATGAAAATATAGAAGCTGAAATTATATATATTGTTACATATGAGATCATTTACAAGTTGATGGTTAATCCAAATAACAAATAACTAGGACCTTGCTCTTGAACATGGCACTCACAGGGTAGGGAGATGATAGCTATTCGCAATTCCGATGTCGATACTGGTCTGTGTGTATTGCCAGCTTGTGTGTGGGGACTGTGTAAGATTCTTGTACAAAGATCACTGTTTGTTATTTTGTGAATCTGTGACTCAAATGTTGTAGTGTAAGTGTTGATAATGTGGTGTTCTATCCCAGGTCTTGATGAAGGAGAACATAACCAGAACGCCTCTGTCAACATCCAGGGGGCATACCTCTCCTTCCTTCAGTTGAGGCATCTGAGGCTGAGAGATCTCCGCAGATCAGTTAGTGCTGACTCTCTTTAGCTTTATATTGTGTGTGTGTGTTGGGGGTGAGAGGGGGGGTGGGAAGAGGAGGAGACATGCAGTGTTTTCTTTCTTAGCTGAACAAGTGGAGAATTGTTGAACAGTTGTATATGAAACAGGCCTCCATCTCTTCAGATTTTCCTCTCACCATGATATAACTGTAATTCTGTTCTGTGATTCATTTACGTGACGGTTGTATTGATGAATAATGGAATCATGAATAATGTTAATTGTATTCATCACCAACTGATTCTCTAACACCTGCTTATGCTATGAATACACATTGCCATTTAGAAAGTGGGGTAGATGTACTTATACCGATACCACTAAACCTATTTATTTGCGCGTGATCAGAAGGAAGTTTAGGGTTAGGGTCAGCAAGGTTAGGGTTAGGGTTAGACTCCTATATACAACAACCGGAAGTAGCTACAACAATGGTACCAGTATAAGTAAAGTGCTCCAAATGTAGCACATGTTATATTGGGTATTACACTTTCTCAGTAAAGTGCACATACTAATACTTTTGTCAGGTTGAGTCCCATCTGAGATTGGAACTCACACTCTCAGAGTCAGACACCTAATCGCTAGCATAGAAAGTCAGTCATCTAATCAGCTCAGCCTGTGACTGCGGCTTATACCAAAAAAATGGAAGTCGGTTAACAGGTAGTCTAGGCTGCATGGGACCCAACCCAACAAAACTACTAGAATCTGTGCTTTACTGAGAAAGTGTAATCCCAGATATACATGTGTTCCACCTGTTTATACTGTTGGCATCTAACGTAATCTGGCAAATCTAGTTCTAATCCTGAAGGTATTTTGCAGTGTCTCAGCATCATGAACTACTTCCGCTCCATCGAGAGATCCCTGACCATCAACGATGGGGGACTGTCACATGAATCAGGCAGCATGAAGAGACAAAGGTTTGTAGATTGTTGAGAGGCCAGGCTCTGTTGCCTAGTGGATAGAGCAATTGTAACACAAAGATGATGTACCAGTTGATCATTGAACAAGTAACACTTAACTTAGACTTGCTACACAACACTCAAGGCACAATTATGATAGCGACTCTAGTGGATGAAGCATCGTCACATAAACAGATCACGTATCAATTGATGATTGGACAAATAACACATCACATAACTTAGACTTGCTACACAACACTCAAGGCACAATTATGATAGCGACTCTAGTGGATGAAGCATCGTCACATAAACAGATCACGTATCAGTTGATGATTGGACAAATAATACATCACATAACTTAGACTTGCTACACAACACTCAAGGCACAATTATGATAGCGACTCTAGTGGATGTAGCATCTGTGACATAAACAGATCACATATCAATTGATGATTGGACAAATAACACATCACGTAACTTAGACTTGCTACACAACACTCAAGGCACAATGATAGATAACTCTAGTGGATGAAGCATCTGTCACATAAAACAGATCACATATCAATTGATCATTGGACAAATAACACATCACATAACTTAGACTTGCTACACAACACTCAAGGCACAATTATGATAGCTTACTCTAGTGGATGAAGCATCGTCACATAAACAGATCATCGATCAATTGATCATTGGACAAATAACACATCACATAACTTAGACTTGCTACACAACACTCAAGGCACAATTATGATAGCGACTCTAGTGGATGAAGCATCTGTCACATAAACAGATCACATATCAATTGATCATTGGACAAATAACACATCACATAACTTAGACTTGCTACACAACACTCAAGGCACAATTATGATAGCGACTCTAGTGGATGTAGCATCTGTGACATAAACAGATCACATATCAATTGATCATTGGACAAATAACACATCACATAACTTAGACTTGCTACACAACACTCAAGGCACAATTATGATAGCGACTCTAGTGGATGAAGCATCTGTCACATTAACAGATCACATATCAATTGATCATTGGACAAATAACACATCACATAACTTAGACTTGCTACACAACACTCAAGGCACAATTATGATAGCGACTCTAGTGGATGAAGCATCTGTCACATAAACAGATCACATATCAATTGATCATTGGACAAATAACACATCACATAACTTAGACTTGCTACACAACACTCAAGGCACAATTATGATAGCGACTCTAGTGGATGAAGCATCTGTGACATAAACAGATCACGTATCAATTGATCATTGGACTTGCTGCACACAACTCAAGGTACAATGACGAGGAGCTCTCCTCTGAAAATATACATAGTAAAAGTATAAGTCATCTTAAACTCACTTAAAAGCTTTGCCCCAGTAACACTGAAATATTTTCCTGCAGTATGTCAGTGATTGCATCCCAAGACACTAAGTTACCTCCCCTTGCCCTAAAGATGAATTAGGTGTAGTCTGAAATGAGTTGTTTTTGTTATATTTCCAGTGCACAGAACCATCGTCGCAACACAGAGACGGATGGTACAGTCGGAGGTGGTGGTGGTCTCGGGTCTCACAGCTACCTCCACAACACACCGGCAGACTTCAAGTAAGCCTTGCCGAAGTGACACCGGCCCATTGGGGATATTCCATCCTCTGTTCTAGTTCCTAATGACAAGGGTGGTCCGGTTATCAAAGATCAAAATATGATGTGCAGAGTTGTATCCATTAGCATTCTGGAAACCTATGATTGTGCAGTTTGAATCCCGTGTTGGTTTCTCAGCACCATACCTGTGCTTGTGGTTTCTTCACAGTGGTAAACATCTGAGATTTGCACCACTTTAGGCTGTCTGCCCATACTGAGCTGACATACTGTGATATAACTAGAATACTGTTTAAAGTGGAGTAAGCAACACTCAGTCAATTAATACTCTTCATCATCTGATGATACACAAGAGGATGCTGTGTCTACAGGATCAGAGTTGGGTACTGGAAGTACGTTCTTGATCAATCCGTGGCGGTGGGGTAGTCTAGTGGTTAAAGTGTTTGCTCATCACGCCGAAGACCCGGGTTCGATTCCCCATTTGAGTACAATGTGTGAAGCCCATTTCTGGTGTCCCCTGCCGTGATATTGCTGGAATATTGCTAAAATTGGCGTAAAACAATACTCTCTCACTCACTCTTGATCAGTCCCATATATCCTTCAACATTTCTTCATGATATAAAGCAACGTTTAGATTTTTCTCTTTTAGATTACACAATTAATCTAATACCTGTCTGAAACAAAACAGGATTGTTAATCATTTTTCAGATACACCTTCACTTATAATTCTATATTTACAGAATGAGTGAGTCAGAATTTATAGAATTCTCAGAGGTAGAAAACCATGATGACTTCTACACCATTGAGGAGGGCCGCATCCACGTTGTGGACCAGAGAGGTTATTACATCATGTATGACACGGCTGTCACAGATGTAGAGTGAGTGCCACCATGTTCCTATTTCTCTACTCTAGATACTCTTAGTGTAACGAGACCCATGAAGGTCCGGGTTAGAATATTGATCTTCAGTAACCCATGCTTGTCGTAAGAGGCGACTAACAGAATCGGGGGGTCAGGCTCGCTGCCTTGGTTGACACGTCATCGGTTCCCAATTGTGCAGATCGATGCTTATGCTGATGATCACTGGATTGTCCGGTCCAGACTCGATTATTTACAGACCGCCGCCATATAGCTGGAATATTGCTGAGTGCTGCTTAGAGCACATGTCAGGAGAGTGTTAGTTCAGTGGTTCGATCACCAGTACGTGTCGTACTTGTCGTACCAATAGACTCTTAGTGTAACGAATAGAGCATATGTCAGGAGATTGTTAGTTCAGTGGTTCAATCACCAGTACGTGTCGTACCAATAGACTCTTAGTGTAACGAATAGAGCATATGTCAGGAGATTGTTAGTTCAGTGGTTCGATCACCAGTACGTGTCGTACCAATAGACTCTTAGTGTAACGAATAGAGCATATGTCAGGAGATTGTTAGTTCAGTGGTTCGATCACCAGTACGTGTCGTACCAATAGACTCTTAGTGAAATGGATAGAGCATATGTCAGGAGATTGTTAGTTCAGTGGTTCGATCACCAGTACGTGTCGTACCGATAGACTCTTAGTGTAACGAATAGAGCACATGTCAGGAGAGTGTTAGTTCAGTGGTTCAATCACCAGTACGTGTCGTACCAATAGACTCTTAGTGAAATGAATAGAGCATATGTCAGGAGATTGTTAGTTCAGTGGTTCAATCACCAGTGCATGTGTGTCGTACCGATAGACTCTTAGTGTAACGAATAGAGCATATGTCAGGAGATTGTTTAGTTCAGTGGTTCGATCACCAGTACGTGTCGTACCAATAGACTCTTAGTGTAAATGAATACAGCACATGTCAGGAGATTGTTAGTTCAGTGGTTCGATCACCAGTACGTGTCGTACCAATAGACTCTTAGTGTAACGAATAGAGCACATGTCAGGAGATTGTTAGTTCAGTGGTTCAATCACCAGTACGTGTCGTACCAATAGACTCTTAGTGTAACGAATAGAGCATATGTCAGGAGATTGTTAGTTCAGTGGTTCGATCACCAGTGCGTGTCGTACCAATAGACTCTTAGTGTAAAATGGATAGAGAGTTGTTAGTTCATATGTCAGGAGATTGTTAGTTCAGTGGTTCGATCACCAGTACGTGTCGTACCAATAGACTCTTAGTGTAACGAATAGAGCACATGTCAGGAGAGTGTTAGTTCAGTGGTTCAATCACCAGTACGTGTCGTACCAATAGACTCTTAGTGAAATGAATAGAGCATATGTCAGGAGATTGTTAGTTCAGTGGTTCGATCACCAGTACATTAGTCGTACCAATAGACTCTTAGTGTAACGAATAGAGCATATGTCAGGAGAGTGTTAGTTCAGTGGTTCGATCACCAGTACGTGTCGTACCAATAGACTCTTAGTGTAACGAATAGAGCACATGTCAGGAGAGTGTTAGTTCAGTGGTTCGATCACCAGTACGTGTCGTACCAATAGACTCTTAGTGTAACGAATAGAGCATATGTCAGGAGATTGTTAGTTCAGTGGTTCAATCACCAGTACGTGTCGTACCAATAGACTCTTAGTGTAACGAATAGAGCACATGTCAGGAGAGTGTTAGTTCAGTGGTTCAATCACGAGTACATGTCGTACCAATAGACTCTTAGTGTAACGAATAGAGCATATGTCAGGAGATTGTTAGTTCAGTGGTTCGATCACCACCCCACACCACCTCACCTCACCTCACCGCACCTCACCTCACCTCACCTCACCTCACCTCACCATACCATAATTCAGGTACACATGTCCTTGGAACATTTTTTTTATGAGTTGTGTCCCATTCCTTCCTACAGACTCCACAAATTCTTTCCCAGGACCTTATCTTACTTTGCTAAGATGTCATTGCACAAGATGTCATTTCTCATTTTACTTGAGCTCTCTGCCTGTGCCTCTGTATTCCTGTTGTTGCAATAACCTGTCTATACGATGTTCAGACACTTGGAGAAGGACTTCATGCTGATAGCCACTCACTTCATAGAGAAGGACCGAGATCTTCGCATGTCCACCAGGATCAAACTCAGCGAGTCATCCCGACGACGAACGGTTAGCACAATGTCAATTTACAGTAAAACCAGAGCTTCAAATGAGCTGCATATTTGTGTAAAATACACTCAAATTAATGTTGATACACAAGTCAATGCAGTGTACAAGTACTTGTGATTTAATGTTTCAAACAAATAGTATAACAACACTCTGCATAACTACCCAATGTAGCCTTGTCAACTTCCATACTGGCATGTCTGTACACATCTTGATTTAATCAGGTATAACCTATTCATAAACACTACTGCAGTGAAAACTTTCATGTTTCTTCAAATCTTGGCCATTGGTCAAAAGTACCCAATAGACTGGATCAAACGGGTTAAAATATTTTGAATACCCCAAGACAACTGTCATATGCGTAGTGACAATGATGACTTTTAAACTCAAGGACTTAAAGCATTTACTGAAACCCTGGCAAATCTTGTACACATGGAGCTCCATTATCTTGATTCATTGTTTAAAGAAATGTAACTTCTTGGCATATAGTGCACCGCCTCCGTGTTGTAGTGGTTAGAGCATCCGCCCGGAGAGCGGAAGGTCGCGGGTTCGATCCTCGACCGCGTCATACCAAAAGACGTTAAAATATGGTATTTGTTGGTCCCTGCCAGGCACTCGGCATTAATGGGTACAACAAGGACTGGTCGGCTCGGGAGTCAGTATAATGTGTCTGAGTGGGGTATTCATGCTTCACTGCGGCATGGTATCTCAGTGGGCTAGCACTATAAAACCAGCTTCAGTCTGGTCTAGTACAAGCAGCCGCACATACACATACACACGCAAGTTAAGGGTTCAAGTTTGGCAAGTTTGGTTCTGCTTTAAGCATTCCTGTAAGCATATTTGTGTTACAGCAAAACAGTGCTGGAGACTTCGACATAGAGAGTTACGCCCATCAGGAGCTGGACAGGTTTGGTGTGATGCTGGACTTGTGGAGCAATGAAGCGGCCTTCCTAGAGTGTAAGAGAGAGGTCAGTGTCTCCCACATTCCTCTGATGGAAAAGAAATATTTAGGAAGCATAGTTTGAGGAACGAGATTATGTGAGCACTTCAAGATATATCAAAAAAAGAAGATAGGCAGTCAAACACCATTTTGTCAAAGCTGAAGGGACGTGCCTAAAATTTAATACTTCTAGCTATTCGAGGTTCGATACAACTGTAAAATGCTGACTAAATGAGGAATATGCAGAGATCAAACTTTTACTTCAAGACAACTGTTTGACACCACAAAGTTTGACACTATGGTGTTTGACTGTATGTGGATGTTTGATTTGATATCCAATGTCACTCAGGTGAGATTCTCTATTTCACATTGTCATTAAGCACATGTGTCTCGACATTCAGCTCCTGGACTGTTACTTTGAAGCCTACCAGCATGTGTTTGACCGTGACGAGCGGAGGTCACTGGCCCAGGTTATCACCGACATCATACACAAACGACCAAGGTTTGACTTCAGCTCAGCCTACTTTGTGAAGACCTACAGGGCAGAGTGTGTTCTGCTGAGGCAACAGGCTACGCTCGTCAAGACCATTCTGGATAAACAGGTAACAATGTGTATTATGTGAAGCTAACCAGTTATGTTTTCATGATTTTGACCCTATATTTGGAAAACTGACATCTAATTTAATTAAACCCAAATTCCCGATCTCATTAATTATATAATATTAGGGTGGCCGACTCTTTCTTAATACTTTAATTAATCTGCTAAGCCGTGTCATATCTTGACAGATTAATTTAAGTGATGTGAAAAAATTGTGTGATCCTTCACTTTTTCTGAGTGGTACAGTTTTGTAATAATTGAATTAATGCTTGGTCATAATGCTTATGAATGTTGTATGGTATTCTGAAAATTACAGAAATTCTGCAAAATGTTGTTGAAATATGTGCAGCCTTTGAAATGTTGCAACTATGTGAAGTATTCCTATGTACATGTATAGCACACTGATAACAAATCTGATAACAGTAAGCAACAAGGGTGCCAGAGAGGAGATGGATGGGTGACTGTGTGCAAATTTGACTCCAGAGAGTTTCTAGGGCTTCACGTCCCTCCCCACAATGAAGCCCATATTACATCCCCTTACAAAGAGACTTTGTTTTATGAAGCCCATATTACATGTAGTGTCTCCTTACAAAGAGACTTTGTTTTAGATATACCTCTGTTCAGCAATATATGGGTACCCGGTAGGATGAGATTGCCTCATCACTATAAACCATGTCTCATGAAGTTTTTGAAAGGCATTTAGAAGTTAGACAAACATGATTACATGACACGTTTTAGGATAACAACTTTCTTATTCTTTATAAGACTTTTCAGAGCTGATTCTTGTTCCTTCATGAAGGAGCAAGAGGTAGTTCTGAAACGTCGTATAAAGAATAAAAAAGAAGTTGTTATTCATAAAACGTGTCATGTATTCATTCTTGTGTCTCATAGCACATAAGAAAGGTATGATACTTTATGGATGACTTTTTTTTTTATTACATTAAATGTGAGTTGTCATCCATAAATTATCATACCTTTCTTATTATTTATTAACTTCTAAAATGCAGGTTGGGTTTTATACTCCCTAAGAAATTGAGAACATGATTTAAGAGCACACGGATCCATTGACTGGGGAAATAATTGTATGGTGCTGTGAGGAGGGATTTGACATATTACAATTGTTCTTATTATCATTACTTAGGTTGAGGAGCAGAGAGAGTACACCCAGAGGGTGTGTCGAGACGGGGACACAGAGTTCGGCCTTCCATACAGGATTGTACCCAAACAGCCAGTCTCCATCAACCTCAGCAGGTTAGTTGTTAGGTGTTACAGTGCACATTGGCCACTTGCATCCTTCAAATTTAAGATCATGCAAATAAGAATGTTTTACATAATCCCTCAGAAGCATTTATGTCATTAAAGTACAGAAAAAAGCACATTGTTATGTGAGACACATATTGAAAGTGACAGTATTCTGCTTGTTCCTTGTACAGACCTGCCCTGAAGAACGTGTTTATGCTGGAGTTCCACCCTACCCTGGCCATAGCCAGCAGGATCCCCGAGGCCCTAGAACATGCACTCTTAGTAAGTCTTACATCCTAAAAAAAATCAGGAAGATTATTTTCAGAATCAAATGGCAGTCTCTTATCTGAAAAATATATTGTCCAGTATGCTACGGTTAATTGAGGTCATCCAGTGGTTGAAGTCCTGAAGTCAGTACTATCTTTATAAGTAGCAAATGAACTTGGAGGCTGCTATATGTGAATGAAACTTTCTGTTATCTGTATCCAGTTCCTAATGACCAAACATAAATAATCAGTTATATTTGCACTGTGACATCAGCACTGTTGACTGATGATTGAATCTGGTTAAATAAATGTTGAACTGAGATAATCTTATGGCTGAAATGAGATTTTTGGACTGACATTATGAGCCTTATTGGTGAATTGAGGTATCCTAATATGTGAAATTCAAATTCAAATTGCTTACTTATTTTCATCAAGGGGTTGAATTGGAGTAACATAACATTAGCTGGTGCGTTAAATCAAACAGAAATAGACATACAGTTGAAACCTCTTTATGAACTGTGTCATATGGCAGCGATGAAACCCTCACATCTTCTACATCCCCCCCAGGAGCTGATCCACATCCACAAGCCGGAGTCGGTGTTCGACACGCTGATGATGGAGAAGAAGATGCTGGAGGTGGCGCAGCGAGAGTGGGACAGGATGGAGAACATGGGGGCCTCCTACTCCCCCCAGCTGCAGAAAGATGTCAGTACAGTTCCGATGTAGTTACCACTCTCGATTGTCTAGCTTATGTTCATTCTGTTATCATGTGTATATGAGGGACATTCACCTTCATAGTATTCTTTTGTGTGTGGTTCAAATCACAGACTAAAAATAGACATCCACTGAAATAACACTTTCATGGTTGCAGCAAACAGTGATTCCAGAACACAGTCTAACTGTGTACTGTCTCAAATGCAACTGAAAATGCCATTACCATCAGTTGTTCCCTCCTCTGTTAGAGTACATTATGACAGTCTTTGCATGGTACAGGATTGGGATTTTGAAAGTAGATCTCTGCTACACAGAAGAGGCATTGTTTAGATTTCAAGCTCATGTACCCAATACTTCCTGTGCTAACAGATTGAGGTGGTGATGTCACATTGAAATGAAGTTATGGTAGTGCAGGGTATTTATGATAATAGGATGGCGATTTAAAGCCTGGGATAGTCGAGGATGTCTCCTTACTCACTTGCCTTCTTTATTTTATTCACAAATGTTGTTACATGTTTTGCATAGGTAGACTAGTTGACAGTTTGATTGCAGAGTTGTCTCCCTTTGTTGTGCTAGGATCCAAAGACTTTTGGTGTGAATCTCAAATGTGCTTTGATTATCATCCTTTGGTTGTCATCACTGTACCCATACGTGTTGGTTTAAACTAAGTGGTCTGGTCTTAGATCAGTATCTCTTCAGACCTTCCATCCTCATTTAGCTGGCATAATGTTGAAAGTGTCATTAAACAAGATTCATCCACTTACACAGTTCTCTTGTGTTACCGCAAGTCAGTGAAAATCAACACTCTGTAAACAATTTGGATTCAACACCCACATTAAGCTAATAGTCCCTACATAACTCAAATGTCAGTTTGCTCGGGGTAGTTGTATAGCCTAGTGGGTAAAGCCTCACACGTCATACCGAAGCCCCCGGGTTCAATTCCCCATATGTGTGTCCCCTACTATGGTATTGTTGAAATATTACTAGAAACAGCATAAAACCATACACATTCACTTCAATTTACTCACTGTACGTTTTCCCTTACTGTTCCTGAACAAAATGTCCATATTTTGCACGTGCATGAGGAGTTCCTGTTGTGTGTGTTGCAGCTGTTCTCGGACGTGTACTGTGACGACCCTCTGTTTCTGTGTGAGATCGCCCAGAGCCTGGTTACCCAGCAGGACCAGGAGGGGGGGGCAGCCGCAGGTCAACCAAAGAGAAACAACTTGGCATGGTCAACGTGTTGTCCAGAGTCATGGAGGTCAGCCTGGCAGTGATCAAATCAGATCTCTTATCCCGAGTCACTATGTCACTGCTTGAAATCTTTGAGGCTGCTAAATATTTGATATAAGTGAATGTAACTTTCGGTTTCCTGTATCCATCCCTTACAGCCCAAAAAAAATAGTTGTTGCCATTTTTAGCTCTATATCAGCACAAAAAGTGTTTACTCTTGAAAAATGATTTGTTTGTGTTTTTGTGTGTGTTCAAACTGATATTTCAGATTTGGAAACAGAATATGTTACTGACAATGGACTGTTGACATAAATAAAAATCAGAATCATTTTAGAAAGCTTTTTTGCCCAGTGATTCACATTATTATGATTATTTTTGCTGTTGCTGGTGGTGGTGGTGTATATTTTAATTATCAGTGTTATTTTTTTTATTCCAGACGGTCACGCTCAGATCCAGATTAATGGATGCAGCATGGGAGACAGAGATCCTTTCAAAGGTAGGTAACTCTGCTTATTCAGTTCAAAGTGGTATATATGATGTTGACAGCTGATAGTTTGGGTGTTCACTCATCATGTTCTTCAAATGTAAGGTGTCTGAAAAGAGGTGTGTGTGCAATGGGTGCCAGTTTTCTCACTGAATATCACTGAAAGCAAGATAAAACCAACCACCAAATCTGTTACTCTGTATCAGTTACTAGAGTGGGGGGACAATCTGTTGCATGCTGTTGCCATTATACTGGCTGGGGAAAATATACAGTAACCTCTATTTATATCAAACTAACAGATATAACAAACAGTTTTGGGGAGGTCAAAATGCACACAACTAACTACACTTATAATACCCTAAAATTGGTGGTCCTTTTGAGTTTGTTTTAACTGTTGTTACCATACCATTATTGAGTACCCTGTAGGGCTATGGCTGTTCATAAGTCTATCATAAGGCAAGGAGATTACCTTAGCGCAATGATCACTTTGTACTATATCACAAGTTACCAGACAAGTTAGTGTGCATAAACACTTGTCTAAACATTTGGTGCAACTTATCCAGATCTACCGACAACAAGCTTCGGAGATGAACTTCCCCCGATTGTCACATGTACCTGCGACCAATTCAGTTTGAGTTTGCCTCCTACAAGGATGACGCCAAGAAACCACCTCCCATCTTCATCACCTCCGTCCAGGGAGACGAATCGTCCATTGAAAGGTGACAAAACTATCAGTACTTCTTTGATATGCTATTTTGTTTTTGAAAACGTTTAACTAATGATATATTCTTATACAAAATTATAAGTTCAATGGCATATCATGTGCAAACAAGTCAGTGATTTTTGTGTGTATAGTTTAAAAATCCTGAATATAATTAGGACTTGCCCAATGACATGCCAGTGTTTCCTGGATATATAGTGGGTTGCATTATTGGTCTGATTTTGTATCATTGTCTACAGTATTCATATATTAATCATAAAATGAAGCTATTATTGCTGACTTACTTACAAGAATTGATTTCAATTTCTTTTTGCATTTATAGATGTAGAAACGTAAAATCCAGAGTGGCCATTTTGCTTCAATTGGCTACTCAAATTTACACAGTCTGTACACTATTTTTGTATGTTTATACCAATAAAACAAACAAAAAGTATGAAAGCCAATCCTTAATTAGATTATGCTTGTTATCAATATATTATCTGGCTTCTGTAGTATTTATGTATGCGTTAACATTCATCATGTTCGGTAGTTAAAGTGCATGCCCAAACTTGGTTGTCATGAAGACATATGACTTTGGATTGCCCATGTATTGTTTATTAACACTGCCTGTTTCCACTGCAGGTACACCCCCCAGAACAATGTCATCTTCCTTGCAATTCATGAGTTGGATGAGGGACAGGTGGGAAGGTTTTCATTCCGTAGTCGGGACGGAATCTTACAGGTGAGATTGACCTTCAGTATTGTAACCATCTCAATACTGTTGCTTGTTGTTGGACATCAAGGTACATTGTAAATGCAACAATCGTACGTACAACATTTTACCCATATGTCTTCACCAGTCACTCCACTGTTTGCAGATCCTGCGTACTGGCGGTGTGGAGAACCTGCAGGTGGTGTTGAAGGCCCAGACTGTTCACAAGAACGCTCTCATCTCAGCCGTCCAGCAGGCCAATGTGTGTCAGCCAGTCAGACAGCAGGACTGGAAGAGGTAAACTGCAGGCAGCTTTCAACTTTTCAAAACTTGTGAAAATTGTTAACATATGGTACAGAGTAAAACCTTCTGGATATAGTTAACATATAATGCGGAGTAAGAACTTGTGGAAATTAACATATAGAGCAGAATAGAACCTTGTGGAAATTGTTAACATATAATGCAGAGTAAAATCTTTTGTCAATCAATAGGAGGTTGGGAACAACTCATTTAGTATAGAAAATAGGTGTGATAAATTTTTATAGTGGAGGGGTGTCATAAATTGACACAGTGAAAGCTTGAGGTTACCAGAATTATCATGTTAGGAAAATAGTATGTAACTCAGTACTCAGGATCTGACCTTGCCCTACAAAAGTAGCACTTAAGGACCCCCTTATACTAATTTCAAGGGTTTTATGCTTTTCAAAAGATCATGATAAATTTGATTCATTTTGTGGAAATTATATAGTACAAAAGAAGTTAAAGTTTGTAAGTCAATCCTTGATCTCCAGTGGGCGTACAAGTCCTACTGAGACGAAGAGTGAGAAGTCGTCCATGACACAGTTCACAAGCATCTCCAGTGGAACAGGGGGCACGGGGCTTGCATCTAAACACCAGTCAGAGACTGGGAAGTACCGACGCTCCCCTGAAGCATTCATCTCCATGCAGCTTGAAAAGGTAGGCAACATCTTCTGCTGTACCCTAAAATATAATCCTATATTGATGCTTTCCACTAATCTTGGGGGCAGTTCAGTAGCTTTGTTAAAGCGTTTGCTTGTCATGCCGAAGATGTGGGTTCAATTCCCCATTTCTGGTGTCCCCCCCCCCCATTGCTAAAAATGGTGTAAAACCATACTCACGGACACCACTAATCTTCTGGTATTAAGCTGTCAGAAGGTTTTAACATCTGCACCCTACTTAGGAGAATAATATGTGCAGTTTCATGTTTGTCAGTGAAATATCAACTGTTATGTTCCTTGGCAGCGTCCGAGCCGTGACTTGATGCTGAATGACTACATACAGAAGAAACAGCAGATGGGCACTGTGTTACGGAACCCTGACGAGCAGGAGAAACTGAAGCGGTGAGTTCATACCTCTGTATCATGCTATGCTAACTGAAACTGAAGTGATGGGGGTCAATCATTTATCCTGGTCATGATATCAGTGATAAGAGCATGGCAGTGTACTGGTAACGTGGGACACTGGTGGTGGGAAAGCGGAGGCAACCCGAATGGGTGAGTGATTTTACACTTGCTTCAGGGAGCAAAGGGATTCAAGTTTCCACGTACCGTTCAAAGGGAAAGGGAGATAATATAGCATGCGTCAGGATAAGGAAAAATTTGGGTTTTATCATATACCTATGAAGAATATAGACCATTTTGCACATACAATACTGGCTGTCGGCAAATGTCCATATTGACCACCTGGCTGAAAATAAAGATCAGCCATATCAGCCATATCCCATATCAGCTGTATTGCTACTAGACTGGTACGGAATGAATACAGACAAACACTCGAACCTTCAATAGATGGAGCCTAGTATATTTTCGAGTTACATCCCTTAATGTGGTATATGATAAAAAGGTTATTACATGACAGTTTCCCTTTCGCCAGTGATATCAGCCCGAGAGCTGATAGGGTAGTCTCGAGGCTGATATGACTGGCGAAAGGGAAACTGTCATGTAATAACCTCTTAATATCCTGATGAAACTGGAAACTTGAAATAATTTCTTTTTGTTTCTGTATAAAAATTTAAGGATGGAATGATTTCAGTATGTTACAAGGCCTCTGGGCTCAGTTACATAACTGGATGTGTCATTATACCCTGATGGCCTGGGACATAGTTCAACTGATCAATCACTGCTTTGTCTGGTCCAGACTCTATTGATTGCAGCCCACTGTCACATAGCTGGAAATTTGCTGACTGTCATTAAAGGCCAAAGAACCATAACAAAAAAAATTGTATAGGCAAACCTCCAAAAATGTGTAGGGAGGTCAAAGTGTTAGGCTTTTTAAAAGTATGTTCTACAGTTGAAATTCCTCCACTCAAATAATGACTGTTTTATTTGTCATGAAGGGAAGCAATTTTGAGCTAATGGCATAAGATTTGGACAATGCCGTGATGGTGATAAATCCTTTAAAATATTGTGGGCTGGGTCCCAGGTTAGGGTCATGAAAATCAGAAACAATTTTTGAGCTGTTGGGAATTGGCATAATTGATGATTGGTTTATTACAATGCAATCATAGAAAGAAAATTGTTAGATAAATTTGTTAATGCAAAAAAAATAAGGAAAAAACATGTAGTTCTTTCCCAGGCACATCTTTAAAGGATGGCTAGTATGTCAGAAATTTCTTGGAGTCTTTAAGATAAATTCAATCATGACTTGAAACGAGCTTGTAATGCTTATGAAATGTAACAGACAAAACCAACCTTGTGAAAAATATTGTTTATGAAAACAAGTGTTCCTGAATTGTTTGTGTTCGATTATGAGAAAACATGATCGATTGCTTGGTCGTTTAGTCACTGCGATCAATCTTCGATTATTTCAATTAATCGGACCACCACTAGTTTGAGGGCCATACAGAAAGCCAGGTACAAGCCACAGATATGTTGGTGAGTGATGACACTTGTTTCTTGTTTCCAGGCGCCTGATATCGGAGTACTGCATGAACTTCTCCCAGCGGGTGTCCCAGTACTCCCTGAGAGGCCAGATCATTGCTTACTACAACAGCATAGTCCGGCTGCTGGAGGACTTCCCGGCGGTCAGGTACACTCACTCTCTGTGTTGACACGTGTTTTGGTTGAAGACTGTCTTCATGGTCTTGTGGGTAGAACATCTTCCTAGAGAACAAAGGAGTTAGTAGCACTGTAAGACCAGTAATAGGTATACATGAAGTCAAACATGCTCGCAAGTGTATGCACACACACACACGCACGCACACACACACACACACACACATATATCACCACACACAATCACACACACACACATATATAAACACCACACACACACATATATAAACACCACACACAATCACACAAACTCACAAAAACAAGAAAACACACACAGAGAGAAAGACAAAATCATAAGCTCTAGATCAATTAATATTTCAAAATTATTAGTTGCAATTGATCAATCATCAATTGTACATTTTTTATCATATGTTTCTGTATTTCCTGTTGTTTTTATGTAATATATTCTCTATACTCTCTAGAAGTTTATTCCAGAGGGAAATTGTTTGTTTGACTGCATATTGGTGAATAAGACATCACTTCTCTCTAACACATGCTCCTTGTGTTGCACACACACACCATAGAAGAAATAAGAAATATGGTTATATGCTGTGAGATCTGAACATTTTTGGGCTGTGTATTGTTATTTTTTTTATCTCATACCCACTTGCCAACCAATGCCCCAAGTAGTTCTAAGAACTAATACAGAACCATGCTAGGTGTGTGGCCTTCTTTCTGTACTTGATATAACACTCCACTACACGGTCCTGCTGAACAACCTGAGCTGAACAGACCCTTCATGTGATTCATCCTTCAAAGTTAATATCCAAACATGTTGTGTTTGTTTTAATGATAAATGCCTGTTTTTCAATATTTGCATGAATATCTGATAAGGCCTTTAAAAAAAAATGTTGTGGTTCCAATTACCCGACCGACCCTTGAATTCTGGTTCTGTCCCTATTCTTTTTAAGCAAAATGAATAAAGTAAGCTTTAAGATACCTTTTTTGTTTTCCTGGCACCAACAGACTTTGGTCATTCTGATAAAGTCGATATGATGGCCACAAGCTTGATTGAAGAAATACATTACACATTGATAAATGTGTTATTAGTTTGTGCTTTACTTCTAAAAAAAATATGTAAAAACAAATTTCATACCTACCAACCCTAAATTTTAAGGAGGTGTAATCAGAACCACAACATTTTTTTTATTTGGCCTAAATAACTTACCATGGCCTACCAAGATGAACTTGTTGAATCGACAGAGACACATACTTCATGCGAGGGGAAGTGAATGAGAAGAAGACAGACTGTGATGACCTCAAGGGGTTGGTGTCAGATGCCAAGTGAGTCATTGTCTACATTTTACAACATACAATAATTATATCAATTCCCAATTTTTTTTAACAATTATGCTGTATGTTTTACTCACTAAGGTTCAAAATAATAACATGAAATAGTCTTAAATGATTATTCTTTCATGAAAGAAGCCTTGAAGTCAGGAATTTAAGAATCCAAGGGACAAAGTAAATGAATTAAGCTAACCTGTTACAACCTGGGCTTAAATTTATTATTATTGCAATGCTTGATTTACAAGGGAATATTATCTGACTGTATGTATCAGTATTGAACTCAAGAAAAAGAATAGCACTTAAAGGTGAAAAAAGGGTGGCACATTATTGAACGTGGCGGCCATTTTGAAATCCAAGATGGCCACCAATGGGATGATGGAAAAAACTGGAAACATTGCTTTTTACATTAAGTGTAGTGAGTGGTTTAAGAATATGTATACTATTGCTTATCTCCAATTTCTTTGAATGAAAATAAATAATACAATGGACTATCATGGGTTGGAAGGATATTTTAATTACAAAGTTATTAACTGTTTTAATCACTGTTACATACCAGGCCATTCACCCTCTCCCTCATCTTCCTCACAGAGTGTTAAAGACCCGACCACGCCGTCTGCTATCACCTGACGGACGCCACGTCCTCAACCTGTGGTTCATCCCTCATCACTCCGAGGTGCTGATCATGTTCAAGACAATGGAGGACAGTGAATGTCTCCGAGCCTTGCACTACACACTGGCAATCATAGCTGCGCTGCACGACATGTTGCACTACCTGTGTGCACACTCGCGCCTCGGCAGTTCCCATGCAAGACTTGGCTCCCAGAAGATGGAGTTTGTGTCTGCCGACTGGGGTGGAACAGAAGGGATCGGTAGGTCACAACTCTGTATATGATCAAACTATTAAAAATAGTAACATTCTGTTTCTCAACAGTCATCAATGAAGCATTGCCATGGTAGAGAGGATATGAAGCATCTGCCTAGAAAGCAGAAGGTCAGTGGTTTCATCCCTAAAGATATTAAAAGATGGTACTTATTGTTACTCAGCCTGCTGCACTCTCTGACCCAGGGTTCTGTGCAGCTAGCATCATGCCTCTTCCAAAGGCAACTGCCCATGACAGTTCGTCACATCTTACTCAGTCCAATCAAGATATTGTATATGTTTTTCCATTTTTGATTGGTCTGCATACATGGATAAACATACAGGCTAGAATGGTTTACTTTCATTGAGAAAATATCATGAAATAAGAAAAATTATTTTGATTTGCATAGGGAGCACCTTTAGAATACAGCACCACAACTTCTCGTGAGGACGATCTCTGCCGTGGGTCAGGTGTCATTAAGACAAGCATTTAGTTTGTGAGAACCCGTCGGACGCGAACCCGCGACCTTCGGATTCTTAGCTCGACAGCTAACCGACTGAGCTACATCCACACTGTTGCACAATGTGCAAATTTATCGGAATTGAACAGAAAGAGTCGAATAGGTCACGGACAATTACGAAGGTTACGGATAGACTTGGTGTCTCGTGATTTTAATGTACGGACAATTGCCAAATGGACCCGATCCACTTGCCAAATGGACCGTAATCTACAAGATACCGCGTGGAGTGGAATGAGCCGATATGGCTCAAACTGAAAAGGGTTGTTGACGTCAGGCGTCTGACGTCGATTTCATGGTGCATGCATGAATGACGCGCTTTTATTAAAATAGGGTGCTTTTGTGACAGAAAAGTGATGTAGGGAAGACTGTAAGGATAATGTGGATCGCAGTAAGGAACGAGGGAGACGTGAGCATGATACGACACGAGGGTGAGTTAGCCTTCAGAATCAAATCATTACTGTACAAATGTTGTGTGTGAAAGAGGCTTGAGCGCAAATTCCAGGCGAATTTCCATTAGCCCAAAATGTCTACATCAAATCATTTCATAGTGTACTTTCGACGTTTTTGGTTTCCCGTTGTTGTGTGAAAAAAGTATTAAAATGCAAAAGGAAAAACAACAAATGGTACACGCGTATTACACCGGACATGTACCTACTATATTGGATTAAGTTACTAACCCTAACCCTAACCCTAACCCTAACCCTAACCCTAAACCCTAACCCTAAACCCTAAGCCCTAAGCCCTAATTCTAACCCTTTGAAGTATTCCTAATAAATAGAATACATTGACCAGACCGGCACAAACATGGCTGACGTGTCCTGTGTAACCCATTCCTACCGCTTCGGAAAATAAAATACTACTAAAAAACATTTCTGTGTAATGGTGCAAATTACTGAATGAAAAAAATATATATCGGTATGTATGTTCACATTTGTAAATCATTTAGACCTAATAGTTACGTTGAAACAGAAATATAAAATATATTTATCCCTAATTTAAATAATTAAATTGACCAAAATTGCGAATAAAAGAATATGGCAGAATGTGACCGGTGTAACGCATTCTTACTAAATTTTAAAAATACCAAATACACAAAATATAACACCTCAGCACCCCGTAATACAAATAAATGTGAGCGTATTAGTGAAGAAAGAAAAATATTTCAAACTGGCGCTTGCAAAAAGTTACACATCCGCCGGTATACAACTACTGTAAACTCTCAACATCGTTGGGCTTATGCAGTGACATAGCTAGTAGAGATGAAACATCAGAGAAGCGGAGCTTATACGCACTAGCTGAGCTAGACAACCGTGTTGCTATGAAGCCGTCATAGGGCATTGTTTCGACAACATGCTTTTGAACAAAATCACATATAAGTACGTAAAAGAGTATTATGACGTATTTTTCAAGTTTGTGGTGCTGTATTCTAAAGGTAGGCCTTGCATAGTAATCATTTGTGTATACATTGGTCGTACTGCTCCACATGTTGTCTTCAGAGTCCTTTGGAGACCCAGTCTCTTTGATGTATGAAAATAGATTGTCAATGGCATTAATTGTCCTAATACAGTTTAGAAATTTAAAAAAAAAAATCATTTACAATTCACTTTTCACCAGCTTTTATACTAAGCAGCAAAAGAAACGTCAGTTTGGAATTTTCCTCCGCAGAAACGGATAACTGTAAACTCATTTAATGTTTTGATTTATATTTTTGACAACATCTCCAACTTCACCTGAGCAAAGACATTCCTTCCCAAACTCAGAATAGAACCCAGGAACTGGTCTCAAAAACGCAACCTGATCTCAGAGATGGTACGGTGTTCTCCATGTTTTTTCATGCAACTCATGCTGCATGTGATGTTCACAAGGACCAGCCCTATAAAATGCACCCCCAAACCTGGTTGAAACATTCACATTACAACGTCAGCAGGATGCCACGACTCACGACAGCTCAGAGGAACCTGGCGCTAGGAAGACTTGAAGCTGGCCACACTGCACAAGCCGTTGCCAATTACTTCCAGATGAACGTTCGGACCATCTACAGGCTGCAGCAAAGTTTCCGGGCCACCAACACCACAAATGATCGCCCCGTACTGGCAGACCAAGGGTGACCACAAGACGACAAGACATGTTGTGCGACAGCATGTACAGAATCCCTTCATGCAGGCATCCCAAACAGCACGCCAGACAGGTGGGAACACACGGAAGACCACTCAGTACTGATACAGTACGCCCGGCGTCTTAACATAGCGGGAACTTCCATTGCCGTTAGACCTTACCGTGGACCTATCCTCACCCTCATCAGCGGCGAACGTCTACAGTTTGCCCTACAACACCAAAACTGGCGATACAGGCAATGGAGAACTGTTCTGTTCACAGATGAGAGTCGGTACTGCGTATCAACTGCAGATGGCAGAACAAGAATATGGCGACGACGTGGCCAGCATTACTCAGACCAATGTGTTATGGAAAGAGACTCATGGGGAGGTGCAAGCATCATGGTATGGGGTGGAATAGGCCTGAACCAGAGATTGGGTCCTGTGGTGTTCCAGAACTTTGATCCAGGGAGAGGAGGCGGCTGCATCACAGCGGTGCGCTACATCGACCAAGCTCTCAGACCCCACGTCATACCACATTTCGCATGTCACCGGAACAACATTTTCCAGCATAATAACGCCCGGGCCCGTACTGCCAGAGCTACATGGGACTTCCTACAGCAGAACGGTGTCAACATTATGCAGTGGCTAGCCCTTAGTCCTGATTTAAACCCAGTTGAACATCTTTGGGATGAAATTCAGAGGAGACTGAATAATGTCATACCAAGGCCGAACACAGCCGATTTATTGCACCAGGCCTTTCTCAGAGTGTGGTTCCAGGTGCCAATGGCCTTCATCAATCGATCGGTGCACTCCATGCATAGACGCTGTGCTGCAGTTATTGCCGCTCGTGGTGGTCACACTAGATACTGAAGTCAAGAGTCTGAATGGACTGCAAACGTTCACGTAATGTCTTGGAATTGTGCTGAATTATTCATTGATGTGTCAGGATATTGTACACAAAAAAAGTTTTTGATCCGCTTATTATGTCATTTCTGTAATGATTTGATTACAGTGTAATTTTGAATTCGTACTGACGGGTTTTTTTGCTGCTGAGTATATTTTTGGTCATGATTAAATCTTTTTAAAAACTCAATGAATAATAGCACAACAGGTAATTTATGAAATATCTGAACACCTCCAATCAGGTGCTGAGCTTCGCGATATCCAGAAGCAGATCAACAACTTGCCGGACCCCACCAACCCTGGCAGCGTGGTGGAGTTCCTCACTCTCAGACGTGATGTCATGTTCCTAGAATTCGACACTGCCGTCAGACACTACATGGCCGACACTTTCCTCTCCACCGGCAACCAACATGGCTTCAAGGTGGGTCAAGGGGAAACTTGAAATATGCCAGAAAATAACCCTGCTAAATGAACAGTACTTAATGGATTAACTAAAATTATACGCCCTCCTTAGTCCATGCAAAATTCTACATTTATGATTGTCTCGGATTATATATCTGACCCAGGACAAATTAAGAATGACTGATGTTTGGACTTGGCACAATGCATTTAACGGTATTTGCCATTAAAAACTCCAAGGACACTTAGAAAATTGACAAAGGGGTTGCTAGTTAAACCAAATTGTTGATTGATTGTTTATTGCTTAATGCCGCACTCAGCAATATTCCAGCTATATGACGGTCTGTAAATAATCGAGTATGGACCAGACAATCCAGTGATCAACAGCATGAACATCAATCTAAGCAATTGGGATATGATGACATGTGTCAACCAGGTCAGCGAGTCTGACCACCCGATGCCATCAGACACCTCTTATGACAGGCATGGGCTGCTGAAGACCTATTCTAACCTGGATATTCACGGGTCTAATTAAACCAAAGACAAATCATAATAGTTGGCAGTTACATACCCTTGCTCCACTACTGTGTTGACTGTGAACAAATCTGGAGTGTACTCAAACGAATACAAATGGCTTTGGCTATTTTCGGTCTTATATAGCTTACTTATACAGATATGTCTAGAAGTAGGATAGCCGGCACTTACTGAAGCTGCAATTTATACTATTAACATGGTACCGTCAGAATACGATGTCCTACCTGTGCTTGTCAATGTTTCCACTGGGTGATGTAATTGCAGGCCATTACAGAGAACATGTACCATGCCCTGCCCTCCCTCAGCAACGTCCAGCAGACCAGTTTGACCAGCACCTACCTGTCCGTGCCAGAACCCCTAGAGCCCCGCGACCTCCTGGCCAGGAAGCTGTACCCCTGGAGGTCCTTCGTCTGCCAGAACGGCCCCTACCCACTCAATGTTCTGGCAGTGGCACCAGATCGGCTTCCACATCCAGGGTTGTCTGGCTGGACTCAAAGATGTAGACAGGTACATTGTCAAAATGCCTTGGGTTTGTATGCACTGTGCTGTTTTTCACCTGTGAATATGTTGTACATCTGCTTTGTGGTGTGGCTGCCATTTTAGTGAGTGATTGAGTTTAGTTTTCTTGCCGCACTCAGCAATATTCCAGCTATATGACGGCAGTCTGTAAATAATCGAGTCTGGACCAGACAATCCAGTGATCAACAGCATGAGCATCGATCTATGCAATTGGGATATGATGACATGTGTCAATTAAGTCAGTGAGCCTGACCACCTGATCCTGTTAGTTGCCTCTTACGGCAAGCATGGGTTGCTGTAGACCAATTCTAACCAGGATCTTCACGGGTCGGCTGCCTCTTTTTAACCAGTGAATAAGACAACGATAGGGTTTGCATAAAGTTCATGCATTGGACAGCTAATTTCATCTCAGTGTGTTATACACACATCACATCACCATTACACCTCATATGGATCCATCACATCCCTTGGTGATGGAGAAATATAGTGTCTTTCACATATTGGGAAGTGTAGAAATTAGTGAAAGCCATTAAAATCGCAATTTGATATTCATACTTTCTTTACTCACACAAATATGAACATATATAAATGTAAGTGGCAGATATGTTTAAAGATCCTGGGTGTGACTTTACTAGATGTGTGTGTATGTGACCCACAGACATGTGGCTAATGGTGAGATCCTGGATGTGACGTAACTAGATGTGTGTGTATGTGACCCACAGACATGTCGCTAATGGTGAGATCCTGGTGAGATCCTGGATGTGTGTGTAACTACAGACATGTGCTAATGGTGTGTCCTGGGAATGGTGATGCGTGGCGTAACTGTGTGTGTATGTGACCCACAGACATGTGGCTAATGGTGAGATCCTGGATGTGACGTAACTGGATGTGTGTGTATGTGACCCACAGACATGTGGCTAATGGTGAGATCCTGGATGTGACGTAACTGGATGTGTGTGTGTATGTGACCCACAGACATGTGGCTAATGGTGAGATCCTGGATGTGACATAACTAGATGTGTGTGTATGTGACCCACAGACATGTGGCTAATGGTGAGATCCTGGATGTGACATAACTAGGATGTGTGTGTGTATGTGACCCACAGACATGTGGCTAATGGTGAGATCCTGGATGTGACGTAACTAGATGTGTGTGTATGTGACCCACAGACATGTGGCTAATGGTGAGATCCTGGATGTGACGTAACTAGATGTGTGTGTATGTGACCCACAGACATGTGGCTAATGGTGAGATCCTGGATGTGACGTAACTAGATGTGTGTGTATGTGACCCACAGACATGTGGCTAATGGTGAGATCCTGGTTGTGACGTAACTAGATGTGTGTGTATGTGACCCACAGACATGTGGCTAATGGTGAGATCCTGGGAGTGACACTGCTGATGGAGGACGTGCTACAGACCGGCTACCAGGACACTCATCTGGAGGCCGCCGTCCCTGACGATGCAGATGTCAAGTCTATAGCAGACACTACAGAGTCCAGTGCTGGCGAGAGCAGAGAGGCCAAGAAGTCTCAAGGTAGAATTAAACAAAGTCTGACAATAGATGTTAAAGATCATCTGTCCCAAATTTTGTAAGCCATGAACCATTTAAATCACAAGGGATTGATAATCCCTAACTCAATACAGCTTGTTAAACTTTTTGAATTTTGAATTTGGTACTCACTGTCATTTTGATGTAAGAAAATCCTACACCCTGAGCAATCTTTCAAATGGAAAGGATCTCATCATGAAACTGGCAGTAGCTTTGGTCTTTCCTTTATGTCGGTAAAGTGTTAATGAAAGTCAAAGGTGAATAATTTGCTTTTGCCAAAGCCACAGGAATGAATCCAAGGGTTAGTGTAGGTTTTCTAAAATGCAAGCCCTGGATACATAGGAAATGGTATCAGAGATTAGGGGTGAAACGGTACACTCTTACCATGGTACGGTACGTACTGCGGTACAAGACCTTTGGGTCGGTTTATGAGATATGATCATAATGCAGAAAACTGACATATGGCAAAGAAATGCATAGATTTTGACAAAACGATTCGAGTTCTAGACATTTTAGGAAGGTATAAAAAGGTCAAGAAATTGATGGTACGAAAACCGAAAATACCAAATTTTTGGATTGCATTAAGTTATACCGAACTGTAGGCAAATTACCGTGGTTCCACTAATACCGCGGTCTACCGTTTCACCCCTATCAGAGATGTTATGCTCTACCCTACTCTGTACCTATTACCCTTGGTTATGTTGTAGTTTGTTTGCAATTTTTGCCCTTGGACTGATACCAGAGTCTAGTAAAATTCTGACCAGTCTGGTAAGCTCAGCTAGTAATTGTCCATATAACATGAAAATGTATGGAGAACAATTCCAAGAGCCAAGTTTGTGCACGTGGACTGTCGGGAAACAAATGCTGAGGATAGAATAAATCACTGATAGATTCTACAAACCAATAAAAAAGACATGTTAAGAATAGTAATACAGAATCTGTACTACACTGGGGAATGATATTTTGCTTTTTTTAAATCATCTTTCTTAGAATGAGAATATGCTTTGATTAAAGTAACCATCTATCGTAAAACTGAAATATAATTCAAAGAATTATTTTCTTACTACAGCGTCCCAGCAGTCCAAGAGTCTGTCACGAACCCAGCAGCCAATGGATGCCTACCGACTCCTGAAGTCCTTCCTCAAGTTGTGGAAGTGTCTGGAGCTGGCCAAGGTGGAGTGGGGCAGACGCAAGCTGATTGTTGAGAGGATAGAGACCCATCACTTGTACAAGGAATACTGGTAGGCAGCACTGGCAGTGAGGTTTTGTAACTGTGCATTTTTGACTGAAATTTGTCTTGAAAAGGCCTGAAAAGTTTGCCTTGAAATACCTGAAATTGATATGTTTGTCTTGAACGAACCTAGCCCCATTTTACAAAGCAATCATAATGCTGGCTACAACCTGACAACTGTCAAGAATTACAGTCATCTTAGCACTATAGTCACTTCATGGAACAAGACTCTGGATTTAAGACATTTATACTGACAAGGGCTGGAATTGAGATGTATGTCCTGAAAAGGGCTGGAACTGTTTTTTATGGCATGTACAGGGCTGGAATGAAGTTATGTGTCTTGTAAAGGGTTGGAACTGAGACATGTCTTGAAAAGTGCTTGAACTGAGTTGTTTGTTTTGAAAAAGTCTGGAATTGAGGCATTAGTCTTGCTAAGGCCTTTAGGATGTCTTCTGGTATGATTTTGTATTTACTGTTCACCTTCAACTCTCTTGTATTAAGGAATCCTTTAATGACTTGCTCACACACAATATGTTAACATCAGTCTATCACCAAAATGAAGCTAACAGTCTTGGGGCTAAAAGTCAAGTAGTAGTTAAAAATCAAATGTATATCAGTTAAGGTTTTGCAACAAGTGCTTGTACAGGGATTTACCTTGAGTCCTGTATTTGAGGGTCCCTGGGACTCATACTCTTACTTTTCAGGGGTCCTGGACAACAAAATAGGGGTCCCAGACACTTAAATGTTATTACTAATACTGTAATTGTATTGTGTATCATGATCATCACATTAATTGTTACAGTAATGAAACTGCAAATGATACCAGCTAGTAGCAAACTCAGTGATAACTTATTGTTACTTGATTGGAATTTTTACAAAAAGTATTTGGACTTTTTTTCTGCGTCCCAGTGGATGCACTAATAAATTTTGTTGCATCGATTGTCAATTTTATAGGACACAGGAATTCGCGTCCTGTAAATCCCTGCTTGTAGCTTACAGAAAGTGAATGACAGTTCTATGATATCACTGTAGTATAACGTTGTTGCATAATGTCATTACACTGTATGATGTCAACAGGGGAATGTTGCTGCAAGTTTGAAACTGTAGAGAACTTTGTAGTTTGGTCATGCTATCAACCACTAGTTTGGCTAACTAATGTGATAATTGACATTATGTCAAATGTATCTATGACTCCATTGTATGAAGCGTTACTGACAGGAGTGTTTCTCTCCAGCAAACTGTACCGTATGGAGGTGTTGCTGCCCGTCCTGCAGAGTGTGGCTCGACGTCTAGGTCAGGGTGACCTGTACGAGGGGCTGGTGCTAGATACAGACACTCTTGTCATGCCTAAAGGGGCCTCGGAGATTGAAGTCCGGGCCAAACAGGTAATATGCAAACCATGGTGTTTGTGGCATATTTGGTTTTAGAATTTTGAAGTTAAAATGTACTGTGGTAGTGACAGCACTTGTTAAGTGCTAAAGTCATAGGATACTTGATATGGACCTAGGTGTTCCTGACATCTGCTGTAGACTCATAGTGTCTTATAAACAGGTAGATAGTTTTGTAACGTTCATGTTTTTGTGTTTTCCAGCTTGTGCGTCTGTTTGAGAATCTAGAGTGTCACATGATTAATGAGGTTCGTAAACGAGTTGCGAAGGAGTCAACCCTTGCTCTGTCGGAGAGATCTCGGGAAGAAGGTGCTCTGTCCACAGACCTATGGAAGAAGCCGGTAGGTGGTTCGATTGGGCAATATAGTTACCAAAATTGACCTGACCTCCTTCCCAGACTTCTTCACCTACCAATGTGCTCTCATGCTCTTAGTCTGTCTGTCACTCACTCACTCACTTGACCTATCTTTCTCACTCACTTGACCTATCTCTCTCACACATCTGGCAGTGGGGTAGCCTAGTGATAAAACCGTTCAATCATCACGCCGAAGACCCAGGTTTGATTCTTCAAATGGGTACAATGTGTGAAACCCATTTTCAGTGTCACCTGCCATGATATTGCTAAAAATGGTGTAAAACTATAGTCACTCACTGACTGTCATCCCTGTGTTGAAGGTGATGAAGGAGAGCTACACCATCGCCAGGCCTCACGTTGTGGAGAACTTCATGGAGTCACTGATGTCGGACTGCATGGAGTCCGGGGATGAGATCACCTTCAGCAAGAGCCACCTGTACTCCACTCTAGCCAGCCTGGCCAGGGGAGTGATGGGCCGAGAGAAGATGGCATTTGAGAGGTAGGCATAGGCTGTGGTGAGGTGCTCAATACAGCCTGTTTTAAAAACTAATATGGTAATTTGAGAAGCCATTTGTGTATTGTCAATCTCATTGATGTTATATCTTTTTATGCCGATATGACTCAAAATGTAAGGATACCTCATCTTAGGTCGTCTTTTAAGCAGCTTCTCTGTAATTCTGTTTTGGGTTGCAGTTACAGCATGTACTATGAGAACCTGCTCCGAGTCAACCATCAGCTGCTCTACCAGAGAGAACAGGTGAGTATTGGGGTGATGGGTGGTTGCTGTTCCAGGTAATAGGTGGGTAATGTAGAGGGGTGGGTGGTCTGTTACTGTATCAGAGAGAACAGGTGAGTATTGGGGAGGGGTGGTTGCTGTTCCAGGTATGGGTGGGTAATGTAGAGGGGTGGGTGGTCTGTTACTGTATCAGAGAGAACAGGTGAGTATGGGGGAACAGGGGTGGGCAGTTGCTGTTCCAGGTATGGGTGGGTAATGTAGAGGGGTGGGTGGTCTGTTACTGTATCAGAGAGAACAGGTGAGTATGGGGAACAGGGGAGGGTGGTTGCTGTTCCAGGTAATAGGTGGGTAATGTAGAGGGGTGGGTAGTCTGTTACTGTATCAAAGACAGGTATTAAATGCTCAGGTTGTGATGATGAGGAGGGTGGACTGAGGTGAAGATGGGTGGTTTATCTATCCATCTTGATGGAGAGAGGAAAGAAGGCGAGCTGTTGAAGGAGGGTGGAGGATTCCTGAGGATGTTTGATATGGGGTGGTGGAGAAGGTGGACTGAGGTGAAGCTGGGTGGTTTATCTATCCATCTAGATGGAGGCTGTTGAAGGAGGGTGAAGGATTCCTGAGGATGTTTGATATGGGGTGGTGGAGAAGGTGGACTGAGGTGAAGCTGGGTGGTTTATCTATCCATCTTGATGGAGGCTGTTGAAGGAGGGTGAAGGATTCCTGAGGATGTTTGATATGGGGTGGTGGAGAAGGTGGACTGAGGTGAAGATGGGTGGTTTATCTATCCATCTTGATGGAGGGAAAGAGGCGAGCTGTTGAAGGAGGGGTGAAGGATTCCTGAGGATGTTTGATATGGGGTGGTGGAGAAGGTGGACTGAGGTGAAGCTGGGTGGTTTATCTATCCATCTAGATGGAGGCTGGTGAAGGAGGGTGAAGGATTCCTGAGGATGTTTGATATGGGGTGGTGGAGAAGGTGGACTGGGAGGTGAAGCTGGGTGGTTTATCTATCCATCTTGATGGAGGCTGTTGAAGGAGGGTGAAGGATTCCTGAGGATGTTTGATATGGGGTGGTGGAGAAGGTGGACTGAGGTGAAGATGGGTGGTTTATCTATCCATCTTGATGGAGGGAAAGAGGCAGAGCTGTTGAAGGGTGGGTGAAGGATTCCTGAGGATGTTTACTGTATGGGGTGGTGGAGAAGGTGGACTGAGGTGAAGATGGGTGGTTTATCTATCCATCTTGATGGAGGGAAAGAGGCGAGCTGTTGAAGGAGGGTGGAGGATTCCTGAGGATGTTTGATATGGGGTGGTGGAGAAAGGTGGACTGAGGTGAAGCTGGGTGGTTTATCTATCCATCTAGATGGAGGCTGTTGAAGGAGGGTGAAGAAGGATTCCCTGAGGATGTTTGATATGGGGTGGTGGAGAGAGGTGGACTGAGGAGGTGAAGCTGGGTGGTTTATCTATCCATCTTGATGGAGGCTGTTGAAGGAGGGTGAAGGATTCCTGAGGATGTTTGATATGGGGTGGTGGAGAGAGAAAGGTGGACTGAGGTGAAGATGGGTGGTTTATCTATCAGCCGAGATCTTGATGGAGGAGAAAGAGGCGAGCTGTTGAAGGAGGGGGTGAAGGATTCCTGAGGATGTTTGATATGGGGTGGGTGGAGAAGGTGGACTGAGGTGAAGCTGGGTGGTTTATCTATCCATCTTGATGGAGGGAAAGAGGCGAGCTGTTGAAGGAGGGTGGAGGATTCCTGAGGATGTTTGATATGGGGTGGTGGAGAAGGTGGACTGAGGTGAAGCTGGGTGGTTTATCTATCCATCTTGATGGAGGCTGTTGAAGGAGGGGTGAAAGGATTCCTGAGGATGTTTGATATGGGGTGGTGGAGAAGGTGGACTGAGGGTGAAGCTGGGTGGTTTATCTATCCATCTTGATGGAGGGAAAGAGGCGAGCTGTTGAAGGAGGGTGAAGGATTCCTGAGGATGTTTGATATGGGGTGTTTGATATGAGAAGGAATACCAGAATCATGGATAAAACATTTCTGACACATTGTGTTAAATCTAGTTGATATGTTACTTTAAATCTTTATTACTTGATGCAATTGGCTTCAAATAATTTTTCCAGTCACTGCACTGTGAAATCTTCAAATGTGAAAAACACATGCCTTTCTGCTTCTTTAGGAAAGTCCCTATATGCAAGTTTCTATATGTCTATTTATCTGTATTTGTCTATTTCATATTTAAAGCAATATGAAGCTGAGACATTAAGAGATTGACAGATGTCCTCAAGAATGAACTTTGTTTTTTCAGGAAATTAAGCAGATGCGTGAACAGCTGAAGGGGTCGCAGCACACAGCCACCGTGGACGTCCAGTGTCAGCTAGCCACACAGGCACATGACCTCCTCATGGGTACTGTCATGTCTCAGTAGAACATGATACATCAGCTCTGTGCAAAGCAATGTTCAAGTTACCTCTACCATGAATTTGGAGAGTGCTTCATTCTGATTGGTCGCTCAGAGGTTTCAAACCACAATTACCACCTCTAACTAACCACAGCTGATTGGACATCAGCATCACTGCAGAAGTTGATATTTCCTGACATGTACCTCTTCCTCAATCATTATCAGAAGTCCTATGGAAATTATGATGTGTACAATTTGGATAGAAAAGTTCGATCTTGAAATCACTGTAATTTTTTATATGTGTGAAAATATATTTAAAACGTGATTGAAATTGACTAAGAGAGATTTTTGTGAACATTATCTTGGTGAACATGAAATAAAAATATTCTCACATTTGCTCACATTCATACAGAATGTATGCAGTCTGAACATGTTGATATGTCAGAGAATAACTTCTCAAAGCTGTCAAAGATGTGAAATAGGTCTCCACTGATAGTGAACCCTGTGCCTCTCTTCTGTCAGAGATCACAGCACTGCGAGCGAAGATAGCAGAGATGCGAGAGATGTTGATGACACAGGAGCGAGACATCCGAGACCGGATCAAGTCGGAGTACGAGGACTTAGTGCAGAATCTCTTTAACTGTACATTCCAACTGCGGGGAAAGTTTGATGAGTTCAAGTAAGTGGACCTGAAATGCATGTGATTCTCTTGCTAAAAGTTTTAAATGCTTTTATTGTATTACTTGCTCATATAGAGAATTCAAAAACCTTGAAAAAGATGATCAGAAAGTTAATCCGATGCAAGTTCCAATGGACGTGTCCTCAAATCTTTAGACATAGAGGTATTGCATCAGGGTAAAAGATATCAGATCAAAAGTCACCCATTCTTTTCTGACTCTTTACATCCCGTTAAGATCCTGGTTAGAACTGGTCTTCAGCAACCCATGCTTGTCGTAAGAGGCCACTGACTCAATGGTTGCCACATGTCATCGTATCCTAACTCACTCTCCTACCCAGAGTTCCATGCAGCCAGCCAGCATAGTACCTCTGCCACAAGCCAGGAAGATGTGACGATTCGTCACATATTGCACCGTCCATTCAATATAACGTACATATTTCTTAACTCTTTTATTTTTGATGAGGCTACACATCTAATTAAACATCTTTAATAGAATGGTTTAGTTTCACTGATAAAATATCCTAAAACGTGTAACACTATTTCGATTTACGTAGCGATCCTTTGTTTACATTGGTTGTACGGCTCCATGTGCTGTCATCGAAGCCGACGGAGAGCAAACTATGCAGCCAGTTTGATATCTAAATATGTACTGTCATAAATCTTACTGTCGCAGTTGTGGAAGAATATATATGTAACAATGTAAAACATTATGAAGAGAGCGCCGAAAAGCTTGAGTAAGGCCAGTCTCTTCTTATTATGAATATGCGTGTTTGTTTACAAACAAGAGAAAAGTCCGGTCACGTGATATGCAAAATAGCCTGTGGCAGTGATGTTATGCTAAGTCATCACTGCGTCGGAGTGTGATCCTAACTATGTAGAATGATGCTCATGATTCATATGTTGATTACTGGATTGCCTGGTTCAGGCATGTTTATATGCACAATGTTGCCATATAGAATATTGTGAGTGCATTATCACAATAATTCACAAAGAATTACCATTTCGGTAAGGAATATTACTTGCAATAATGGCAAAGATTGCAATAGTGGTGAGGACAATACACTTAATAAGGAAATTGTTACTTGAGAGATTATTGTTGAAACCAAATTGTGCTTTCAGAGATGTGTTGTATGACGATGTGTTTGAGAAGATCAGTGAGACGAGACGAGAGGCTGTTGAGGCCATCAGTAAACTGGAGAAGAAAGTTGGAGGTGGAGGAGGTAGGTCCAAGATGAAGGACAGGATGATCTTGGTCAATAGGTCTGGATCCCTGAAGGTAGATTCACATCAAATCAATGTGCAGAATTACACCGAGGTCTGTCGTCTGTGTGAATTACTCAAATATGTCAAAAGGGACAAAACGCTTCCATTTGGTCTCCAATGTGTAGAATCTGTCAGAGCTTTTTGGCAAGGTTGATGAAGCACGCCTAGTGAAATGTTTGGTGTCTCGTAATATTTTTTTTCACACAAGTGAAAAACATGGCTGCAAAGAAACGATCAATAAAAGATCATCAAAATTGTCCATCCCCATTTGAAAAATCTGCAATACAACTGGTCTTCCTCATTTTCTTATTCTATAAGTCGGCTGCTGTATGCTCCATCCTTGTGATGGAGAATGTAGTCTTTGTCGAACAATTTCTCTTTCTTTTGCACTTTCGCATTGTCATCATCTTTGGACAATATTGTGCAGCAAATGACTGCTGCCAAGTCTGCTCCAAACGTTTTGATACAATGGAAAGAAAATAAAGTTAATCAGTCAACACATTAAATCGTGTGAGAGGTAGGACATCAATATTAGTTGATAGTTCAACTGCCAAGCATGTTGAACTATCTATGGCAATCAACAGCTCCCTATGATGGGCCAAGCCATGCCAGTGGGGCATAAGCAATTCAAGGTGATCGTTACTGCCAAACATAACAATATACTTACTTCACTTTATCAGTACAGTAGAAATAATCGGTGCCAACTTTGTAGGTGTTAGTAGCAATGCTTTGTAATTAAGGTTTTTGCTTTCTGAAAGGGCTAGCTCAATATTGACCGAATATCTGGCTTTACAGAAATGGTTTGCTTGCTGCGACTGGTTATCACTGTTTGTGTGTTAGATGATGAACGTCTGAATGAGAACCTGAGTCAGTCAGACAAGCTGCGTGGTCTGCAGCATGAGAACCACACCCTCAACAACCTGGTGCTCAAGATGAAGACGATGACCAGCTGGAGGCAGAACCACTCCACCAACAACTTCCTCAAAACTGTGAGTAGACTTCCACACCATGGCAATATAAGAAACTTCATATCCGTTTGAGACCATACCACAGCAATATGACACCCTTCATAGCCATTTGAAGACATAGTATAGTCATATGACACCCATCATAGCCATTTGAGACTACAGCATAGCCATATGACACCCTTCATAGCCATTTGAGGCCATATCATAGCCATATGGGACCCTTCATAGCCATTTGAGACTACAGTATAGCCATATGACACCCTTCATAGCCATTTGAGGCCATATCATAGCCATATGGGACCCTTCATAGCCATTTGAGACTACAGCATAGCCATATGACACCCTTCATAGCCATTTGAGGCCATATGAGACCATTTTGTAGTAGCTGTTTGGGACCACTTCTATAGCCATCTGAGGTCTATTTGAGTCTAGTGGGGTAGCCTTGTGGTTGATCTCACGCGAAGACCCGGTTCAGATGTGGAAGCCAATTTCAGGTGCCCCATGTGATATTGCTGGAATATTGCTAAAAGCAGCGAAAAACTAAACTCACTCACTCACTCACACCGAAGACCCGGGTTTCTGTCTCGATGTCAAATAAAAAGAGCAGTTGAACTGTTGTCAAATGTCCGCTTAATTTTAATATTCCCTTATTTGCTTTTTCGCAAATTTCATGTAGTTATCTCAAAGAGATATATTTTAGATGAAATTTTAGTGATGGCAGATGACTGTGTTGGAAGACTTTCAATATGTTAGACTGCTTGTCTATAATACTCAGTCTTTGTGGGAACAGTATCCTACCCCCTGACAATGTCAGTCCTTTATCCAGGTCAGTAGACTTTCTATTTTATATTCAACACACAAATTTGACAGATTGGCCGTCTGCGTAACCATGCCAACAACAGCAAGAAGGAGTACATCGAGGTGAAGATGTTGGCGGAGGAAGAGGTGATCCTGCTTCGGCAACAGCTGATGGCTGTCAAGAAGGCGTTGGCTGATACAGAGAGGGAGGGAGAGGACATCAAGAAACAGCTGGACAAGGAGGTAGGCAGGGGAGGGAAACACAACAGCCTGCAGTTTGTACTGTCGGTGTGCAAGGTGTAGATCACTTCTGGTACTCTAAAGTTAATGGACCTTAAATTTTGTCTTTGTACCATGTATGTGTGTGTTTATCTGTGTATCTGTATACGTGTTTGTCTGGGAACCTGCCTGTGTGTATATGTTTGTGTAGATGTCTCCATGTGCATGTGTCTGTCCATGTATGTGTGTAGTAAGTCTATCTGTCCATGTGTCTGTGATGTGTCTGTGTGTGTGTCATGTGTCTGTTCATAGATGTGTGTCAGTGTGTACATGTCCATGTGTCTGTTCATAGATGTGTGTCGATGTGTGTCGCGCATGCCATACATGTCCATGTGTCTGTTCATAGATGTGTGTCAGTGTGTACATGTCCATGTGTCTGTTCATAGATGTGTGTCAGTGCATACATGTCCATGTGTCTGTTCATAGATGTGTGTCAGTGCATACATGTCCATGTGTCTGTTCATAGATGTGTGTCAGTGTGTACATGTCCATGTGTCTGTTCATAGATGTGTGTCCATGTGTACATGTCCATGTGTCTGTTCATAGATGTGTGTCAGTGTGTACATGTCCATGTGTCTGTTCATAGATGTGTGTCAGTGTGTACATGTCCATGTGTCTGTTCATAGATGTGTGTCAGTGTGTACATGTCCATGTATGCGTGTGAATCTGTATATATGTAGGGGCAGTCGGGTAGTCTAGTGGTTAAGGTGTTGGCTCATCACGCAAGACACGGGTTCGATTCCCCACATGGTTAGAATGTGTGAAGCCCATTTCTGGTGTTCCCTGCCATGATATTGCTGGAATATTGCTAAAAGCGGCATAAAACCCAAGTCACTCACGGTGTATATGCATGTCTGTCCATGCATATCCACATGGGTGTGTATGTCCATGTATGTGTGTCTGTCCATGTGTTTGTCTATCCACACATCCATGTATGTGTGTGAATCCATCCATGTGTGCATGTCCATTTGTTTGTCTGTCCATGTATGTGTGTGCATGTTTGTGTGGGTGTGTGCTGAATGCTTGTATGTGCGTGCATGTGCGCTTTGTACCCCCATATGCGTATGTGCTTGCCTGGCACCCCCAGATGTGTATATGTGTTTGTGTGTGCGTGTGTGTCTGTGTACCCCATGTGTATGTTCATAGTGTGCGTCATGTCTAGTGTGTATATGTCCATGCATAGTCTGTACACCCCAATGTGTGTGTCTGTTCATGTGTGTGTGTGTCTGTCCATACCCCATGTGTCTGTGTGTCGCGTGCATGTCTGTACCCCATGTGTCTGTGTGTGTGTGTGTACATGTCCATGTGTATGTGCATACTGTATGTGTATGTGTGTGCGTGTGTGTCTGTACCCCATGTGTATATGTGTGTGTTTGGTGTGTGTCTGCATAAAACCATGTATCACCTGTGTATGTGTGCATGTGTGTACCCCATGTGTGTGTGTCTGTATGTGTGTGTCTGTGTCTGTAATGTGTATGTGTGTGTGTGTCTGTATGCATGTCTGTTTGTGTGTGTCTGTACCCCATGTATATGTGTGTGCGTGTGTGTGCATGCGTGTCTGTACCCCATGTGTGTGTGTGTGTGTGTGTGTGTGTGTGTGTGTGTCTGTACCCCATGTATGTGTGTTCATGTGTGTACATGCGTGTGTCTGTACCCCATGTGTATGTGTGTAAGTGTGTGTCTGTACCCCATGTGTATGTGTGTGTGTGTGTGTGTCTGTACCCCATGTGTATGTGTGTGTGTTGTGTGTATGTGTCCACCCCATGTGTGTGTGTGTGTGTGTGTGTACCCCCCATGTGTATGTGTGTTGTATGTGTGTGTCTGTACCCAATGTGTATGTGTGTTTGTGTGTGTGTCTGTACCCCATGTGTATGTGTGTTAGTGTGTGTGTGTAGCTGTGTCTGTACCCCATGTGTATGTGTGTTAGGTGTGTGTGTGTCTGTACCCCATGTGTATGTGTGTGCATGTGTGTCTGTACCCCATGTGTATGTGTGTGTGTTCAGTGTGTCTGTACTGTGTATGTGTATGTGTGTGCGTGTGTGTCTGTACCCCATGTGTATGTGTGTTCCGTGTATGTGTGTTCGTGTGTGCGTGTGTGTCTGTACCCCATGTGTGTGTGTGTTTGTTTGTACCCCATGTGTTGTTCGTGTGTCTGTACCCAATGTGTATGTGTGTTAGGTGTGTGTGTCTGTACCCCATGTGTATGTGTGTTAATGTATGTGATAGCGTGTGTGTCTGTACCCCATGTGTATGTGTGTTCATGTGTGCGTGCGTGTCTGTACCCCATGTGTATGTGTGTGCGTGTGTGTCTGTACCCCATGTGTATGTGTGTTAGGTGTGTCTGTACCCCATGTGTATGTGTGTTTGTGTGTGCGTGTGTGTCTGTACCCCATGTGTATGTGTGTGTGTGTCTGTACCCCAATGTGTATGTGTGTGCATGTGTCTGTACCCCATGTGTATGTGTGTTAGGTGTGTGCGTATGTGTGTGCGTGTGTGTCTGTACCCCATGTGTATGTGTGTTTGCTGCTGCAGATGAAGATGAAACTGGAGAAGCAGCACGAGATCATGCAGAAGGAACGCAGCAAGAGACAGCTTGAGCAGGCCAAGCAAGCCAACGTGGAGAAACTGGTCAGTAGATCCTAGCTAGTCTACCTTGCACTGGTGATACCAAACTATGTTTAGTCAGTTAAATTTATATAGTCTCTGGACGTGTTTAACCTTTTCAGTTTTATCTTTTGTTGATAACTGAACTGAAAGCTTAGTGTTGTTGTTTGAAAAAACATTGAGCCATTTGAGACCACTTCATGGCCATTTGAGACCATATCATATCCAAAAGAGACCACTCTATAGCCATTTGAGACCATATCCTATCAAAAGAGACCACTTTATAGCCATTTGAGACCATATCCTATCAATAGAGACCACTTTATAGCCAGTTGAGACCATATCCTATCAAAAAGAGACAACTTTATATCCATTTGAGACCATATCCTATCAAAAAGAGACCACTTTATAGCCATTTGAGACCATATCCTATCCAAAAGAGACCACTTTATAGCCATTTGAGACCATATCGTATCCAAAAGAGACCACTTTATAGCCATTTGAGACCATATCGTATCCAAAAGAGACCACTTTATAGCCATTTGAGACCATATCATATCCAAAAGAGACCACTTTATAGCCATTTGAGACATTGTAATCTCTGGACTTGTTTAATTTTTTACCCCGGGGGCTTTAGTATGGGGATATAGGCTCCGATCCATCGGCTAATGCGTACGAATTGGAATATCTTAAGAACCGTCGACTAGATTCTTTTCATATTTGGTACCTAGGTTTACCACAGTATAAGAAAGGTCCCAGTCAGGTTTGGTGACCTTGATCTTCATTTCAAGGTCACAAGGGGACTTTAACGTTTTACTCTTGTCACCGTTAACTAGATTTTCTTCATAGTCAACACCAAGCTTTATCTAGGGAAGGTGCAGGGCCCAGTCAATTTTGGTGACCTTCACATAATTTTCAAGGTCATGATGACACTTTGAAGATTTCAGCATGTTAACCTGCATGTTAAGCTATCTTAAGAACCATTCACCGGATTTTCTTCATATTCAACACCAAGCTTTATCTAGGGAAGGCGCAGGGCCCAGGTGAGTTTGGTGACGGTCACATAATTTTCAAGGTCATGGTGACACTTTGAAGATTTCAGCATATTAACCTGCATGTTATGCTTGTCAGCGAGATACCTCAAGAAACATTCACTGGATTTTCTTAATATTTCACGCCAAGCTTTATCCAGGGAAGGCGCAGAGCCCAGTCGATTTTGGTGACCTTCACTTAATTTTCAAGGTCACATCAACACTTTGAAGATTTCAGTATGTTAACCAGCATGTTGAGATGGTAAGCGAGATATCTCAAGAACCATTCTATGGACTTTCTTCATATTTGACACCAAGCTTCATCTAGGGAAAGTGCAAGGCCCAGTCGATTTTGGTGACCTTCACTTAATTTTCAAGGTCCAGTCAATTTTAGTGACCTTCACATAATTTTCAAGGTCACTGCGACACTTTGAAGATTTCAGCATGTTAACCAGAATTCACTGGATTTTTTTCATAGACTTTCAAGACTTCCCTTGAATGTTTTTCAATAAGCAATTTCTTTAGTACCATTTTTGCATATTTCATACACTATGACATTCATGTCAAGGTCAAAGTGAGTCTTGAAAATATTTGTGTGTTTGAACAACTAAAGAGCAAGATATCAAGAGAGGTTGACTGGTCATGTTTTTGTTGACATTTAACTTCATCTTAAACTTTCATTACTTTTTAAGTTTGATTTGATAATTTGCGGCGGGGGGATTATGTCACCTTAGTGACAATGCTTGTTATCTCTTGTTACATTCTCTCCCCACAGAGGTCACTTGTCATATCTTCCTACAAACCTCTGTTCTAATATGGCCCTTTCATGGTGCGAGTGTTCAGGATTCGTGATTGGTTGCAATCAGATTTAGTTGTGCAGTCAGTGACGTTTCAAAAGTGATCATTCGCAAGGCCTCGGTAATTTCCGTATGCTTCGGGAAAACTAGACCCTCTTCCCCTGCGCGATGCACAAACGTTTCTTCTAGAAAGAACTCAGTCATGTAATGGCCGATCAATGGCGTCTTCATCGTCCTCATTGACAACGGACAAGCTTGCCATTAAATGTCTTGTGTGTCACATCAACACAAGTCCCCGGCTGAGGAGGGATATTTGTGGCCTTATATTTGCTTGTATTAGTCAAGTTGGATCTAAGTCGATGTAACGTGTTCTGATTTGATAGAAAGAAGGGAGATAATTTTGCTGCTAGGGGATTTTATGAGAACCGGGAAATATGGCCGCATTAGAACAGAGGTTCGTAGGAAGATATCACAAGTAACCTATGTGGGAATAGGATGCTCTTGTTAATGACTGAGCTAAAATCTTAGCTTTGCATCAGCCATTGAATTGAGCACATGTCAAGACCACATCATTTATGTGATGCACATATGTTAATTAAAAAAATAATATATAATTTGTTTTAAATTTTGTTTAAAGAAGGTAGAAATACAAATTGCTTATTTTTTCCTGTTCTTATCTAGTGATTAGGTAACTAATATCAGTGTCACAGAATTATTTGGGCCTAAAAAGGCATTGCTAAAATATCCAGGAAACGTTCTGACTATCACTTCTTTTTGTCAGCTTGACGAGCTGGAGGATAAGGAAGTACGACTCCGGATCCTGTCCGACGAGCAGGAACGGAATGTCCGCCTCCAGTCCATGACCCAGGAGAAGGTCCGGAAGGATGTTTTCAGCATCAAGAAACAGCTGACACATGAGAGGAACCTCAAGCTGGATGCCTTCCAGCGTGTCGATGAACTGCAGGCTACGGTTAGTTTGCCGTACAAGAATCAGTCCACTTCGCATGCTTTGTTGGTTTAACACGCTGTCATTATTACATTTATTCTACATCAGTGATGGGGCAGTCAGCAGTGTATATACAGACACATCAAAGTCAAAATGCACTAAGAAATCTTTAATGCGTGAAAAATCATGTATGCACACATGCATGTTGTTTCGCCTTTTCATAGCTTTACCTTACAAGAGCAATTATCTTCCATCACGACATTCTAGCCAATCACATTTTACTTAACCTCTATAAGTTCACACATTATGCATCAAAATATCAATATATACTCATGGAAACGAATAAAGGAACACATGAAAGTACAAGTTTTCCTTTATTCTTTTCCAGGTTTCTTCACAAGGTATGTATTGCACTGTGAGTGAAATTCTGGAAATAAATAAAGGAACTTGTACTTTCATGTGTTCCCTTATTTGTTTCTATGAGTATATATGCCACACTATCTGTCACTACTGCATTGGAATGATGTAGAGAAATACATTATATACCCACGGAATAATTGTAGAACATTTATAGATCAGGTTTGTAGTATATAAACATTAGTCTGTGTTTCATATGAGATTCATTATGCACCAGGATATTGTTTGTGTTGGAACTATATTTTTTTGAAAATATTTACATATGTATTCTGTGTGCAGGTGTATGACTATGAGACCTCTGTGAATCGGTCCCAGTCATCCGCAGCTCTTCAGCCACCAGTTCCAGGTATGTGACTGACTCCTCTCCTCACTGCAGAGGAACCCACAGAGATTTATCTACACCTGTTCAGAGGCCAATGTTTGGCCCCATGCAAAATACACTACAAACTCAAAATTTGACTGAATAATTTCTCAGTTGCTCAGAATTTATGAAAATAAGAACATTAAAACAAATCAAATTTTAAACATCGGCATGATTTTTTGCTAATTTGTCTGACAAAGGCATGTTGGTTTGGAATCCTAGATAAATCCTCTGCCCCTCTCTCAAGCTCTTCCTACTTTTGGTTTTAACCCACTTGGATGCCGGTTGTGAATAGGTCCCATCGACCTATGTGGGTCTAATATGGTGTTTAAGGGTTACTTGGTCTCCTTGTTCAGAGTTGCTTACCTTTTACATACCAGGATCTAGTAATTCTTGACTAGAATTCTCTCTGATTGTGAACCTTGTTTCTCATCATCATAGCCATGGTGAAGGTCAACAATCACTCTCACATGAAGCCATCACACAGCTGTATTTCAAAAACTTATCCCAAACATTGTTTAAATCAAGTTTCAGCAATTTCTCTCACTCTACAGTTACAGTATTTGATGTACAATTTCCAGGATTCTTGAATAAAATTGTTGTTCTCCATTTATGAATCACTGTATCACAGAAAAACATTTTGTTTCTATTTACCTGTTCTTCCTACTTTTCTGGCCAGGGGATGATCAGAAATACTTTTGGGGTTCCAAGGCATAAACACTGGCTTCTTAGTCTAGTGACACATGGAACATTGCATATGATATTTGAATATTCCATTATGATCATATCATTACACATGATTATAAGTCCTGTGAAACTATGTTTAGATGGTTTTATTCACAATGACATTCCAGGCTTGTAAGTCTTTTTGTCAAATTCTACATCAATCCCCATGTTTCTAGCTGCCAAGGTCAGGTCAAGGGCGATGTCAGCAGGCGTGGCAGGTCGTCGGCAGATGGTGCCAGGAAGTCGGGGGACATCAGCTGGGGGCATGTGGCCCCCTCAGATCACCTGGCCGGGGAACCGCAGCCCCTCACCCATGGGGGACACCCACACCCTCCTGAACAACCTGGACTATAAGAAGATGCAGCGACCCAAGACTGTAAGTCCCTACATTATACAGGCTGATACAGTGCAGCTAGAGGCATAGTGATGTGAAGTGGGTGGACTTGCAAGTGTAGATGGTCATCGTCAGTACTTCCTGGTTTCGTTTAGACCACGTTCCACAATCACCCATGAATACATACTACTACTGTGTTGTATATGCGGCGTTCATGATAATTAAATCTATAAACCATTTCTTGACAATGTCTCAGTGTATGAAGCAGATTGTCAAAAGGCTCTTGCGTGTTGAACAGGTGCCACATGTAAACCATGGAACATTATTATATTAAAGCTGAGCACTCACAGGTCTGGCTCTCCTCATGCTGGACAGGCTTGGTTGACACATGTCATCGTATCCCAATTGCCTAGATCGATGCTCATGATGTTGATCACTGGATTGTCTGGTCCAGACTCGAATATTTACAGACTGCTGCCATATAGCTGGAATATTGCTGAGTTGTGTGTTAAACAACAAACAAACAAACAAATCCTCATTGCTGGAACCGGGGCGGTGGGGTAGCCTCATGGTTAAAACGTTGGCTCATCATGCGAAGACCCGGGTTCGAATCCCCACATGGGCACAATGTGTGAAGCCCATTTCTGGTGTCCCCCGCCGTGATGTTGCTGGAATATTGCTAAAAGCGGCGTAAAACCAAACTCAGTCAGTCAGTCAGTCTTGCTGGAACCTGTCGCCCATTTCACAAAGCTATAGCAGAATTACAACTCATAAGTTCTATTCGTTAACGTAGACTTACAGTTGTAGCGCTACAATCGTTTAGTGAACCACAACCCAGACCTCTTTGTGAATCATTGGTAATATCTCTAAACCATAGAGCTGTATGTGCATGGTTGATTGAGGAATGTAGTATACAAACCTGTGGATTACTGATGATGGTAGATAATAAGCTATGTAATGCTTACAGAGTAAGTCTTACTAGTCCAGAGGGAAGAGTTCACCAGACCAGTGTTGTGATCCAAGTCAATATGACAGATTGGCTCTGTCATTGATATTATATATAATCTATATAACCAATTGAATCACTAAATGAATCGATACAGCTGCCAGAATGTTCTGAATATGTCAACAGTGATAGTAGACGTGGATCCAGGTTTTTGAAGTGGCTTCACCAAATGTAGTTAACAAGAGGCGTCTGTGAAAGGGCATCCTCCTCCTAAACTCACCAGTACGATGAGCTTGGTGTGACTTTGCACACAAAGGCAAACTTCCTGTCAGAAAAATTGGGATCATTCATGTCACTCACTTTTCACTAATACCTCTATGAATCGTTAACACATGTGAATTGATTAGCTTTAAAATCTTGACTTATTCCATCTGGGTAACTGTAAGGGATTAAAATTTCTTTTTCAGTTGATTTTGTTAGGAACTGCTATGAGCTTTTGAATTTTATGTCGGTATACCTGATTAAAAGAAATAAATTTCTACTTTCACTTATTTGAACAATTTAGAAAATGACAGGAAGGGTTTCACAGCATGATATATTTTAACAAATCCTAGACTGTCTTCCTAACAAAACCTAAGCATGTCTGCATGGTGTCTTCTATATCAGTGTTGTGGCGTACATGGCTGATGTTCTATAACCTGGTAGAACTGATAGTGGGTGTCAGTTACAAGCATACACCTGATTGTCCAATATTTTATCTTGTAATTCATTTCAGTTGTACATAAATGAACACAACAAGTGTGTTTGTAAAGAACGAAAAGAGGCATACAGTTGCCCACAAAACTCTGAAATACATACTTGTATATCAATTTAATTTATTTACTCAAAGTGTTGTAGATATAATTGAAAAAGATTTCTTTAATAATATTCTTAAACTTATATCTGCATTGTCCCTATTAATTTGTTTTCTTGTGTATGCCAAACACCAACAAAATTTGAATTCCTTTTTGCTTTCATATTCAAAGTCAAAAGGTTGATCAAAATCTCAGTAAATGTTCAGATAGGCGGTTACTATAAGCACATTTCCCAATTACAGAATTCTTTTACCTTACCTATATGTCAAGAAGCAACAAGGACTGTAAAACATGTGTTTAGGTCCTTCTGAAGTATAAGAGGAACAGTTTGCTAAGACCTACAGTGCAGCCCTGTACACCTAGACTATCCACTGGATTCTATTGGATAGTGAGGTTTCCATGGTAACACAGCCTGCACCAATGAGATGTACACTGACCTTCATCTTCATCTCCACAATCATAATTTGTAATATGAATATTCATCATGTCATATTCAACCTTATCAGCATTTATTCATTTTGATAAATGGGAAATAAATTTTGGAATATATTTTAAGTGTGTATGCACATTAGGGACCGATGGGTCACCCATTTTGTTCTGGGGAGGAAGGGGTAATCAATTTTGTACATATGGACTTAGGGGGTCATCAATTTTGTGCAAAAAATATTTTAAAATTATGCTTGAAAAATACAGGAATGGTGGGGGTGTCATTGATTTTGTACATGATATGCAGGGGGGAGATTCACATTGTACATGCTTCTCCGTAAAAATCATCCCCCTCCCCACACATAAGAGTTGAACGTGACATGACTCATCCAAGTAAGCAAAAATATATATACTGTTGTGCTAATCTTCCAGTTAATGAGAGCCAAGGTGAGAAATAGTCTTCCTCCCAACCCTATTTCAGCATGTTTTGTGCACGCTATATGACCTGACCTCATCCAAAACACATGTGTTGGGTCATGACCTTGACCTCACCTGACCTGCATGTGTCGGGCCATGACCTTTCTATCTGTTTGTCTATGTTATGTCACACCAGGGGGCTCTGTTAATGTTGTCACTTTTAGATCCAAAACCATTTCAGATAATTTTATCATTCGGGTTAAGTTGTTTTTCAAATCTCCTGGTGTGACTGTGGGTTTTATTGTGCTGTGCTGTGGTGTGGTGTGAAGACACTTTGCATGTTGATCCTATTTTTGATATATACCCACAGGAATCTTGTGAATCACAATATTTCGGCCATTATTCATTGCCATTCGTTTGCTCTTTTTCGTATTTAGGATATGATGTAATTTCATGAAAATTATGGTATCATATCTTTAAAACCATATTGAAAAACTGGCAGTTATATAAGGATTTATAAAAATATCCTATACTCAGTGTTATTGTTTCTTAGTATCAATCACATTTTCAAAAGTTTATCCAAATTAATTAAATGTCAACAGAAAAACCCAGTACAAACAAGATTTCCTGACAAGATTATTATAGATAAAAGTATGTCTGATTTTATTTATCCATTTTGAAACCTTTGATGCTACTCAAAAAAAGAATTCAGGACCACCAGATTTTTAACAATTATGTGATCCTTAACTTCTTTGAGTAGTATACCTCCTTTTCTCTGTAGATGTATGTCCAGTAGAACTGTTCCACTGAAGGAAATTAGTTAGTGTCTGTTAGTGACCACCATTTTGTTTCAGTGTTTAATCTGGTTTCGTTTCAGTTGTTTCCATCAATTCGCTGAAGGTAACAAGGATGTAGGATGTTTGATGTCGGTGATGATGTTGGTGCGACAGGGGTTGTGGGTTGAGTGGTTTTATCACATCACCATAGAGATGCCATGTTAGTTGTTATATATGTCACATGTACGTCTCTTGGTGTATGTTAATGTGGGTTAGATGTTGGAATGTTAGTAAATATTAATTAAACTCTAGTGACATATGTTTTCAATAGGAATAATGTAGAATATTTATAACGCGCCTTTCCAGGCTTCATATCCTGCACAAATCATAACGCATAAATATAATCTGATTATTATTACCTCGGGTAACCCAAGCTGCCTGTGAGGTGCTAGAAAGTTAATAGTCACATGACTTAGCCCACCGGGCAGTCATTTTCTGACCATTGACTGAAGTCCTAGAAACTCTCAGGAGTCAAGTTGCCAAACACAGTCACCCATCCAAGAACTCTCCTGCCCTACATTGCTTATTGTCAACTGATTTGTGACCTGAGCTCTATGCACAGGACCACACACTAGTGTTGGGAATTGGTTGAAATCTCACAATTGATGATTGCTTCATTACCAACGAACAATCATCGAAAAAAATTGGTTAGCATCATTTTTCAGATTTTCCTATCCAGGTTGTTATTGCAGATATGTATAACATGATGCAACTTGCTACTTTAAAGTGATGACTAATATATCATGAACATAAACTTCCTTGAGTCTTAGAGACATATTCAGTCATGGCTTTTCAGTTAGTGAAGTGAGTTTTCTAAGAATTAAACACATTTTCGGGCCCTGACAACTTCTACGATAAGTTCCATCGTCAAGTTTTTCAAAGACTAAAACAGTAGTTCCAAAATTGTTTATGTTCGATTATGAGAAAATGTGATCGATTGCTTGGTGGTTTGGTCACTGCGACCAATCTTCGATTATTTCAATTAATCGGAACACCACTACCACACACCACCAGAGATAACGATGATTACCGTGGTTAGAGAATTTGGCCCACAGGAAACTTCCCGAACTCTAATTCTAACTGAGTGAGTGATAGAGATTAGTTTACCGTTACTTTATGCAGTATTCCACTTATATCACTGCATGTCAGCTCAGTGTGGAAGGAAAATGATAGAAAAATTATCATTGCATGACAGGAATAAAACCCATGATCGCAGGTTTCAAATGTGTCCAAGGGACATAACTCATTGTGAATTGTGACACCTATAACAATGGGCCATCAATGAAACCCACTCCTTAACCCTCCATTTCAATTCTAAGAGATCAGTGACAAGCTGGACTTGTGACCACTGGTCACATTATGTCAGTCACTGGATTGTCTGGCTCGTTTATTTACAAGTTATTGTCACATAGTTGAAATATTGCAGAGGTTACCCTAAAACAGATCCAAGACAGTCTGATGGTTGATACACACACTGTAGACTAACACTGAATATATATAATTTTGATAGTAACAAACAAGCCCATTTAAATTGAATAGGAGCCCCAGGGAGACCAGAGATTCAGAACCTGAGGAAATCTAGACTTGCTTTATTTAGGACTTTAGCACTGTAGACAGGGCTTGGTAGTAGGGAAAATAATGTGGTTCAGGGACTGTGAGACAGACTACACACACTACGGTGGTTTGTCAGTGAAGATGACCAGATATTGCAAGAATGACTCAATCATGAGAAAATTTACAATAGAATTATTGCAGTAGCTACAGAACTTGATTGGTAGAAGCTGATCTTTAGCAACTTAATGACCTATTTTTATCATATATCATTTTTATATTTATGTTTAGTAAATGAGCTAAACTGGTAATGGGGTAGCGTGTGCTTCGTTGTTTATAGCAACATCCCCAACACGTGTGTGTTTGAGCCGGGATGCAGCTGGTTTCCATAACGCTTACAGTTGCAGCTGGTGCTTACGTCTGAGAAATTAAACATCAACATATATAGTATTGTCTTTTCCATCTTTTAGCTTTTTCGGTATCAGTTATGTTTTGATAGGAGTATGTTTCATAAGGATGTCAATACCAGTAGGTCTAATTTGTATGATTTATTTTGATTTTTTTGTTCAAAATTATTATACCGGACATTTTTTCTGCTGACTTAATGGTATAGGTTATTGTTGGAATATTTTTAAAAAAATTGCTTTCCTAATTAATATTGATGTATGTTTAGGCTTCAGAACATGACAATAATTTGGGTGCTTTCAAACACATTAAAGTGTCCCTGTGTATTGCTGCATTTGAACATATTGAATCATATTGCTGTGTTCAGACGTGTCAATCCTGTTGCTGCTTCAACAGCTGTCCTGAATGTTTCAGGTGGGCGGACGATTACGCAGCCGAATTGCTGAACAGTTGCTGAACGAGTTTGAATCTGACCACCATCAAACCATTGTCCAGTTGGAGGAACTACAGCTAGGGGATGGAAGACCATAGGGGGCATAACCTATAATTTGTATGGCAAGCCATCAGGGCCATGATCTATATGTATGGAATGGTAGACCAGGGTGTGTTCTGTCGTGTTCTGTCATTATAGAAGGCAGTCTAATTCTTCTGGGTGTGTATGAAGTCTCTAAGCCTTGTGTTAGTTACAAGCTTGTGTAAGTTGCATCAATGCTACATAAGTATTACAGTGTTACAATATTACAAATCAGGACATTTACATCTGTGTAAGTAACCAGAGTATCAACTACAACATAATCTTCAGATGATGAAACTTCCCCGAGATGATTCTCTTCACAATTTACTTATCTTAGATGCTAAAATTGAACCAAACTTGATTGTATGTCAGGCCAAATTTCACAATAACGAGGCAAGAACTTCCATCAGTCTTGTTCAGATACAGGAGTTATGGCACTACTACTTCTGCGATCAAGTCTAAACATAGCCATGGTGATAGTAATTTACTAAAGTTCCTGTAAGTTGTAAAAATTGGAATAATATTAATAAATGATTTGGATTGTCTCCTGTACATGTAGAATGGCTTGCATTGCCTCTGTTGGAAGATTGTATCTTATAGGCTGTTTTCATTAGTGAAACGAGAGGCATGGAATATGTGGGATAAATGTGGGCTTGATGATCTAACTGATTGGATGGAATTGTTGTACTAGTTTTGTAGATTGGGTGGAATACATGTTCTATAGTCTTTGCAACTCTAGTTTCCTGAAATTATTTCCAAAATATCTGAGAGAGTTTTATAAGTGAAACTGTTGAAAGTGGCATTAAAACCTGACTCCCTCACTCACTATTTTGCCAGAAACCAGATTGATGGTTTATGGTGATCAATGACAGTCTTGATGTTTACTTACTTCTCGAAACTTGCAGAATTTCTGTGAATGCTTGATACTCTCATTACGTCCACATCACTGTGATATGGCGTCATGAACCTCTATGCATATACTGGACCTTCGTCATATAGCTGGAATATTGCTGAGTGCGGCGTTAAACAACAAACCAACCATCCAACTATGTGTATATTTATATATTTTATAGCTTAGTGCCTCTGTTTTTCTGTCAACAGAGGCAATGCAGTTTTGTACAGATTTGTTATTTACTGAAATGTTTGAATGCCAAAGGACAGAGGCCATTTTTATGCAGCATTATTCCATTGCCAATTTTACCATTTGTATGACGCATCTGTTTCTTAGAACAAATCTGTGATACTTAGAGATGTTTTTTAACATATCCAAGGAGTACATGATGATCCATTATTCAATATTAACATTATTTACACTTTCCAAGCCTAAATAACATGAACTTATGTTTTACTCCAGTCATCAATTTGACATGTTGTTTTAGTTTTTGTATGTGTTTGGTGATCATGGACCAAAGGAGAATCGTGTATATGTTGTAATAATGAACACATCTACAGAAACTGTTTAGCTCAAGATCAGCCTCATGAAAGTGTTTTCTAACTCTGGATGTATGTTCAACAATCGGAAACACTGAAAAGTTGCAGTAATCTGGCGCCAAGGGAAGCCAAAAGGAGTCTTCAGAACCCTAAGACATTAATATCAGCAAGAGCTCTAGAAACTCAGGTCATTTTGACTCCTTGCGTACTTGGAGCCCCAAAAAGCCTTCTTTGATAACAAACTCTGATTTCTTTGAAGCATATAATGCAGCATGAGATTCTGCAGGTAGTGCCTTCCATAGCCTTGCTTCCAAATATGTGGTAGAAGAATGCTTTGGATGCAGAGTTGCCTCCCCTTGGTGTGCCAGGAACTTATGATAGTTTTGGATCCTAGATGTGTGTGATTATATACCTTGGTTTTTCAGATGATAACCTCAAACAAATAGTGTTTTATTGGGACTAAATTTGTAATTACTCTTTGGAAAAATTAATTAGGTTTTTTTAATGAACTTAATGTTGTTTTATTTTTAATCTGATAGAATTAAGGACCCTTTCAATTCACTTTAAAGATAATTGTTTGAGTATTTTACAAGTGACACAGACTTTATGTGTTTGAGTGCTGTACAATGTAACTGTGCCTCTCAATCTGTGATACAGTCAGCATATTGCTCTTGGGCACCTGTTGTTTGAATATGCTTGTATACATTTTTCACATCTCTCCAAATGATGATATATTTGAGAATATCTAAAGGTACCCATGAACCATAAGTTCTTGAAGTTATGACTTTTATGAGATAATGATTATCATAAACAGTAAAGTTTTAATTCATCCTCACATTTTACAATTTTCACTTTTGACATGTTTTGGGCTGTACTCTTTGTGATATGATTTATACTGTACAGTAGATGAAAAACTCCTCATGAATCACTCTCCTATCGTTTATACATGTAGAAAAGGTATTGATGGTGTATGGTGTTAATGTTTGAGACAGATACTGGCCTCAATGTTCGTAGGTGCTGAATCTTGTGGTGTAGGAACTGTGCCTTTGTGTATGCAAGTGACAGTTTATGACAACAGATAGTGTTAGCAACAATATTTTCCACAGCAAATACTGCCTCTCTTTCAATTTCGTTCTACAAGGTTTGTGGTTTTGATTGTTATTCTGTTGGGGAGCTTCTGGTAAATGTTCATTGTGAATCTGAATATAGTGGAAGCTGTCTAAACCTGCACTCATCAGGACTGAAGAAATAATCCGGTTTAGACAGCATGCCAGATTGTAGAGCTGACACGGTTACCTACGACTAGAATTGGAACCAGTTTTGTCGCTCATGTACATTGTTGTATCATGTGGTTCTCTCAATTCATATTCACTTTTTTTTACTTAATAACGTAAACATGACAAATCAACACATTTGAAAAAAATGGCAGCGGCATGCTCATAATCCCTTGTTATTTCAAGGATTATTTCGCAGGATTAATTGGTGTACTCATCACTCATGCTATCAACCATGGGTTCGGCCCAAACATCATTATTTGCTGCCTTGATAGCTGTAATATTGATGACTGCTGCAGAAAACAAAATTGACTCACTCACTCTGGGAAATGTGTCCCATAATTAAATGTTAAATACACAGTGTATCCTGCGAACTGTGAATTGTCTACTTTATTTTTCTTGTTGATAAATATTTCAATATTCTGAAACACTTTGAAAAACCTTTTTATATAATTTAACAAAATGGCCACCACCAAAAAAACAAATTTTATGGTTTTCAGTATTGACGGATGAAATAATGAAACAAAACCACGTCATCCTGTTGGTTCAATATCATTTGATGCAGATCAAGACTACCTTGATCATAAGAACATATCCTCCTCATATCAAGTTAACACTGATTACATGTTTTCATTGAGTGAGTGAGTACATTTATTTGTTACAATTTGTACTAGCAAACATTTCAGCAATTGAGGTTCTGTCTCCTATTTATGTCCGTATGAGAGTCTGTATATGTCCATTACATGTTTTAGTATAATCTACAGTACCTTAATTCATAGGCATGCCAAAGATCTGATGCAGACTTTTTATGTTAAAGGCTTTCAAACATCATATGGGTATTTTTTTATGCTTTTCTTTAAAAAACCTGTTTATTTAAACACAGATAGTGGAACCAAAGAATGTGCTATTTTGTATAAGTAACCCGCTGCTGTTTAAGAAATATTTTAGAAAGAACTTTATGATTCCACAAATGCCTTGTTTTGTATTTGTCAAAGGACCGTCCATGTTTCCTCAGTATTACCCCTTGTTGTATGTCTAGTTAACTAAATATTTACGACTTATTTGTTATATGTCTTTGAATAGAATGAAAAAATAAACTTGTTGCAATAAGCATGTTTTAAGTGTTTATTTGGCCTACCTTTAGAACCCTTAGGGTTCGAACCCCCTGAAGTCTTCCCTTTGAACATTTCTGGATCCGCCTATGATCACAATAGGAAATGACACGTGACATGTTGTTACCAAAACAATGCTCTTTGACGTCAGACTACTGCTGGGTTATCGTAATGAGTGCTACATACAATACAAACTTCACATTTGATATGAAGTAAAACTGCAAAAACACAAGTAGCACATGTTTAACCATCAACATTTTATCTCTAAGAAACTGATCTGAAAGTTCACGGGATATTTCATGTAGATTATATACTTTTAAAAAAGTACGGGATAATCAGTAAAAAGGTGTCTCTGCTACTTCAATTTTATATCTTTCATTACAAAACAGTCCAAAAAGGGGGCATTCACTGGCATCAAATCACATCCTCTCGCACACGCACACATGCAAAACAACCCACACTCTAAGAGTCCCGGGGCGGTGGGGTAGCCTAATGGTTAAAGCGTTGGCTCGCCACGCCGAAGACCCGGTTCGAATCCCCACATGGGTACAATGTGTGAAGCCCATTGCTTGTGTCCCCCGCCGTGATGTTGCTGGAATATTGCTAAAAGCGGCGTAAAACCAAACTCACTCAGTCAGTCAGTCTAAGAGTCCCGATCCACAAAGCGTTCGTAGGAGTACGACATTTATAAGCCTGTGATAAACTATTGAGTTACGACGTGTCGTAACGTTACGACCTCTTTGAGGACAGGGACCCTGGCACCTACTCGCTAGCACACAAGCCAGCGATCGAACCCACTCAGCCCCCAAACAGATGTGAGCTACAAAATAAAAGTCGGGCAACCGGTAGTCTAGATCACGAACTTCATTTACCCCTCTGACAAGTGTAACTTGGCACGACTCCCACAGCGGAAAACTATGAATACACAATGCCATATGTTACACTTGACCACTTTCTAAATGGCATTGTTGAATCTTATGCAGATTCAACATTTAAAAGTATCAGTTGTTTACGAAAAGGGTTTTACTTATTTCATTTTTTTGTGTGGCGTTATTTCATTAGCGTGTTGATTGTGTTGAGTAAGATTCAGGATTTAAGGATGAACAGTGAAACTGGGGGTCTCATATCACTATAGTTTATCTTCCGTCGCAGACACAATACCTTCCATGTGTGGGATGATGCCTTGTGTATCAACACAAACCACAGTCTGTCTGAAATAAAACTAACCCTAAGACGCAGTGAGTGAATATGATTTTACGCCGCTTTTAAATATATTCTAGACATATCACAGAATACACCGGAAATGACAACAGAAATGGGCGCCACACATTGTTCCCTTATGGGGAATCGAACCCAGGTCTTCTGCGTCGTGACAAGCTAGTCCACTAACCACTAAGCTATCCTACTTCCCCACCCGAGACCTAAAGGGGTCATTTTGGACATAAGGAGAAACATACTAAGTGACTAAAATATGAAACTTGTAATAATTTCCAATAATACCTACACAAGAGTGTCAACTTTAGTAAATAAGCAGATTAAACCGAGTCAATCTGTTTCTAAAATGTATATCTGTTGTTGTTTCATAAAAGATATACGTTATTTTGTCTTTCCTCAGTCAAATACAAGTTGCGTAGACCCGAATAAGGATATTTGTGACTTAGATGTTTGATTGGCATTTTAGAAGATGCTATTTGATGAACATAGAGACTTTTCTGGATTTCATCTTCTTTTTATTGTTTGGTACAACGTTTCAGGGCTTGTTCTGGACCCATCTACGTCATGATGGGTCCAGGACAAGCCCTGAAACGTACCAAACAATAAAAAGATGAAATCCAGAAAAGTCTCTATGTTCATGATATTTGTGACGTTTACAACACTATGACGTCATCACAAACGCCGTGACGCATTACACATTTGTGACGTCACAGAAGGCCATCCGCTTTTCTACTCCACGCAGACATCAGCGCTTGCAGAGTTGAATTTGTTAGGAGTAAAGATTTAGTACTCCTAAGAGGATTGTATTTCAAGATAATGGATAACAGGTATGTTTTTAATTTTTAATTTGCAGCATCTGTGATCGCTGACTACTTTTTGACGAAAACCACATCTTCTCACAGGCACGGTTGCTATGGCCTGTTGATCAGCATGGAACTGTACTGGTCCCTCCCTTAGATAAACTTTCCTTGGAACCAAACATAATGACAAGTGTTGAAACCCCTTTAGACCCACAGCACTGCTGGTGTACCTCCTTGTTAACAGACATATCCAACTTATTACTGATCAAATGATAACTTCACAACCCTCATGTGTATAAGTTCCTATACGTAGATTCGTAAGTATACAGAACATTTATCCAGATAACTACGTTCCCTTCTAATGCATTTACGTTCTTGCTTATGTATCCAAATGCATGGTTTGATATCCGATATGTATAAAACATGCATATACTCAAAATACAATTGTACATACTGAACTGAAGACGCCAGTTGGAGAACGTGTTTGTCTTTATGTTGTATTCGTCGAGTGATTGGATACTTGTAGGTTGTCTATTATGTCCACTAGATACAGAATACAACATGTCAACAAACTGATGACATTTACATAATAACGTAGGGCCTGATTTAGACTTGACATTGTTTTACCCACAGACTGGAAGGATCCCCACCCCCTACGAGGGATGGGCGAGGCAACACTCGGAGGGTCATCGGCATCAGGAGGTAGGGTGCTGCACTGTTGATACTTTCATATCCTGTTACTTTCACATGTCAAGGGCTGCATAAGGAATGAAATGGTTTTCTAGAAATACTAAATTGATGAACATTTTACAGTCGTGATTGTAATGCGAGAGCCCATATTTAACTTTAAGTGCATGGTGAAATGCAACGACTCTAAACTACCTTTGACTTTTTATCAAATATACTTTATTTCTATAATAGAAATAGAAGGCGTTTGTGTATTTGATTTAGTGATTCCAATAAACACACTTTTCTGTTAGCCTGGTAACGAAGAATTAAAGATCACAATACTGTTAGATATGTGATACATGTTTTACTCAACACGCCGTCATCCTGTAATTCTATAACTAAAGTTACTCTAAAAGAAAGAGAATAATTCGACTACATGTCTTTCAAAGTTTCATGTTCTTGCTTTGAACTGAATGAAATACTTAAAGCAAGTGACAAAAGAATAGGTTAATACAGAAATATGTTTACGAGCTGATACGCAATATATAGCAGACTGAAAATGTGAAACGTAACATCTTTAATCATATAAGAATGGCATTTGGTTTTTAATAAATTCAATTTGGGATCAGTAATATTTTTAAGTCCTTGAGCGGTATTGAAAAATATGCATTAACACTAAAAATATAACTACGCACAAGTATACTGCTCAAAAGAAGTTTGAGACAGCCGTGACAGATTACCTATACAGCACTACAAAAGAATAGGGTGCACTTTAACTTCTTTGAATGGTATAAATGTAACATTCTGTTTTATACGTCTTCATGATTTGAGATTTTTTATTTCTCAAGCATTAATGTTTTAAAACACAGGACCAGGGTCGAGATCCATAAAGTGTCCGTAACGTTACGAGCTCTCGTTACTATATAGTTCATCACAGACTTGCGAATGACGGAGTGCTACGAACACATGGATCTGGCCCCATCAACCTAACTTTCGTTCTCACATCCATTTTTTGTAGAATAAACTACTCGGGGACAGGTCTGCCCCCAGTGGAGACACCCAGCTCCCCAGAGGACACCCAGAGCAGCGGAGTCAGTACGTCGGAGCCACTCCCAGAGAAACAGGGGTGGGTGGAGTTGTCTGTTTAAAGGGTGGAGGGAGGGTAGTTGTTTGTTTGAAGGTCGAGTTGAGGGTAGTTGTCTAGTTAAAGGTTGGTGGGGAGTACTTGTGGCCTGTTAATGTGGGTGGAGGGTCGTGGTTTGTGGGAGGGGCGACTGTTGTTTGTCTTGTCTGAATAATTGTGTGGAGTTAAGTTCAGTTTTGGGGGTTTGATGCGGGTAACGATTATAAAGTAATTTTGTGATATCCTAGTTTGGATTAGAAGAGGAAATTACATCACATTAAAAATATCATCACTGTCATCGTCCATCATGTCTTATAATACATGTACTTGATATCTAATACCTCGTGGAGTTTTGATAAGAATGTCCCTCCAATTTCAGCGAGTCCCCCGAGCCTCCAAGCTCCCCGGGAACTCCCCGCCCTGAACCAGCAGGAGATCCAGGCCTTCTACAGGGAGTCTCTCCTCGCCATGAAGGCCGCAGACAGGTCAGTCATAGGCTTTGGTGTAGCAGGGAGTAAATATAAAACATGGCAGACTCCCGGGGTGGGCCAGCCAGGGACAAAATTGTTATGAAAGCAATTGCACATGTGACACCGACTCGGAACGTGACAAGTTACATGTACATTCTTCAGGACTTCATCAAGATGATCAAGTTGGGTTCTACCCTAATACAAGAGGACCCACCATTCGATGATCTAGTTGGGTTCTACCCTAATACAAGAGGACCCACCATTGGATGTTCTAGTTGGGTTCTACCCTAATACAAGAGGACCAACCATTCGATGATCTAGTTGGGTTCTACCCTAATACAAGAGGACCAACCATTGGATGATATAGTTGGGTTCTACCCTAATACAAGAGGACCCACCATTCGATGATCTAGTTGGGTTCTACCCTAATACAAGAGGACCCACCATTCGATGATCTAGTTGGGTTCTACCCTAATACACCCACCATAATCTACTACCCTAATACAAGAGGACCCACCATTTGATGATCTAGTTGGGTTCTACCCTAATACAAGAGGACCCACCATTCGATGATCTAGTTGGGTTCTACCCTAATACAAGAGGACCCACCATTCGAAGATCTAGTTGGGTTCTACCCTAATACAAGAGGACCTACCATTCGATGATCTTGTTGGCGCCTGGGCCTTTGTATGGATGATAGATACCTTTTCGGTTCCTGATAATTCTTTAATTAACTATAACCATTGTCACCAAAACACCTAGCAAATACATATGTATGTTTTGTGCCTGACAATCTCTATTCTTTAGTCTGAAGCATAAGTATGCCTCTATATGTCAATATAGCTTTTTTCGTAAAATCCCAAACCCCGGAATATGAAGAAGCCAGTGGATTAGATACAAAGTGACAATGTGAAAACATTCCCCAAACATGTTGTTGCCAAGATGTCACTCTTCGTTCTATCCTCACTTTGGGATAACAGTCTGGTGTGCTCTGAACAGTTTTACACAACATGTGGTTTCAGTGCAAGACAACTGGCACCACCCACCACCCCGGACAATGAGCTGGTGTTCTATGACTCGTAAGTGCCCTGTCTTCATTAGGACTAGTTCACAAAATGTCTCATAATGTCAAGTGTATGTTTTAATCAGATGATTATATGTGATTATCCCTAGCATTATATGTGTAGTATATGATAGATGTGGTCTCTAACTGGGCTGCTTAAGACAGATATGAAGCCGAAAATCTTCAGTACCCAGATGCACTCACTTGATGTTATTATGCATGTTCCAGTCGTAGTCCCTATTGACCTGTATTTACCAAAATAATCAGTTCTAGTTGTGTGTTTTTTTAAGATTAGGCAACGTTATTGTCTGAACTTGTCTGAAATCGCACCGGCGGTAGATCAGATATACTATACAAATTAATAGCAGTAAATCGGACATATATACAGTTCAAAATAAGTTAAAGCATTCCCACACTGTGCCGTTGTGACTGCAATAATCACAGCGGGACTGGTTAACTCTAGTCATATGGAAATATGGGGTGTTCTTGAACCCTTTTGAGTAGCACATAACACATACTACTCAATATTTGCTAAGGACAAAAGTATTAATCAGCGGTGTGGTCCTAGACAATCGTTGAGGACTACACAACATTATTGTTGCCCAAAAATAAACCTTGATAAAATGTTCAGACAGGACACTGATGTTTGTTTTCTCGTTTCCTCAAAGCGCAAGCTCTGGTAGCCAGGCAACCAACCCTGAACCACTTGGATCGAGGTCCGACATGGCACAATCTCCACACAAAGACAGGTACTTGTCTTGGGTGAAGTTAAAACATTCGAAGCGTTCAAGTATCTTTAATATATACAGGTTTCTGGTTGTATCTAGGCTGTCGGGACTTTAGTGTTTGTCTGGGTTTTCTTCGGCGTCATGTTTTTATGAATACATGTTCAGTTTTCAGCTAACAGTAGCGATGCTTGACGACTGGAGTGAGCGACTGAGCATGGTTTTACGCCGCTTTTAGCAATATTCCAGCAATATCACGGCGGGGGACACCAGAGATGGGCTTCACATATTGTACCCATGTGGGGAATCGAACCCGGGTCTTCGGCGTGACGAGCAAACGCTTTAACCACTAGGCTACCCCACCGCCCCAGTTAAGACGGAATCTTCCAAGGGATGGCAACAGTCTCTGTTGTTGTTTAATAGATAATGGCTGCCATACACACTATACATTATCCTTGTGGGCCCCGTTGCTAATTTCAGACCTTTATATAATGACAGTGTGTATCACTTACAACATAGTCATTGTTTATGAAAGAGTCTTCTGTTTGTTGCAATTTTGTTTTCCTATTTCAGGATGTCACTTCGTTCTGTTGTGAGCGATGACCTGAGATGCCAACATGAACGTGCCATCACACCAACATCACGTGTCCACAGCTCACGTGCCAACACGCCAACAACGGGTGTCAACAGCTCACGTGCAACAACGCCAACGTCAGATGTCATCATCTCACGTGCAACAGCAGCAGCAGCAGCAGATGACAGCATCTCACGTGCACCAACGCCACCAGCAGCACGTGAACAACACATCTGCAGACGACAGCGTCACGTGCACCAACACCAGCAGCAGACGACAGTGTCTCACGTGCAACAACACCAGCAGCAGACGACAGCGTCTCACGTGCACCAATACCAGCAGCAGATTACAACATCCCAGAAAACCAAGTAGACGAAGGTAAGGGTTGTGTTGACGTCGATTGCAGGGGCGGATACAGCTTTTTGAGAAAGGAGGGGTGCACACTCTTGAGGAAGTGGGGGTGCACACATTTTCACGAGAGTTTCAGTGGTCATTTAATGAACTTTCAGAATTGGGGGTGGGGTTGGGGTTGTGGGTTGGGGTTGCGCACACCTGTCTCTGGATCCGCCTATGGATTGACTTATGCAGTGAATTCAAGTTGGTCAAAAATGATTACAGACATAGCAATACACAGCTCCTATGTTCGTAACACTTGAAGGGTGATAATTTCAGACTTTGTTTAATTCCATTGGTTTTCGGTTATGAATATGATAGGGGTGTGGTACATGGGGCAGTAGGTGTAGTGTTCACTCGTATCAGGAAACTGATATCAGTAATATCATGTATTTACTTCCAGTGGTATCTGCAGCAAGGGAGACAACAGGCTTCCGCAAACGCATCCGTCGGGTAGGTACACCTGTCCTTGATAAATAACATCAAATTAATAATTTGTCATCAGCCACAAAAATAGTCCTTCATCAAATATTCATTGCAGTGTGTTTTTTAAAAGCTATTGGATGTTCTGTTTATTTTTATTTAAATGAGGACCATATCTAGTTGAATGGCTCTACCAACAATGATGATTCAAACACCTGAAACGTAACTGCCAATGCTTGTCAGTGTCTAGAGGTGCTTTCTAGTGTCTGATGCATGTTAGTTCAACTGTTAACAACTACCGAAATTACACAAAGACAACCCCGTGAAGATCCGGGTTAGGACGGGATCAGGTGGACAAGCCTGATGACTTGGTTCATGTTATCCAGGGGTGGAAATAACCCATTGCCCGACGTCCGAGTCAAGTGTTTTTTTCTGTCGGGCAAGCCAATTCGTATATCACACTGTACCGGCGTCCAGTTGACTTTCCAATGTTAATTATGTTTGTTTTTTTAAAAATCAACAAGAAAACGGGCGGTATTGTGGAAAAATTATCAGGGCAAGTGATTTCACATGTGCCACTGTACCGGAGTACACTAGCAATTTTAAAGTTATTTCCACCCCTGTTATCACATCCAAGTTGTGTAGATCGATGCTCATGATGTCAATCACTGGATTGTCTTGTCCCAACTCAATGATTTAACAACCCGCCGTCATGCTTAGTGCGGCCTTAAACGACAAACAAACAGAAAACCGAGAATCTGTCTCAGTATCACATACAAAATATAGGAACAGACAGCAGTTGGTCGCAAAACCTCTCCACTTTTGTAAGGAATAATATTTTCATCTACACAAAACACTCAAACTGGTTCTGACAGTATGTCAATGTATATTTACATAGAATGGCGTATCTGATGATCTCTATGAACATTTGAGTAGTATAAACCTAAAACATTCACTTTGCCCGTCCCTGACAAGGATACATGTAGCATAACTTACTTCAAGTCATGAATACACGACTGAGTTCAGCCATTATTTTCAGGCATTCTCCCGCCTTCTTCGGCCATTCAGATCCTGCTTTGGCCACGGCTGAGATCCTTGGTGGAACACGATATCACGACAGCAACACTATCATTGGCTCTTCTAGTCACGTATGTAGAGGTCAGAGGTTGTCCAGGTGTGTAGGTAAAGTGCAATATGGAAGGATGAGATGGAAAGATGGCTAATGTCAATGACCTTGTTTTCAGGACGACTGTGTTAGATAGGAAGTCACAAAGCCAAGTCATATTTTCACCTAATCGTTGTGTCAACA